GCATCATAACATTTTCAGAGAGATTATGTTATTTCTATCAGTAGTTTAAAGTGAAATTTTATGAAAACTAAGTGTAAATATGGAAAATAATACTACCGTTTTTTTAAACAATTTCTTTTTGATGTCTGTCAATAAAAAATTACAGCAGAGGAAGAAATCAGGAAGAAGCGCCGGAATTGGTTAGGACGCACATTGAGGAAAGCATACAACTGTCACAAGACAAGCCCACACATAGAATACTGAAGTCTAAAGGAAAAGAGGCAGACCATATAAACATACACCATATACATATAAATATATATGACCATGATACTTTTAAGAAGTGGCTTCGAACAAAACATGATATAATGTATGATCACAATTATACTTGTTCTCATTTTTAAATATCTTACAATGTTTATTATCTAACTATCTGATATACAGTTTCTTAATAGAAGTGGGTTTCTGTGGAAATCATGAGTCAATTGAACCTAGACCACTATGGTAAACCTGGAAGCACTGGACGGTCGTTTCGTCCTATTGTGGGACACCTCAGCATTAAGAATCCACGATCCCGCATAGCGAGAATCGAACTCAGAACCTATGAGTTTCGCGTACGAGCGTTTAACCAATAGACCATTGAGTAGGCCAGCATTCAACGGTGATGTCTAACTTTAACTAATCCACGAAATTGAGCAACCATTCTGAATAGTTAAATTCATGAGTCAATTAAAACTAGATCATCATGGAAAACCTAAAAGCACTGGACGACATTTATTTTCTAGTATGAGATCATTAACTTATCACAATCTCCACAAAACCCCCCTTTTTAATAAGTATCTTGTTTCTTTTAAAGAAAAAGGTTTCCCACATTATCAATTTTTACAAATCTGTCATGAAAAGTTGATTATTATTGCCTTTTGTAGTCATAAAAAAGCAACAACCAAATTTTTAGATCATTTAATTTTAAGCATTCAAACTGTATATCTACATAAATATACTGATTTATAACATTAACTTCAGATTCCGTTTACATAAACACTTACACTACATACACATGTTCATGTACATTAAGCTTATTAAACATCTAATTAGTGTATGAAACCAAATTACAGAATTAATTTCGCAGATTAGTTGAAGTTAGACATTTACACTGTCGGGTGCCGGCTCGAGGATCTAGCCCCCAAATGCCCTGGTACAGTCGAAGGTGGGGAGAGTCCACTCTCCCTCTCGAAATTCTTTCACATGGCCACGCGTATATACCCTCTGCCAGGGAAGTCCTACTCACTGCCTTCTCGCGGCATTGTTGTTGTATACTAAATTAAGAAGACGAAGAGCGAATATTAAAAGAGCTTTAACCAGTTTGTTGGACACAGAAAATTCACCTAGGGGAGTTGGAAAACCATGATTCCAAACCAATCATGAACATGTACTCCAGGATTCTGAGGGAACAAATAGCGTATGAATCAATCATTGATCACCGGCTACCATGGGACTGCATATCCTCACGATGCTTCACTGCCTTGTGGAACAGATCTTAAGGTCAAAGGCTCCGGGTGTGGTCCCCTAAAATAACCACGTGCTTTGGTTTGGCCACCAAGACAGTATCACAGCTCTCACACAAATCAAATGAGATTTGTGTAGGGCATATGTATCTGGTACTCCTTTGTACCAATATTTATGTGTTTAGATAAATCGAGCGTCCAGATGTTAGGCGTTTCACGTACGAGACCGAAGGTCCTGAGTCCGGATCCCGCTAGCAGGATTGTGGATGAGCACTGCTGAGGAGTCCTATACTAGAATGAAACGGCTTCCCAGTGATTTCAGGTTTTCCATGATGGTCTCGCTCTAATCGACTGATGAATTCAACTATTAAATTACCTATAAATATGTTATGCATATGTAAGAATGAAGAAATCATATTAAAATCAATGATTAGTGTGACGAATAAGATCTCCATTGAAAATATTGTTATAGTGTGGTTGCATAGAGTAACTGAGTCAGATTTCAATGTACATCTCCATTGTAGTTTTTTTTTCCAAGTTTGTAAACATCATTATTTGTCAATTAAAGCTTTTCCAATCAGTTCACTTTATCATTATGTGATAGTTAAGATTTACAGCTTTGATTGAAAAACCAGAAAGCATTGGATAGATGCTTAAGTATAGTATGCGATTCTTTAGTAGTGTATATCTGTAAGTGCACCAAGAATGGAGTTCAGATGGCGCTTAACCAATAGACCACTGACTTAGGTACTTAGCACAGTCGTGCGTGTACGCTGTTGATAAGCCCTATACTAAGATGATGCGTCTGCACAGTTGTTCTTAATTTTTGTCGGAGTGTGACGTGAGATATGTGTCATCGTAGTTTAGGACACTCAAATTTCGCAAAATTCATCTGGTAACTAGTCATCGCTTCAATCATGTAATCATTTGGTAACGTAATTTGCAGATCTAACATAATCTAATGGTGGAAATAAACTTGACTAATATGAAACCGTTAATATAAATAAACCTATTTTTACAGTCATGTAAATACAACAGTGCCGCCTGTTCACCGAGGGCATGGTTATGCGCTCACCTTTGAGATAAATTTACCATGGAAGGTTCAGTGATACCCAATTTTACAAATCAACGTGTGAAGGGCTATTCGATGAATAACCATTTTAAACATAACGCTCTAACCATTTAAATGATCAACTATGAAATTGATTATTGTCACTAATCGAGATTACTTAGAATACATCTATGGTACCCTGTTGAAGATTAAAATTGGAAACCACAAAGCTCTATGGCAATCATATTATAGTTTATACTAACTGCAAAGAAGGATGGATTTTGACATATTCCAAATGTTGACTTGATTATTGTGTATTTCAAGTGCTAAAAAGAATCCCATCGACCAAGTTGTAGAGTGGTCACTACTTTACATATCTAAGAGTCATAGTGGTCTCAAGGAAATACAATGATTAGTAACTTATGTATATTTTTGAAAATACATCTCAAGAAACCCCAACCGGGACTACCTAAAAACAATACTTGTAAACCTTAAGTATAGATTTGGACCAGGCTCCTTGAAAAACTGATTCTTAAAAACAATACAAATGCTTCTACAACTGTCCACAATGTAGAATTATCAATCAAAGCCATAGCGGGATCCCAGTTATTTATTTGTTTTCTCAAATGTTAAGAGGCGAGATTGATGAGCCATGTTTCGCAGCCGTAAAGTAGAACAGAGCGAACTGCTGCGCAGTATACTTGTTTCTTAATTGATAGACGGATATCTCGTCTTCGCCATAGATGACGTAAGTTGGCAAAAGCCAAACGAGCTTTTTGAATCCGTGGTGAGATTTCGTCAGATACCAACCCATTAGGGTTGATCAGACTTCCAAGATAAGTGAAGTTGTCGACGCGTTTACAAGGTTCTCTATCAACTATTTTCCAGACCTAACATCTAAATATAATTCACAAGAAGTTAAATCACATGCATTAATAGTCACATTATAATATGATCAATAAAATCCGATCAAAACTGAAAGACTTTAAAAGATATACTAATCACTTGTTCAATGATCAATTAACTATCGGTACTGTATATGTTTCAAATGTAGCCCATTTTTACAAAGTATATGTTTATGTATACAACTATGAGATACATTTTTAGGTCTAAGGATCAAGGGGATATTACTAACCAATAAACTAGGTGTAATATAGAATTAGAAGTTGAGTACCTGAAATTAATAACTTTGTTTCCCTATCTCCGTTACCAATTACTTCAAACGCTATGCGCTTAAAATCAAATCGATTCTATATTACCGAGATGTCAACGAGTGAATTTACGCGGTAGAAGAGCTTCCTGGTACTATCTGGACTATGTTAAGCTGGTGGTTAACTCAAGAGAAGAAAAATCTAGACAAACAGATTTCAGAAATAAAATTTCCACCTAATCCACGTTAGTACGTACACAATTTTTCCAGTGTAAAGCTTGATACAACTGAGTTAGAAGCGTTATCATTAGACCCTAAGTTTTGTGATTTGAAAAAGAAGACGGTTAATAAGATGGACGTCGGAATTCAGTTTGAAGATCTTGATGCCCAAACGACAGAATTAGTAACTTCATCAAAAGATAATGTCGAAAGGTTCAAATCAACACTGGTGGACTGTTGCTTCAAATACTTAAATCATGGACATAGTTTGAAAGGAATTTTGACGAATAAACATAGGGAAGCTTAAAGAAAACTTAAAACTAATGACAATTTATGAATCACGAAAGCAGGCAAAGATTATGGGGTAGTACTTATGGATAAAAACAACTATATATAAACAGGATGAAAGCCCTTTTAAGTTATAAAAGTAAATTTCAGAAACTAGTAGTGAAGGATGACGTTGCAGATAAGATTAAAAAGCAACTCATAGATTCATTGAAACAAATTAAACAACAGGGTTTATTTCAGAAAGTGTTCGAAATGTTGAAACCTACAGGAACGATTACACCATGATTTATGGCCTGCCAAAATTACATGAAAGTAGCTTGCCTCTTCGACCCATTTTAGATATGAATAACTTAGCCTATCATACTACAGCAAAATGTGATCTTGAGTGCTATTAAAGGTATGGGGGCAGTTATCACTTCCCGGTTGCCCACACTGTAAAAGGTTTTTCCGGAGGTACCTGTAAAAGAATGTGGATTAAAAATGTTCTTAATGACCTGAGAGCGTGACCGCAGTGCCTAAGGAACAACTGCTTGATGTCGATCATACACGACCTTTTTGTGGGTAATTTTTTTATTAGCTCCGTACTTGTTGGGACCTTACCACCGGAGACGAATATTCGTGGGATAAGACGAGGTGTGCATTTTTAGGGTCGACCTTTCCCAACCCCAACCTTCCTTATGGAAAGGCAGCATCGCTGTTATGCTGGTTATCTGGAGGAAACACCTTACTGCCATCACACCTCTGTACAGTCAGCAATACGACTTCAGACCTTGGATTTGCTAGTTTTAGTCTTACCGCTATTCAACCGACCTGTCTGGCATGGTAGGACCTAATGATATCATTAGATATATCATCCTTATTCACCAACATTCCTCTCCTGGAAACGGTAGATTTTATTTTGCAAGAAAAATAATAATCATCATCATTCACATACTACTACTCATTCATAACAATAACCGAAACAATCAATAAAATTGAGAACAAAAATTATTTTTTTCCATTTTTTTCTTCTTTGAATAGAATAATAAAAAAATTATATCGTGCACAAATTGTCTAAACACCATATTTTTTTTTAAAAAAAAGAGTAAATTTTTTATTTATTTATTTTTAAAACTGAAGAGTAAAATAGAAAAGAAAAAAAGGTGGAGGTGGGGATAAATATAGGATAGGAATATAAGAGAGTAAAGACACACACAAAAAATGTATACACACACATATGTAAACAAGAGAAGTATGTTACTAACCGTAATGAGATAATGATAATATGGTAACTAAATGAGAATTATCCGACTATATTGTTTGTTGATAATCCACATGAAATATCTACTTTTAAGATGTTTCATTTCATTTAATGGTGGTATAACCTTTAATTTGTTCTTTTACTCAAGGCACAAATAAATGTACATAAGGGTGTTTAGTGTTCCTTTTCTCTCTCTCTCTCTCCCTCTTTCAAAGTAGTAGTGTTAGTAGTATGCTCGCATAAATATGTGAAAGACAACACCGGGAGGTCTCTTACTTTCATGTAATACAACACAACGCAACACAATACACAAACAAACAGATACACACTTATAGTATAATCACAAATGAAGTCGGATAGGAGGGGGATGGAATAATCATAAACATTTTTATCAATACACTGATTTATTTATTTTTGACAATTAATAATGAGCAGTAAAGAGCAATAACAAGAAAATGTAGTTATCAACTAAATTATACTAGTTATGAGAGAACAAGGGTGTTGTCTTTGTTGTTAGCTGCACATATGAGCGAAGAAAAAAAAATCGGTTGGTCTACAATTAAGTGTGATTTGAGCTTAATTTGTTCTTGTTTTTTTTTTGATTCCTATGAAAAAAAAGATTATGTAAGGTGGGAAAAAAGGGGAGTAAGAAACGAATAGAACTAAGGGTACGGTTAACACAGAAAACGAAGGATTGAAGTTCAACAGAGGTAATGTGAAGTTTAAAGATGAGGTGAGTTACAACAAAAGAAAACTAGTTGTTTACACACAGGAAAGAACAGTTTATAATCGTGGGTAGAGTATAGAAGGGAAGGGGTAAAGTGTAAACCTTGTTTAACGTGTAAATATACAAACACATAACCATTTTCTTCTGTTCGAACACATCTATTAATCAACACAATCATAATCATCATCTCTTACACATCATAAGTTTTTCAAGTTCAGAGAAAACAATAATCAGAGAGTGAAAAAGCGAAAATAAAAAGAAATGAAGTAAACCACACACACACACACACACACAAGAGAACTACTAGACGAAAACTGAGCAGAACAATAAGGATAACAAAGAGTAGGTGATAGAGAAACGGAGTGAAGAGTAAGTAAACCATGATAAAGAAAGAAAGACAGATAAAAGTGAACAAGTCAATGGAATCAAATATATAAATCCTCTAAAAAACAACAAAGTGAGATTACATAATAAGAAATTCTCATGATTAGTATACATGATTATTATCCAACTGTTTACGGATGAACACTTTATCCAATCAAAAAACATGTGTACTCCACGCATATAATAGTAGAGAATGAAGAGACTAAAGTCAAGGATTAAAACCGAAACACGAATAGAGCTAAAGGGGAATAGAGTTCAATAGGATTTACAAAAAAAAGAACAAGTGATAGAGAAGAAGAAAACAGTAATCATATTAAATCAAGGTGAGACGGGAAGGGAGAGTATTAAAAAATAAGATGAATACAAAATGTTGGGTATTCGGCTATTGAGAAAAGGACAAAATGATAACAAAAATTACTAATGATTGTGTGTGTGTGTGTTTATTCACAGAAGGTTTGTTTGATTTTTCATTTATTCACAATCATGATTATAAGATGAAAGTGTAAGTGAGCAAAGATGAAAATTAACAAAACAAACAAATAAGTATGAAAAAGATATTGGGGGGGGGTGTCGATACTGTCTGATCAAATCTAACTATCACCACCGACAACTAAATCTTCTTTATTCCGTCGCTAGATAAATTTAGAGAGGGAGAAAAAAAACAATGAATACACACAGAGTATTGATTGCTTGAAGTACAAAATCAACATTTTAAGTTCCTGATTGTAAAGGTACGTAAAAAGCGATATTTTTTTCCTAAATATTAATTCGTTAGTCACAGGTCATGAACACTGTCGTCTTCTGATATTCTATAGTTTGTTGAGGTATATGTATCTGGAAGGGTAATAATCATATTTGTTATCAATTCATAGGTATTATTAAAGGGTAATCCGTTCTGATCGTGTAATAACTCTTTTAGTTATATATTTATTTATTTGAACACATAAATATTGGTGCAAAAAGGGCACCAAATACATATGCGCCACATAATAACAATGAGGCTATTAGTAGATATCAATGATTCGTGTGAGGGCTGTGATACTACCCGGGTACCCAAACCAAAGCGGATCAACTTTATCGCCCTTAAACAACGAGATACGAATATGTAAATCTGAATCTCGTTTTCCACACATGATTTAATAACTCGATTATAAATGAGGGATGATAAAGCTTATAAAACAGTAACATTATAAAATGATCAGACAGTGTGAAATTCTATATTTAATTCAACCGCAATTACAGATGCGTATGATAGATCGAGAATTATATCTTAATTCAAATGCTCTGATACGGTCGAGGGTGGGGAGAGTCCTCTCCCTCTCCAGATGCTCTCATATGGGATTACACGTATATGGCTACTGACAGGCAAGAGCTATTCACTGCATTTTCGTGGTGGGGTTGTTTTTACCGAAATGAGGACAAAAAGCGAATGTTCAGCGCTCCACTGGTTGCTACTTCTCACTAGAACTCCAAGAAATACCTCTTGAAGCTAGACAACCAGGTCTGTTGTGAGATAGTAACTCACTGAAGACAATGGTGAATGTGTTACTCAATTTCTTGGGTTAGTTGAAATTAGACATTAATACTGTTGGATGACGACTCAGTGGACTAGTGGTTAAGCGCTTACGCACGACACCGATAGGTCCTGGGTTCGAATCTCTCGAGGCGGGATCGTAGATGCACACTGCTGAGTAGTTCCATACTAGGACGAAACGGGCGTCCAGTGCTTCGAGGTTTTCCATGGCGATCTAGCTTCAATTGACTCATGATCTCAACTATTAAAATTACTATAATATCCACAAAAACCACTTCTGAATATAACTTTGTCGATTGAAAGTATCGGTTATGAATAAGTCAGTTGTATTGTGGAGTGTTATTCACAAAAGGGAGAATTTTCATGATATAATACCCGTTCAAAACAACTCATTTGCTTAAAATCAGATAATGGATAAAAATTTAAAAGGAATAACACCAAATTGTGTCAAAAAACTCATACGACAGACTACAGCGAAAAGTCGTGCATGGAGGACAGCTGACAGATTCATTTCCAGTAAGCATCAGAGTCAGACAAGGCTGTCTACTCTCCCCCCTTCCTATTTCTTCTGGTGATTGACTGGATTATGAAGACTTCGACATCTGAGGGGAAGCACAGAATGCAATGGACATCTCGGAATTAATTAGACTATTTGGACTCTGCAGATGATCTAGCACTCCTCTCTCATACACACGAACAAATACAGACAAAGACAAACAATGTAGCAGTAGCTTCTGCATCAATAGGCCTCAACATACACAAAGGAAAAAGCAAGATTCTCAAATACAACACAGAGAACACCAACTCAATCACACTTGATGGAGAAACTCTGGAAGAGGTGGAATTTTTTACGTACCTGGGAAGCACCATCAGTGAACAAGGAGGATCTGATGCAAATGTGAAGGCGAAGATTGACTAAGCAAGATCTGCATTCCTACAGTTGAAGAACATATGGAACTCCAAACAACTCTCAACGAATTTCAAAGTCAGAATCTTCAATACGAATGTCAAGACAGTCAGTTCTACTGTACGGAGCTGAAACGTGGAGAACTACTACAACCAACGTCAAGAAGGTACAAGTAATTATAAACAGTTGTCTACGCAAAATACTCAACACTCACTGGCCGGATACTATCAGCAACAGCGTTTTATGGGAGAGGACAAAGCAGCTTCCAGCTGAAGAGGAAATTAGAAAAAGACGATGGAAGTGAATCGGACATACATCAACGTACATCATGAGGCAAACCCTAACTTGGAATCCGGAAGGGAAGCGGAAAAGTGTAAGGCTAAAGAACATATTACACCGGGAAATAGAAGCAGATATAAAAAGGATGAATAATAACTGGAAAGGATTGCCCAGGACAGGGTTGGATGGAGAATACTAGTGTGCAGCCTATGCTCCTCCACGAGGGGTAACAGGCGCAAGTAATGTCAAAAAAATAAGAGAGAAAAAAATGAGAGAACATACTGATTCTTGTAAATTCTGCTTTGTGCGTATTCCTTGATTTTTATCCCCATTTATTGTACTATGAATTGTTTGTTTTGAATTGTGAATAAAATTTGAATGATGATTAATTTGATTTGGTGTGTCCAATAAAGGCATACTATTTAAAATAAATGGTTCAACTGAATGATTTCCAGTATTGCATGGATTACGAAATCTAAATTTATTAGGATGAGATGAAATTGATGAACCACGATAACCTGAACCAGGAACAACTTGTGAATGAGATGTGTGAACATGATTTAAACTTGTAGGTGGACGTACCGGTGGTGGGAAAGGTAGGTTAGCGATAAACGTGTAACAAGGACCAGCCGATGGAAATCGTGTAGATGGTGAACAGGACTGATCTATTTCAATATTGTGTTTGTCATCTATTGTATCACTCAAGCGTCCACGCGGCCAACAACCATACAGTGTTGGAGGTCCGATACGCACAGGCCTTGTTGTGGTAGCTATTTTTATTAAATGAAATACAGGCCAAACAATATAATGTAGTGATTTTGAAAAAAAGCAGAAATTTCAAGGTATTGGTCGAGAGATTGTTAGTCGAACACAACTATTAAATATAGTGAAATACATTACTAACTAAACAGTTGAAAAATAAAGGTTGCCGAACTAAATAAAACATGGCCCATAGATATACTCAAAAGTTTAGGGTATGAGGAAAACATTTGGTATGATATTGATTAAAACAAAAAAGTGAGAAGACATGTTATTAGTAGTAGTAATAGTAATACAGAGGATATTACTTAATTCATGTCATGAACCAATCTAAGTCAAAATCACTACCGAAAACCCAGAAGCACTTGACACCTGTTTTGTCCTAGTATGGGACTTCCCAACAGTGCGAATCCACGATTCTGCACACAGGACTCAGACCATGGACCCCTAGTCTCGCGTGAGGACACCTAATCTCCAGACCACTAAGCCGGCATCCAACGAGTCAATGTCACGCAATGTTGCAAATTAATTGAGATTATGTATAAACAACGTTGGATACCAATTCAGAGATCAGAGGGTTAAGCGTTCGTGCGCGAGATCGTGGGCGCGCACTACTGAGGAGTCTCATACCAGAACGAAACGGTTTCCAGTGTTTCTACGTTTTTGATGGTCGTCTGACTTGGATCGATCCATAACACCAAAAAAATTTAACGATCTCGACAATCTTATAGTAAGAAAAGAGAGGATATTACTTTTAAAGAGTAAGTGACTCAAACTGACGTGATACATTTTGAATGAAATTAACTATCAATGGGAAGATTAAAACAAACAATATTAAGTGAATTTAAACTTCACTCCATTGTACAAGCAAGTGGCTATTAGGACTCAGTGGCCGAGTGAATAACGCGATAGCGTTTGAAACGAAAGTTACTGGGGTTCGAGTCTCAAAGTGAACATCAACTCAGATACAGGTACATCCAGCTAACGACTCCCGAATAGGACGAAACACACGTCCTGGATTCCACTGCTAGTCATTATCCATCTTTGATTACCATGCTTGTGAATTAAGGCTATATCGAGGCAATACGCACAGTAAGCACATATGCCAATTAGAGACTGAAGAGTTACAGTCCTAAAGCATCAATGGGAAGATTCAAACAAACAATACTAAGTGAATTTAACTATTAGATAGTTTATTCAAATGATAAAAATGATGTGTACTATCTTAATAATTACAAAAAGAGGATTTTTGATGTGTTATGATCTAGTGCAAATTGCTTCTTCCCATCAAATATTAAGTTAGCATGATTAAAGGACAAACTAGTTTCATTTTGTCTAGTGAATACATGTAATCAAGTCTAAACACGCTATTTGTAATTGTATTTCGCAAATATATAGAAAGGAATTATACATGAAGTACTTTTGAAATTTACAAGTGTATTTGTCATTTAAAAAAATAACGTGATTTTTTTTGGGAGGGGAGGGTATGTGATCAAGATTGATAGAAGGTTAAGGTCTTTTTTTATATTTCGACCGTAAAACATATAACAATTTTAACTACTACTAATCCTACTATCCCTATTAGACCTTTATTAGAAACATGAAAAAGATATTGACAATGTCAAATACTTTGAATTGACAATCTCATAGAAAATGACTGAAAACAATTGCCATTAAATTATGGTACTGAAGTGTGTGTTTTATAATATTAACAATTACATAACTATCAGAGGGGGGTTTCGGAGATTTTAGTAATTATACATGGTTGAAATCATGGGTCAATTGAAGCTAGACCATCATGGAAAACCTGAAAGCACTGGACGGCCGTCTCGTCCTATTGCGGAACTCCTCAACAGTGCGCATTCGCGAGATTTCAACCCAGGACCTATCAGTCTCGAGCCAGAACACTTAACCGATAGACCACTGAGCCGGCATCCAACGGTGTTGATGTCAAACTTCAACCAATCCACGAAATTGAGAAACCTATTCACCAATGTCTTCAGTGAATTGATATCTCCCAACAGACCTGGTTGAACTCCACTGGTTACTGCTTCTCATCACTAGAACTCCAGGAAATACCTCAATTTTTGTTGACAAATATCCCTTTAAATAATACCGATAATTATCTTTCCCTATCTTCGTTACCAATTACTTCACCAAAAAAATAATAGTAATTCACACTATCTAGTGTTCCTAATCGAACAGAAAAAACAACCAGTCATATACCATTCATCATTTAAGTGGATAATATTATTAATGAGGATAAGATATATATATTCCACAGGCTATTTAATCATTGATCATTACATAAACATGGATAGTTAGTTAACATATATAACAATCTGTTGACACATGTGTATAAACGAACTGAACGTGCACCAGGAAACAGAAACAGAGAGAAAGAAAAGAGAAACTCACAGATATTCTACTAACTCTTATATACATTCTATACTAAAGTTAAAATTATGTTTACATATTTCATTAAGACACAATAAATAAGGCTAACAAAAAAAGAATTACCTTAAAACACATGCAATACATAAATAATATTTGGGTCAATACTGAAAAGTGGAAAGTGGTAATTCAGTTGTAACATAACTTGCCATTTTAAAAATACCTCATTGAGTGTGTGTGTGTGTGAGAGAGAGAGAGAGAGGGTGAGAAATAAACGGTATGATTGATGTTACAAGTGTTTATACATTTATCCCCCCCAAATGCCCTGGTACGACCGAGAGTGGGGAGAGTCCGCCCTCTCTCTCGAAATGCTCTCACATGGCCACTCGTATACAGCCACTATCAGGGAAGTCCTACTCACTGCCTTCTCGCATCACAATTGTTGTTTACGAAATTGAGAGGACGAAAAGCGAATGTTTGGCGCTTTAACCAGTTTGGTGGATATGGAAGATCCACCTTTGAGACTTGGAAAACCCTGATTCCAAACCAATGGTGCACATGGACTCCAATACCCTGAGGGAAAAAATGGCGTATGAATCAATCGTTGGTCACCGGCTTCCATGTGACTCCATCTCCTTACGATGCTCCACTGCCTGGTGGATCAGACTTTTGAGTCAAAGGCTCCGGGTGTGGCCCCCTAAGAAAACCACCTGTTTCGGTTTGGACACCTGGGCAGATCACAGCACCCACACAAATCAAATGAGATCCTAATCATGGATAACAGGTTAGTGTGGTCCGTCATATTAAATGCAGAACTGATTATGCCACTTAAACATATAAGTTGTAAATTTAAAAACAAATACAACCATGTAAGATGATATTTTGTCTTCGATTTTAATATGACTGATCATATAACACTACAAGGAACATATTAATAAGTTCAGAGTTTAGATTATTATTATTTATTTGAATAATATATAATAATACTCAAATTTCAGATAAGGGATTTCATAGAACGATCAGTGATCTTGAGTGCTGTTAGAAGGTATGAGGACGGTTATTACTTCCCGGTTGCCCACACCGTAGAAGTGTTCTTCTAGAGGTACCTGAAAAGGAAATTGGGTTAGGAATGATCTCAGTGACCTGAGAGCGTGACCACAGTGAGCAAGGGACAACTGCTTGAGGTCGGTCACACACAACCGTTTTTGTAATTTTTATGTTAGCTCTGTACATTACCGCCGGAGACGGAAATCCGTGAGATAAGTCGAGTTGTGCATTTTTAGGATCACGTTGAAAAATACTCTGGAAAAATTAAGTGAATGGAATCTCCAACTGGTGAACTTTAATTTATGATTCTTTGGGAAGATTCATGAGATTTTATCAAAGTCAAGTAAGAAACAGTCAGTGCTTTACAACAAATTATAGACATGACGACAAACTTGAGTTCTTTTAAGCATTTGTAATTTGTCCCTTAGTTAGGATACATTTTTAATTCACTAGGTATTCAGTAATTATTTCTGTGAATTTTAGCAAACAGCTTTCATATAGTAATCATAAAAAGTCGAGAATGTGGTGATATAATGAAGTGTTCCTATTTGAATCACCTTTACAGGTTATCCTGAAAATCTTAATATCACGGAAAAACTGCTTTATAACTATCAATAAAATTTGGTTTCAAATGTGACCGGAAATCCTTTATGCTGTCTATAAGTGAAAATGTAATTACTATCGTATTTTTTAATGGAAGATATAATTAGTCAGCCACCTATAAGCAGCGTAGATCGTCGTGGCACGTGTACATCGGTTCAAGCTGTTATAATCCAGCATTGACACAGCGAAGTAAGATTGTCAGCACAAAACATTAGAGTATTAGTGATAATAGAAAAGATTGGGCAGCCAAGGTACAATTCGGAAAGAAAATATAAATTAATAACATAATAAGGCATGTGTTCATGATGAATTTAGAAATTTAGGATGTAAGGGAAGATAGATCGAATGATTTTGAGCCATGTCATTTAAAGTTTCTAACCATTGGTTACGATAATAGGGCGGATCTAAATCAGGTAGTCTTTACCTACCTACATGGATCAGTTCAGTAGTCAGTGTTATTACAGACCGACACTGTCTTAGTTTGGCTCCCCTTAGCTCTCCTCCAACCTATTCTTACACCAGCTATCATCAAGCCTCGAGGTAGTCAATGGATGGATATGGGTAGTACATATTTTAATCATTTCAGTCTACTAAGATTCTCTACTTCGTCAATCGATTATCCACCCTTACTTAATATACTGCATCTAATCTCAGGATTGCTAAGTCAATGGTCCAAAAATAAACGAGCAATGCTTCAAAGACACCTATGATCGGATACTATTAACTTAAGAATATCTTTTATTTTTAAAGGCCACGTTTAACAGTCATAAGGTATAATGCAGCGAACTGCTGAGCAGTATACTCGTCCTTTAGTTGGTAGAAAAAACCCGAGCCTTTCGAATCCGTTTCGAGATTTAGTCAGACATCAGCCCACTACGGTTGAAGAGACTTCCAAAATAAGTGAAGCAGTCGAGAAGTTCAAATGATTCACTCCTTATCATTAGTTCAGATGTTGACACAGACCACTCTTGAAGCAACATTTTGAATTTAGAGGGATAGAAACACACACTAAACATACTACAGTTACTGCTTAAGGTGGTCAGAAGACCTGTTCAATGTCTTCGACAAACAGAACTGTCATATGCGTATTCAAAGTCAAGAAGAGCACCTTCTGATAAGTCAGACGATTGGTGTTGTCTCTAGAAGAATCTCTATAACAAAATTAGACCAAAGTTGAGACAGTCCTGACAAGCATCGCTTGAAGGCATCGAATACGATAACAATTCGCCATAAGCTCTGACTTAATCAGTAGTGTATGAGTAGAGAGCCTGTGCAAGGTTGATGTACTTTGTTAGTACGTCTTTTAATGACAGACGATGACATAAAACCTCTCGACCTATGGAGTGAAAGATTACCTTAAAGTCAAGGTATACAACTATGGCCAGGAGTTGGTACGTATGTCTGTATTCAGGTGTAATTAATGTTGTGAAATGATGTTATTTATTATATTTATTTATTTAAACACATAAATATTGGTACAATGAAGCACCAGATAAATATGCGCCTCACAAATCTCATTCGATTTGTGTGAGGGCTGTGATACTGCCCAGGTGCCCAGACTGAAGCAGGTGGTTTTCTTAGGGGGCCACACCCGGAGCCTTTGACCAAAAGGTCTGATCCACAAGGCAGTGGAGCATCGTGAGGAGATGCAGTCCCATGGTAGCCGTTGACCAATGACAGGTTCCTCCGCCATTCGTTCCATCAGGATACTGGAGCCCATGTGCACCATTGGTTTGGAATCAGGGTTTTCCAACTCCCCTAGGTGGACCCTCCGTGTCCACCAACCCGGTTAAAGCGCCGGACATTCGCTTTTCGTCCTCTCACTTTCGTAAACAACGCCCCCGCCACGAGAAGGCAGTGAGTAGGACTTCCCTGGCAGAGGCTATATATTCGCTGGCCATATGAGTATTTCGAGAGGGAGAGGTGACTCTCCCCACTCTTGGCCGTACCAGGGCATTTGGGGGTTGTGAAATGATGTGGAAGATTTGTAGCCTAGATGAATGCGTTTTCTAAGCTAGATGATTTAATCACAAAGCTTTCATTATCGTTCTGGACAAAATTATCAGCGCCTAACTCAAAAATGTATTTAGGAGGTGAAATAGAAAGATATAATATTGTATCTCATATTCCTAGTTTACTAAAACCGGCATACTGAACTAGATTTTACGGGTTTTGACATAAGGTCGAATATCAAGATTCGGTAGTAGATCATAATGAGAAATCACGACTTCTATGGACGATTGAATGCTTTTTGTTAACCCAAAGATCTATAACACCATGAAGGGATGATGATATATCAGTATACGCATTACATTGCTTTTCAGCTGAGCATTTGTGTTTACTCTTTGAGGATTATAAGCACATACTGTCGTAAAGAATGGAAACCTACCTCATGGTTTGCAAGAGCTGACAGATTTACGCTAGCATGTATTAAGAACTATTTAGATTTTTAATAAATCGACCATTACTGACGTATTCAGAGGAACTAACTAACCTTAATGAAAACTATAGCCAAACATATAACATAATTTAACTAAAAGTAATAGCTTACGGTCTGATGTCATCGTCTGTCCTGAGTATTTGCTATTGGCTATACCATGCCAATTGATCAAAGGATATCGAGGATAGAAAAAAGGTTGAGCGAGATTTGTGCAGTTTGAACGGTCTGGGAGCATTGGTGTTGAATAGTTAGGGGCACCTGCAGTAGAAGATCCGAAATTCGGAATACCACCAGGAAACAATGGTATATGAAATGGTTGTCTCAGAGAATTTAAAAAAGCATCTTGACGACCGGGCATAAGTGTCCAATAATCAGGTTGATCTGTATTATGTCGATTAGATTTAGAATATGGTCGACCGTTAGCTGAATCCGAGGTTGATATATTAGTTGGACGTCCATTGGGCAGTACATATACGATAGGAGCTTGAATAAACGATTGAACAGACGTGCCAGCAAGAGATTGTCCATATAACCATAAGGCTAACATATGATGCAGATTTGTTAAAATAAGCTGGAAATTTAAGTAAGAGTAGTGGATAAATTAAATTACAGGGATCATAATCTCTTTAATAAAAGAGTATCGGTTAACTATTTCCTTTAGACAGTTACGCTGCTTTAAAAAATGAGGAAGCATTTAAGTACTACACGAAGATATGAACTACATACCAATCAGTCATTAACAACATAGTACCTAGAAGAAGTGTACTTTTTTACAAGTCATCACAACAGGCGTTAGGGAGGCGCGAGGAGACCAAGATAAGAAGCATCATATGGGAAAAAATCTCGACTTCAAAGAAGAGTTAAACATGAGAAATATAATACAAAGGGAACAAATGAAATTGAAGTTATGAGTGTTACCGAACTTCAGATTTCGTGGAAAATGGACGCAAACGCAACATTGGGACCAGTTTTTCAAACATTACCTAATCTATACCTATCGACAAGTTTTAGACCAACAGTCAATGAATTCACAAACTGACGCTATGTCTTGATTCACTCATCTCTAGCCCATTACTGTACTAACCAACACTGCACATTGGGATAAGCATGCCTCAAAGAAGGTTTATGGACTTTTTGACTGAGTACATAATGCATAACCTCACTATTACTAGCTAGATAGTTCCGAGAAAATGTGAACAATGGAGCACATGTTCACCATTGGTTTGGAATCAAGATTTTCCAACTCCCCTAGGTGGATACTCCATATCCACCAACCCAGTTAAAGGATCAAACATTCGCTTTTCGTCCTCTTGATTTTGTAAACAACAATTGTGATGCGAGAAGGCAGTGAGTAGGACTTCCCTGATAGTGGCTGTATACGAGTGGCCATGTGAGAGCATTTGGAGAGGAAGAGCTGACTCTCTCCATTCTCGGCGATGCCAGGGCATTTGGGGGCTAGACTTATGAAAATGTGTTGTGACGGGTGCTGTCTAAATCTGATACTGACTACCTGAACGAGAGAGCGTATTGGGCTACCGAATAAAATACACAAATACTCGTTTATATACATATACCACTCCAATCCTTGGGAAATCGATCAATTTCTTAGCCAATGAAATGCACTTGTCCTTTAGGTCGATCCTGATTGCCATCGATCGACCTTTACACTAGGCTACTTCTGATTGGCTCTCCATAACAAAATCACTGATAAAACTGTTGCTGCGTAATTAGATCTCTTTCCATTTATCTTTAGTGACACGATCGATACACAAGGAAGGTCATCCAGTACCCTCAAATTTTCAATGGTGGTCTAACTTACATCGGTTTATGATTAGAATGAAATTCAACAACCCACAAAATTCCTTGCTGACGAATGAAGAGTGATAGTAACATTATTAATAATGAATATATTAAACTGGAAATGACTTACTTGTGTAGTTTCAAAGTCAGCATATATTTCTAACGGTATACGATTAGGATGAGCCCATAACTGATCTAGGCCATCATTAGTTAATTCTCTTGGTGGTAAAATAAGTGATTTAGATAAACAATTACCGCCAGTATAGTTTAACTGTTGTTGTTGGCCACGCAGAGTAGCATTGATTCGTTTAAGTTGTTGTTGAACTAAACGTTTACGTCGTCTAGGCTCAGGTAGTACATGAATGAATTTCTTAACTGCATCATTTGATGATAAATTTGCATTTAAACGTCTACTAGCTAATGATTGAATCCAATTCAATGGAGATGTTCCAGATTTATTGTTATTATTAGTATTACCAGAGTCATCGAACTTTGAGAAGACAGTCGATGTAAGAACGGAGGATGATCGAGATGTTTCTATGAATCCAGGATTATGAGTTGTAAGCCACCAGAGAAATCGATACGGCAAACATATTAAAGTGGCTAAACAAAATAATTTCTGATTTGAATTATCATTTGATGAAGAGCCAGTGATCATCTAGTAAAAAATAAGAAACAAATCAGTGGTGGAATATCCATTACAAAAAGGTGTAGAGTTTGACTGGTTAGTAAGCGTACTTTAAACAGATTTAAGGTTTTACACCTTCAGATTAAGGTTCACTATAACTTTAGCTTAGAAACTATTACTTACAAAATATATTGCTAACAGTCGATTCAATTATCCAGTCATAATCAATGTAAAGGGTGGTAGTCAATCAACCATGCTCATCATAGAGTTTTAAATTGTTAGCGGGACATAGATTGGATTAAAGCATGTTTCATGCATTATGGTGTTGCTGTGCGCTGATTGGCTAATTCTAAACCGATCAGCCCGGGCATATTATTGCAGAAAAATCTAGAAGCTTCTTATGTATATACTATAAATATATGAACATTATTTAAACTATTGATTGCTGTTCACTTATCATTATTATTTTTAATACAATTTCATTCCTGTTCAACGTGTTCTGATTTTGGGGTCTTGTCGAGTGTCATTGTATAAGAATACTAAGCAATAAGAATAGCTGGGTCGTTTATATAGCAAAAAAACTACAAATATAACAGCGGCGACGAGGAAAACGGAAAACTCATTCAAAATGCCTATATCAGATGACCAGCTCAGCCGAATACTACAGCAACAGTAAGCACAACTTGACGCACAAATGCGCCTGTTAGAAACTCTGACGCAACAGCTTAACATACACTACTCGAGTTCACATGCTACTGCAAGTACTTCTTCTTGTGATGCAGTTGCCAGCAGCATCCCAGAATTCTATTATGACCCCGAATGTGGCAATACATTTCTCACGTGGTTTAAGCGTTGGGATGACACATTAGAATAGAGTTTTGTAATCAAGACGACGCATGGAAGACTCGACTGTTGATGCGTAAGTTGGGAAGCAATGAACATGCACGTTATGCTGATCATATATTGCCAAAGTTACCTCGAGAGCTCAGTTTCGAGGAGACAGTAACGCAATTGTCAGAGATATTCGGTGAATCTTCCACATTGTTTAGTATTTGATACCAATGTCTTAATTGGGTGAAACGTGAAGCCAATGAATATGGTGCTCTAGCAGACGTCGTCAACAGAGAGTGTGAACGGTTCAAGTTACGCTCGTTGACAGAAGATCAATATTCATTAAAGCTTTGCAGTCACTACAAGATGCTGAAATTAGAACCAGACTTCTAACTCGCCTGGATCAAGACCCAAACGTCACACTCAAAACATTGACAGATGAGTGTAAACGACTACAAAACATCAGTTAATTGAACAGGTAAATTCTAATTTAGCCTGCCCCCAAATGCCCTGGTACGGGAGAGTCTACTCTCCCTCTCGAAATGCTTTCACATGCCCAGCGAATATATAGCCTCTGCCATGGAAGTCCTACTCACTGCCTTTTCGTGGCGGGGGTGTTGTTTACGAAAGTGAGAGGACGAAAAGCGAATGTCCGGCGCTATAACCGGATTGGTGGACATGGAGGGTCCACCTAGGGGAGTTGGAAAAGCCTGATTCCAAACCAATGGTGCACATGGGCTCCAGTTTCCTGATGGAACGAATGGCGGAAGAACCTGTCATTGGTCAACGGCTACCATGGGACTGCATCTCCTCACGATGCTCCACTGCCTTGTGGATCAGACATTTAGGTCAAAGGCTCCGGGTGTGGCCCCCTAAGAAAACCACCTGCTTCGGTTTGGGCACCCGGGCAGTATCACAGCCCACACACAAATGAATGAAATGACGAACTCTATTGACGATTCTATTCCTGCTCATATTATAAGCAAGACAATTAACATTATTATTATTACCTTTATTATTATTATTATTGTTATTATTATTATTATTATTTACCATATCGCTAATTCACCTCCTTTTACCCCCAATTTGTGTAACCTTACTTTTCAACTTATGCAGCAGCTCGCCCATGGTGGAAAATCTGTCCTATCTAAACGATCTCCAGTCACTGTCTGGTTGAAAGTGAATGATTCCACCGATTATGAATACTGAAGCAGTCTTTCTGAAACCACGTACGCCGTTCAAGTTGGCTTCCTTCAACGTTCGCACACTAATGCATATCAGACAACAGATAGGGCTGGCTATGTCTTTGGAAGGTCTTAATGTTGATGTTTGTTGTCTATCCGAGATCCGTATTCAAGACTCTAGTGAAGTACTACAAATCCGCTCTCCATCTGTCACCTCGAAAAGCTTGTTCCACGTGCGCTTATCCGGGGACCCTGTGGCATCTTCGTCTGGTCTTGCTGGCGTTGGTGTCGCACTAAGCGCTAGGGCTGAGGCAGCACTAATCGATTGGATCCCCATTAACAGTCGGTTATGTGCTGTTAGATTAGAAAGTTCCATCAAAGTGAGAAGAAACCGGCGTGAGAAACGGTGTCTTTTCGTCATCTCCGCCTATGCCCCGACAGATTGCAGCCCGGATGCAATCAAGGATGAGTTTTACCATCAGTTAACAGTTCTTCTCCAGAAAGCGCGTTCGACAGATATTGCAGTACTAGCCGGAGACTTGAATGCACAGGTCGGGCGTCTAGGCACAGAAGAGAGTCGTTTAGGTGGCCGATGGGGACTTGTTGGTTGCCGGACAGATAACGGGGACCATTTGCTGCAACTGTGCACAAAACACAACCTGTTTCTGGCCAGCACTAACTTCCGGCACAGTCTTGATATCAGGGCGGCCTTCGATTCGTTGGACAGGACTGTTCTCTGGGATTGTCTATTGAAGAAGGGTGTGCCTGAGAAGTTCATTAACATCTTAAAGGCCCTGTATACGAACACCTCAGGCAGAGTGAGGGCATACAACCACCTTTCTCCCTCGTTCCATTCGAGCAGTGGGGTTAGACAGAGTTGCCCAATCTCACCATTCCTCTTCAACTTTGCAATCGACGACATCTTGGAAACAGCTCTGATGGATGTAAGTAATGGCGGTGTGGATATGTTGCCTGGAGAACGACTTCTCGACCTTGAGTATGCGGATGATATTGTCTTACTGTGCGATAATGCCCAAGGCATGCAATCAGCACTTAATCAGTTGGCAATCAGTGTCCGCAGGTACGGCATGTGCTTTGCACCCTCCAAGTGCAAAGTACTCCTACAAGACTGGCAGGATTCTCATCCTGTACTCACCCTGGATGATGAGCAGATTGAAGTAGTTGAGAAGTTCGTGTATGTAGGTAGCTACATAAGTGCTGGTGGTGGCGTGAGTGATGAGGTTGATGCACGTATAATGAAGGCCAGAGCGGCTTATGCCAATCTGGGCCATCTTTGGCGCCTTCGTGACGTTAGTCTGGCTGTAAAAGGTTGGATCTACAACGCGTCGGTGAGAGCAGTTTTGCTATATGCTTGTGAAACCTGGCCTCCGAGTTGAGGATGTTAGACAACTCTCTGTGTTCGATCATCGTTGTCTCCGAAGGAGTGCTGACATACAGTGGCAACACCATGTTAGTAATGCAGAGGTTCGGCATCGTGTGTTGGGGAGCAGAGACGATAATTCAATTGGTGTCACCATCTTGAAACACCGACTTCGGTGGCTTGGACATGTTTTACGAATGTCGTCCCAGAGACTTCCACGTCGTGCATTATTTGCCGACCCTGGGACTGGTTGGAAAAAGCGGAGAGGAGGTCAGTGTATGACATGGTGTCGTGGCATGAAAGAGAGCTGCAAAGGGCTAGCTTCTGTTGGTCCTTCACGACTCCTTGGTTGGGGTCCGAGAGATGGTGCAACACAGTGGCTAGAGACGTTATCAGATATGGCTCAGAATAGAAGCCAGTGGTGATCCTGCTGCAACCTTCTTTTACTTTCTACATAAAGAATGGTTCTAACTTTTTTAACTGAAAGAGTCTTCTGGTTGTACATTTCAGTCCGCCTTATCTTCTCATCCCTTCTCTTGCTATTTTCATTATTTTGTGTGGCGCATATGTATCTGGTGCCCTTTTGTATCAATATATACGTGTTTAAATAAAATAAATAAAAATTTAACCTGCAGTAGTGTAAATGCTATGACTAGGTTAAGAAGTCAGAAGCTTAATAAAACTCATAACAAACCAACGAATGCCTGTTGGTTATGCGGCGATTGGCATTATGTACGGTTCTGTCCATTTAAGAAGCATAAATGTCAGGTGTGCAAAAGACGTGGACATAAAGAAGGCCATTGTTCACCGAATCGTACGTACCAGCCCAAGAAGTATAAACGTCTTCCACGTGTGGTGAAATCAGCTGAGTCTAAATCTCTTTCTCTGGTAGCAGCTTTTCAAACAGACTATGACATTCGGAGAAAGTATGTTACGATCCAGATTAATGGTATGGCGGCTCGTCTTCAAATTGATACAGCATCCGATATTACTCTAGTGTCTAGAGAGACGTATAACTTGCTGGCAAAGCCGCCAATGAAGCCATCGAAGAAAACGGCTAAAAATGCATCTGGAGGCGTACTAAAATTAGTTGGCGAATTACAATGTGAATTTTCCTTCAATGGAAATAACTGTAAAGGGGTATGTTATCTAACAGAACGACCGAACCTTGATCTACTTGGTCTAGATATGTTAGAAAAGCTTGGATTAATGAATCAACAGCGTTTTTAACGTGTCGTGTCCATCATTAGACACAACTTCACATGCAAAAAAGACAGGTGAAAAGGTTCCAGAAATACGGAGTGTAGTAGCAGCGGCACTCCAGTGTCGTCAGATGAAATCAGACAAGAGACTCTTCGAGACCCTGTTCTACAAGAAGTTAGAGAGCCATCCCGTTCGTGTACAAAATGTGGATTGGCAGCAAAAGCACCACGAAAAGCAGAGTTGCAATCATGGCCGATACCACAGTCACCGTGGCAACGTATACATTTAGACTTCGCTGGTCCATTCCATGGACAAACTTTCCTTCTGGTAGTGGACGCATACAGCAAGTGGCCGGAAATTTTCATCATGGAACATCCAACAGCAAGCTGCACAGTTAGAAAACTGAGGCAATTATTCAGTCGTTTTGGGGTTCCAGAACAAGTAGTCAGCGACAACGGCACAAAGTTTACATCATCTATCTTTTCAGAATTTTGTCAGCAGAATGGAATCAGGCATATCCGAACACCCCCATTCCTCCCGCAATCGAACAGCGAGGTAGAACGTTTTGTTGGTACGTTCAGAAATGCTCTAGAAAAATCAAGAGGGGAGGGGGACACCGAAGAGATCTTAGAGAGTTTCTTGTTTATCTACCGTTCGATACCGAACCCTCAGACAACGAATGGAGTCTCCTCAGCGGAAGCGTTACTTGGCAGAAAAATAAGGACATATTTTGACAGCATTCGTCCGACTCCAGCTCTTAAGCCGCAAAGAAACGTGGTGATGGAGAAACAGTACAATAGTCATCATGGGGCACAAAAACGATTGTTCAGCGTGGGTCAAAAGGTACTTGCTATGGACTATCGAAGAAAACATCCTACATGGATAGCTGGTCGGATCGTTCAAAAGAAAGGAAATATGGTTTACGAGGTGTCCGTTAGTTCAGAAATCTGGGTGCGTCATGCTAACCAACTGAAATCAACCTCGATCTCCAACAACGAAACGCAGCATAGATTACCTCTTGATGTTAGCGGGACATAGATTGGATTAAAGCATGTTTCATGCATTATGGTGTTGCTGTGCGCTGATTGGCTAATTCTAAACCGATCAGCCCGGGCATATTATTGCAGAAAAATCTAGAAGCTTCTTATGTATATACTATAAATATATGAACGTTATTCAAACTATTGATTGCTGTTCACTTATCATTATTATTTTTAATACAATTTCATTCCTGTTCAACGTGTTCTGATTTTGGGGTCTTGTCGAGTGTCATTGTATAAGAATACTAAGCAATAAGAATAGCTGGGTCGTTTATTAGCAAAATACAAATTATAACAGAAATAGATACGCGTTGAGACAAGTTGTCATGATCTAATTTAAACAACGTAAATATAAGATGAATAGCAAAAGAAATCGAACTAACGTAGTAACAGTAACAATAAGAAAGACTAATCATTGAGAATATGATTTAAAAAGACAAGATGGAAAGATATTTATAATGGAACACTGAAATTCAAGAGTGAGAGGAAGATAAAGGGCGAATAGATTTGCATCGTTGTGAACAAGGCCACGGAAAATCTTTAGACACTGATCGTAGTCATTGTGTCAACCTCGACCAGGTATTCTGCATCTATCAGGATGGTTCACACCAACGATCAATATATTCATGAATTGGCGTCATATCTAGCTTTGACCACAACCGACTACCTTTTAACCCACTTCTATTTCAAGAAACAAAGTTCATCAAGATAGAGTGTGATTAAGCATACGTAACACATCCTAACGACCTCAATATAAACCAGTAAGAAGATATATATACCCAGAAATACATACGTCATAATGAATAATCGAGTATTTGACATAAGCTTTGCCTACAATAATGGCAAAAGGAAAAGCAAGACTCTCCGATACAATACAACATGCACCCATCAAATAACACTTGACGAAGAAGCTTTGGAGGATGTGAAAACCTTTACATATCTGGGCAGCATTATTGATGAACACGGTGGATCTGATGCAGATGTAAGGGAGAGGATCGGCAAAGCAAGAGCAGCATATTTACAACTGAAAAACATCTGGAACTCAAAACAATTGTCAACCAACACCAAGGTTAGAATTTTCAATACAAATGTCAAGTCAGTTCTATTGTATGGGGCGGAGACGTGGAGAACTACCAAAACCATCATCCAGAAGTTACAAGTGTTTATTAACAGTTGTCTACGCAAGATACTTCAGATCCGTTGATCAGACACTATCAGTAACATTCTACTGTAGGAGACAACAAACCAGATTCCAGCGAAGGAAGAAATCAGGAAGAAGCACTGGAAGTGGATTGGGCATACTTTGAGGAAATCACCCAATTGCGTCACAAGACAAGCCCTCACATGGAATTCTGAAGGCCAAAGGAGAAGAGGAAGATCAAAAAACACATTACGCCGAGAAATAGAGTCAGAAATGAGAAAAATGAACAATAACTGGATAGGACTAGAAAAGAAGGCCCAGGACAGAGTAGGTTGGAGAAAGCTGGTCGGCGGCCTATGCTTCATTGGGAGTAACAGGCGTAAGTAAGTAAGTACAATAATGGCACAAAATGACATACAAACACATACATACCTGACGTTTATGTAAATTTTTAAGACGTTGAAATATTTGCCATTGAGCCATAATTTGTGATTGAGCTGAACCAGATAAACTAACTAAACGATATGATTGATTTGATGTTGATGTTACTGTAGTAGTTGTAGTAGTGATATTAGAAGTTTTTTGTTCAATAGATTCCGATATCTGATGATCTGGCATTTTTTCAACAACTGTACAATCTGAATGTATTGAAGAACTTTTCACTAGATGATGATTATAACAATTAGATATCATATCTGATGTTTGATCAGCTGCAATATCATTGATATGAGTATCATTATTCATTGAAGAAATCATTTGTGTGCATTCATTGTCTACAAGAGATACTTTATTTGTACAAATGGTTTCTTCATTAACACCATCATCATTGGGTTGTTGTTTCGTAGAATCCCCCTCCTCCTCCTCCTCATCATCATTAGTTTCATTGATATCCATTGAAGATAATTGATCATTTATAATATTGATTGATTGATTAGCATCAATATGATTATTATCAGTAGTATTATCATCAATATTATCATTATTGATTTTAGATAATGATTGATCAATTTTATTGTTAACATTAGATGAAGAATCACAGTTTATAGTAGTAACAGTATCATCATTAAAGAAAGAATCAACAAGAGATATACATGTTGGTGATTTTTCATTAGACTGTACATTGTTATTATTATTATTATTTGAATCAGTACGTTTAGAAGGAGTTGGATTTAATGCATAAGGTGGACTTATTGGAACCTTGAAAATACAAAAATAAATAAATAAGATAGAATTTGTTGGTATATAAAATTTCTACTCAACTGGTAAGTATCTTGATAATAATGTCAGTCAGTCACAACGTAGAACTTCGAAAGTACGTACATCAGTTCGAGTTGCCATACCACATTAGCATAGAGATGCAGTTGTAGATTCAAATCCCATAGTGCTGGAAGTAGTAAGAGTATAAGCAGTAATGTGAAAGATTAGGGTTCGAAAATTTTATTGAAGGAGTATAATGCAGTGAAATAAATTTGGAAGGAGAAAAAAAGATAGAGACATGAAGAATTCAGAAGATTAGAATTTGGGGGAACACAAAGAGTGGATGCACCTGAGCCATTGCAAACGATTTTGAGTCATGTCATTTAAGGTCTCTAACCATTGATTGCTATCATCTCGCGCATCTCAACCAGGTAGTCTACACCTACCAGCATGGCTCAGTCCAATTGTCAGTGACTTCATAAATTTGTGCTACGTTTTGGTTTGGTCGTCTCTAGCTTTCTTCCAACCTCCATTTTTATAGTTCAAACGATTACTTTACAATGGTTAAAGTAGTAAAAATATCTTGTTAAAATGAATTATTCAAAAAGTGAAGTTACTTTGAGGGAAATTAAACTAATAGGAACACAGATGATACAATAAAGATTCATGACAAGAGGAACCAACTAGTAGTGCGTTAGACAAGTTAAAATCTCAGGTATTTTATACATCTGGTTTTTAACAGTCTATCAATGCTCAAATTGTTTGAAATTATCAAGTCAAACCTTGGTAATGGTACCTCCAAAATCATGCAATTTGTATGTGAGCTGGGATACTGTTTACTTTCTCAAACCGAAACAGATGGTTTTCTTAGGGATTCACCCTTTAAGCATTTGACATAGAGGCCTAACCCACAAGACAGCGGAGCAACGTAAGGAGATGCAATTCCATGTTAGCCTGTATCCAACAATAGGTTTAAGCACTATTGATGTGCACAACCGATTCGGAACCAGAGTTTTTCAACTTCTCCCGTGTGGATGCTCTATGCCCATCAGCCCGGTTTCAGAGCCAGACGTCTGCCTTCCTTCCTCTCCATCTGATGTACATGCCAGCAGCAAGAAAACAGTGAGTAGGATTTCCCTGACAGTGGCTATATACATGTGACCACATGAGAGCACTAGAAGGGGGAGAGAAAACTCTCCCCACCCTTGGTTATATGAGGGTATTTGGGGCCAGTAAAGAATAGTAAATTACACGAGAATAGCAATGTACGGAATGAATGAGAGATATGGAAGAAGTCGTACTTTAAAAGCTAGATCGTAGCACAGAAAACAAGGTATTCATTTAATAATAGGCGACGTTGACGTTATGGAGGTTTCAGAAAAAGGTACTAAATTTAGTAATCAACTGGAAAATTGATTATCCAATCAAACTTAAGAAAGCGTGATTATTTTTCTAAATTCCTTCCCAAGAACGCCAGTTGAATTTATTCGTTATAGGATAATGACTAAATGGAGCAGCGGCTTAATGATTAAGGCATTTAGCTTCCAGAAGTTAAGTCGTACGTAAGAACCTAACCGCCCTACCCAAATCAATTTGCCCAGTCAATCAATATCGCTAGTCCTCACAATTAGTGTTGCTCATAATCAGGTAAACGAATCTGTATCCGGTAATTGAAATAAAGGAACCTAAATGTCGTCTAGTTTATTCAACTTGTAATGTCTAACTTAATATTTAATACAGTCAAAACTTTTCCTTCATCCTAATCTGTTTTTTTGTGTTTTCATCATAAATTATTCATTCATATCACCTGAAAATCGGCTTTCAACAACCGTGTCAAATTTCTCAAGTTTTTCCAAATATAGCAATACAGTACAGCTTTATCAAACATTCTTTTTGATATACCATGAAGTATAGAAAGAGAAGAATATCTTCTTACCTTGCCAACATGTATTTCAGCTCCTGTAGCTTGCATAAGTTGTTGAATTCGAGATCCTTCCGATCCAATCAATGCACCAGCTTCGTTGTAGGAAACACGCATATAAAGCATACCACCGGTAGCTAACCAAGCTATTGGACCTACAGCTGCAATTAATGACTGTTGAACAGCGGTCACCATAGTAGGATTAGTTTCTTTAGGGTTTGTTGAACGAGTTAAGCGTTCAAATGCATATTGATCAGGTTTTAATTGATCTAGTTTATCCGATTTTTGCATTTCCGAATCAATACAATTATTAGATGGTAAATGCAGTTCTGTCTCTGAACAAAGAAATTAATGTGAAGAGAAAATGTGAATACATTTAACAACTATGAGAAACAAGGGTTAAGTACGGTTTTGAAGATAAACAAAAGTGAGAATATTGTACCTTCCAACTAACTGTAATTGAATTCGAAAAAGTTTGATTCCTTAAAAATCAGTAATAGTGACATATTGGATGAGTAAAAGAAAAATAAAAGTACGCATTGCACTGTATGTGTTAATTAACATGGAGAACGTATGTTAGATTCATTGAGAAGTTCAATTATCTGACAGTCTTATCAACCATGGTGGGTAAGAAACTGACGAGATCTGGTCACGGATGACTTGACAATTGCCAGCTTACAAAATAATATTCGATAGCCTACTAAATCAAAAGCACAATTCGCATCAGATGACCACGTATTACTTCATGGCTGTGATACAGTCTTTAAAAGTAAATGACATTGGTACACTGGTAGCATTTTGATCATAGAAAGATTTGAAATCTCGCTAGGGCATGGATGAACCACTGAAGTTAGTCATAGTGACTTAAGTAGGTGTGTTAAATCGGCTGATGGTATTGCTAACTTTAGTCGGTTTAAGTTGTTGGGATATATGTTACATATACTTTTTCACTACCGAGACTAACATGATACACTAGTCAGAATAGGATTAAGTTGGAAGATGGCTAGAGTTAGTCAAACAGAACATGGCATCAATCTATGAAGTTATTTAATGTTTGGCTGAACCTTACAAGGACTTGAACACTTACTGATTGAGGTCTTCAAGATAATCATAATCTGAGACGTGAAGTGATATGGCTAAAAGCTGGTCCAAATGAAGTAGACGCATCTATTCTTTATACCCCTTCAAATATTGAGGCTTAGTATTATTACAAACGTCTGAAGAGTGTTTTCTACGTTTAGCCTTTAATTATTAATATCATTTTAATTTATTTGCTTTTAGTCTTGTCAATTTCTTATTTTAACTTGATGCTAAGTGTTGCACTATAAAAGATATATACATATATATACTTGCCACAGGTTTGTCTTACATTGTGTTTGTAACTAGCCAAACCATGTGAATGAAGTACTACTATCAGTAGTACATGACACTAAGTTCTTCTCATGTCCATTTACTAGTGTACTATTAGACATAAAAATTGAGTATGATTACCGTCATATGTTAAACTTAAAATCTTACGCAGAGATGTATTTACAACTCTACATCGTGTCTTGGAGTTCATCACCACATGGTTAAAAAAACATGAGTACTACATAACAAGTCTGGAACTAAGTGGAAAAATATTGCAGATACGACAAAGTGGCAAGAAATGTATAACACAAAACAATTTAATAATATTATAAAGGAAGTCAAGTGAGAGGAGAGAGAGAGAGAGGTTTATATATAGAAAAACCATACAATCAACTAGTATACTGGACGTTTTTCAAGTCACACCTTTGTCTGTTCCTAAGCAAATAATATGTATAGGATATAGGTTTACTCACAAGAAAATGAGTACAAACAAAATGTTACTAGGGAAGAATTCAATGGGGGGGGGGGTAAAACATCGATTTGCCATAAAACAAAGAAGCCATTTAACATATGATTTAAAAAAAACCCATACTCCCTTGATTACCTTTATTCTCGTCAGACATTTCTAAAACAACAGTAGATTCATTTTTATCTTGTTCATAATCAGATGATACAATACTACCAATAGTTAAATTATGTATCTCTTCTTGATCTTGATCTTCTCCTTCTTCTTCATCACCACCATCAACCGACAATTCAGTATTCATTGATGAGTGATTCAATGTATTATCAATACTGTCTTTTGTTTTGAGGTTGATCCCATTTTTCTCATCACTATCATTGATCGTTTTCAAGTTGTCACTATGATCATCATCATTGATATTTTTGTCTTGATCTTGTTTATTCGGATCGTTTTCATTGTCAACATTATTATCATTTTCAATGTTTCCAGAAATATTTTTAGATGGTGTATTGTCAATTTTTGGCGTGGTCACACTTCGTATTAAAGATCGTTTATTATAATATTGAAAATTATTATTTTTTCCAAGTTTAGCACATACAGATTGAGGCCAAAATATAGATCCTAATGACATAATTAATGAACATACTGATTGTGGATCATAACTAAATGATAAATTGGAAGATTTTGATGATCTATTATTATTATTATTGTTATTCATTGGAAGAGGAGGAAGATGATTGAGTAATGGCCAAAAATTCGTTGGAATAGACGATTCAATTGTTGCCCATCGAATTTGTTCACTAAGAAATGCTTCAGCGGCACAAATAGAATGTAATTGACCACGTACAACCAATACTCTATCGGTAGGAGCTAAATTACATTGTTCATTATCACTAGAAGGACGAATTTGAAGTGGTGTTCTTGATACAGAGAAAAAATGGACATTTTAATGATGATTTAGGATATGTAATACGTTATTACTTCTAAAAAATTACAAAGGCCTACCAAAACATAATTTTACATATGTGTAAGTAGTATTTGTCACAGATTGGTCTCCTTTAGAGTACTATTAGGAAACAAAGGGCACTGAACAGCTGTCTTGTTCTAGTGTGGGACTCCTCAGTAATGCACATCCATGACCCTATCAGGGACGAAACCCAAGATCCTTAGGTCTCGCCGAGGATACTTAACTACAACGGTCACTGAACAAACGTTTAATAGTACAATTTTAACTTCAGTCAACTTACAATAAAGAGTGATAATCATTCCCAGCACCACTGGCGACATATGTTACACTTTTGACACATCTGAACACCAGTAACGACTTATCTCTAGAATTTAAGGAACACTCTAGAGTAAACCACTAGTGAGCTGAATATTATAGTTTAGTTGGAGGTGGGAATTTTGAAGATTAATTTTTTAGGTTATATATATATCACTGGAGTACTGGTTCAAACAAACTAATTGTCCCAATTGTATGTGGAAGTAGTTACCGAGCTGTATTCATTATTTCATCTACTAAACGGTTAAATGTGTGTGGTCTAAAAGCGCATAGTCAGTTCAACTTACCCCGTTACTGATATCCGTGCGCCTGTAGCAGTATGAATAGCATTGAAATATTTTTTTCCTTTATTCATTATCAGTTGCGCATAGATATGCTGTTCAACAAGTAGACCTAAGCAAGGATCAGAGAAACCACGATGTTTAGATTCACGAAAACATATTGTAAGAATTTCACACAATGCCGCTGAACACTGTTCCCTTGATCCGAAAAGAATAGCAAGCTGACTCTCGTCTGATTGAACCTCTAAACTGGACTGAGATTTATTAGTTAATATAGATTCAGTATTGGTATTTGGACATGTTTCTGATGGCTGATCAACCTTTGTATTGTCATTAACATTTGTAAAGGTATCTTTACTGTCAGGCGGTTGACATGTTTCTTCCTTTTCCCCTTCTTCTTCTCTAAAATGGTTGGTACTTGCAATGTGATTGGTACCGTTAGAATCAGACGACTTGAATGTCTTTTTTCCTTTCCCAGGCAAAGAGAACTGTGAAAAAGTGATAATATCCTGTTTCATCCCAATTTTAGCTCCCGTTTTTGTTGTAATCTGACGAATAGTTCGACCACCTCGGCCAATAATCGAACCAACTAATGATGTGCTAAGTAACAATCTAAAAGAAAAAAGAAAAAAAAAACATATTCTAAACTATACAATGGATGACAAATTCGTAGTTGTTCTATTTATCTTCGAAATAGTTTAAGATGGACAACTGTAGTTCAGTATACAAAGATGCTATGAATACTACGAGGGTTGCATTGTTTTAGACACTAGTACAATTATGAAAAGAACATATTTTTAGGTAATGGTGGTCAATCAATATTCGCTATTGCGATGCTTCTATGAGGATGGTGTATTGTTGACCCAGTGTAGTATATTTTCTTGGTACATAAGGGTGGACAAATATATTACCTATGCCAAAAGTAGTATCCCATGATTGTAGAGATCCAACCAAAATGGCATACTGGTGGTTACAAAGATGAGCAGATAACTGAGTCGCCATTGTAGCGCCAGTATATAAGTATATACGGACGGTATGTAATTGTTACAAACGTCATCTCTGAAATTGTAGATCCTAACAATCTCAACAAATTATTACAACCACCAGCGATTTATTATAAACGTAGACATAATAACATCAAAAATAGAATTAAAGATAGCCGAGTGTGGATAATTTATTGGACTCTATTCAAGTACTTTAGCATTCTTTAGGGGTACATGAAAGAAATAGGTAAGAAAAACCTATGGAACAATACTAAGTACAGTACTAATGAACAATTAGGCATCCATAAGAAACTTGTTTTTTTTAATGAACCGATGAATACAATAGGTAGGACACAATTTTTTTCGTGAATCCATCGAAGTCAGAATGGAAAGCCATTTATTAAGTCATTGACCAAAAAAGCACAGTTGTTTCATGAGTACATAGATTACTAAGCACCTTTACTTTCCAAGCAGGACTAAAAGAGATTCGATGAATAATGGAAAGAAATATGATTGTTACTGTGATGAAAGTGAACATAATCTACTCAGAAAATGAAGTACCTCTTTTAGAACAAGCTGTCCAGACTGACAAGAGCTACGATAAAATCAGATATTCAAAGTCAAATTAAACTTATATACACTAAAAATAACTAATATAAAGTGAAATAGATTATGAACTAAAGTAAGAAAATATGAGTTTGTAAAGATGTTATCAACATTAACCAATTATTGAGTATTTAAGGTTTGGTAACCAGGATAAGTCTGACGGTTACGGCATCCGCAGCTCGGTCACTAAGTCAGATTCAGACCCAAATCCACCCGATTCAGTTTGGGGAACTGAGTGGTATTACTATCCATCATGCTTAGAATGTGGATTGAAGCCAAGCACACTAGTCTGTACCTGACAATGAGTAGTAATTTAATTAACAAGATTCAGAATTCATTGGATTAATGTGGATTTTACAAACCACGAAAATAGGCAAAAGTAAACCTGATTTCATTTCAAAGAAGGATACCAGTAAAAAAAGATGATTATTTCCAATATTTAATGATAACTATTGTTATATAAAAAAGTGTCACGGTAGATGCCATTTATAAATATATAAGAAAAATATAAAGACTTGCCTTGTTGGACATGAATCAAGAACCAAGCGAAAACCACTTAATTTCAGACTAGCTATCAGATTTTCAGGAAGACCTTGTACATAACTAGACAGTAGGTTATTATTGGCCAGAGATGGTTGATAATTTTGCAAATGTTTTAGTGGTCCTCCAACACACTGCTCATTAGTCTGGTTTACCGTCCCATGAACATTTGTATAGGCCTGTGGATAGTCGAAATGGACGGGTTTTGTATTCAGCTGGTGGTTTGGATTAAAGTCCTGGTTAGCTGTCGATAAGGAAGATATGAGACCTTGACTACCTGAGGATAAGAAACTCGACGTTGTTTGAACAGTAAAAGAGTTAGTGTTTTTTTCTGTCTGTGTTAACCTATCGTTTATCGAACTAGAAGCAGGTTTACGGTCATTAAAACCAGCTTGTTTGTCTGAAGAGAAATTCTTAATGTTTCTTGATTTTGTATTGTTTAAACGAGAATGATGAGAACTTGATGGAGGTTTATAATGGATTGAATCTTTAGATTTATTCCACTCACGAGGTTTGTGAATTGTGCGTGGATAATTATCTTTTGTGGGATAAACTGATTGTTGTAGCGTTTTTGAATTATCAGAATTAAAAACATAAGCATGGGAAGAGACAGTATGATTGTTATTGCTGCCAATATAGTTATTATTGCTTTGAACTGGTATACAAGATGGAACTGATGATAAGTATGAATTATTATGAACTTGATAATTCGATCTTGAAGGCAGTTGACCTACTGGAACAGAAGTCATATATGAAACATCATTACTGGGGAAATCTACTTTGTTAGTCATAGCTGAGGAGGAATTGAACTGTAAAGAAGCGGGGTTTTGATAACTACACGGATGCTTTTGTGTTTCGCCATGGTGGAATGTAACGGAACCAGGTAATTTAGAGATATCCGGCTTTTGACCATCTGTTTGGTAAAAAGATGATTGGTTGAAACCAGAAAAATATGGAGTGGCTGTATATTGAGTAAATGAACCATGTGAATTCAAATTATAATCGTTGACTGTAGATGGAAAGTCATTTGGAACCAAAACCTTTTCGTTTTTTATTTTCCTAGCAGATGAATCATGATTAATAGCAGAGGAAATATTATCTTCAAGACCAGCCCAAGTGTTGTGGCGTATACGTGAATTAAAGTTTGTATTCATTGTTGAGTCGAATCCAGTGTTCATTTGCGCAGGATAGTGCCCAAACAAGGTTGCAGATTGCTGGGTATATGGAACATGAACATTTGGATTAGTAGGATAGACAGCTTGGACATACTCTACCATCCCATGTAACGACGGTGGCTGAAGTGTAGGACTCGTGTATAGTTGATGGTGTGAGACAACAGGATGCTGTTGTACTGGGACAGATGGCACGTAGGCTGATTGGTTCATTGATACATTAACGTCAAGAATCCGAGGGTGTAGGTCACGTGCATTGTTCGTATTAAGATTATTTACTTGCTTTGAACCAGATGTTAAAAGTGGTTGAGTGGATCCAGATTCTCTGTATGCTGGAGATAAGTTATCCTGTGTCAATGTTCTTATAGTCGGTTGCCCTACAATTCCCGGAATAAGAAATGGTTGACCTAAAGAGCCAGATGGATGTTGAGCGTTTGGATGAAGGACACCAGTTTGTTCAGAACGTATTGATGTAGACGGGTTTTGTAGGCCTGTATGTGGCTGAACTAAACCATTGGGAGTAGCCGCGACAGCAAAATGAACCTGTTGGGCTCCCAGAGTAATAGATCCATGATTCCCACCAGTATTTCCGTTTGATGGTTGGAAAGAATGAGTACAAGATCTTGAATTTAGTTCATTTAGTTTGATGTTGGGTGCATATTTATAATTCTGATTTGAGAAAAAAATATTTGAAACTGGTTTAAATAAAACACGCAAACTGTAGAGAATTCAGAATAATATTATCTCATTTCACTTGTTACAGCATCATATGATTAAAAAAACCCAAGATATGACGAGGAATAATGAGAACTCGAGTAGCACTATTTTACAAAAATGTATAAGTTAACCGATAGTAAAATACTGACAAATCAACACTACATGGAAGTGGACCAACAACTTGTTAACTTTTTGTGTTTAAAAGTATACGAGCAAAGAAATCGTAGGATTTTACTGCCTTCCATGACTGATTCTAAGAAAGTACCTAATGTGAGCTATAAATATTTACCATTGTAGCTGGATGATCTAAACCAAAATTTATTCGGTAGATTATAACTGATACCGAATGATTAAGTAAACCAAACAGAATATTTAGATATATGATATAACTACAAATATAGAAGTCTTTGACTACAAAACTTCATGGGCTAGGTCAGCAATCTTCAGTGGAGAAGACTATTGACTTGAATACATCAATAAGATGGTATAACATATCTGCAGGTATCAGAACCAAGGTCTTCTGAGAGTTAGCTTTCGTTACTCAACACAATCACTCGCATCTAATCGCTAATCCTATTCGTTGTTTATATTTGATTCAAAGGTCCTCAATGTCGAATAAATGGTGAGAGAACCAGTTAGGAATATTTATTCGGTAGTATTTTTGATGTTTGTACATTCCAGTCAAAACTATAAGGTCATGATTTCCTATAAAAGATCTTAGTAAAAATAAGTGAAACTTACCCTAGTACAGCTTGGAGAGAAAACTCAATTTTCAACGACAAGGGCAATAAAGATAGTAGCCTATCACAGTCTTGGCACCGCTGAAGAAGTTATACAATACCTGATGATGCTTGAGAAATACTTCAAGTAAAAGTTTAATAGTGGGTGTTTAACAACGATGTAGTTTCTAAAGTAATGAGAAATCCTGGAAGGGAATTTTATCCGGTTTTATAACAGAAGGATATCTAGTACAGATTAGTTCCGCTGTTTTACGTAAAACGACTGAATATTCTCGATTAGAGTGTATGCGTTTAATCTTCAGATGCCTATATCTTATAAGAATATTTGATCCGTTTTAATGTAGCTAAAATCAAGACAAGTGCACTTTCAGTGCTACGATAATAAATAGGACGTGCTTTGCACCCTTAATCGAAACTAGTATTGGAACAGGTTATTACTTGTTTGGTAGACATCCAATTCATTTCTTCACTGTAAAACATGTGGTGAGCGAAGTTAATGTCCATGTAAGGGGAACATATATAAATAAAGTACTAAGTTTTGAGCCAAACATTGTATGTTGGTAGTTTTCAGCTGTTAGAAACCAAGTATTTAGTGAATTTGTACTAGAAATATGGAGAGGGACTCAAACTGATGACTCAGCTTTGTGATTGTGAACATCGCACTTTCGCGCTTGTATTGATTTTTATCAAATTTACTGTTATGGTATAGCTATACAGATATAGATCTCAACAACACAAACACTTAACTAAAGAATACCTCAAAATAGACGTATTACATTGGGGTATGAATAAAGTGATAAAATACTTCAAATTGAAAGACGATATGATAGCATGTTAGTGTTACATGATCCAAAGTTTGGGAACGTATATACTTATATATGCAACACATGTCAACAACAAATTGTTTCCTCAGATCGTTCATACATCGATTGAAATATACAACTCCATTATTTGATATATCCTCTTTGCCCCTACTTGAGTGATGGCTTGATGACTAAGGTGTTCGACTTATAACCGCTAGAATACTGACCCACTTCAGTTTGAGCAGCGAGTTAATATTGCCGACTTACAATGTCGCTTGAAGCTGAAAACACGAATCTGCACTTGATAGACGAAGTGCATCAACTTGATCATTTGGTTAGATGCAAAAATAAGTTGATGGTACAATTAATTCTATACCCAACTTCAACATAGGATTAGTGACAGTACTAACTACTGTGGTTTTATAAAAAAACTTCATATTTTTCTTACTATGCAGATAATTTATGTTAAAGTAATAATTGTTCTATAGCCTAATCGAAACTGCTAGCAACAGTTGATACACCTCTAACTTATGAACTCAGAATAGCCACAAAATGTTTACAGGATGAATGGGGGGTAAAGACATACAAATGCCCTATTGGAATGCTACAAAAATTACAAGTGAGATAACAAGTAAGAGTATACGCTACTAAAGTGAACTGAATAGCAAAGTAATAAAAATACAAAGGAATACAGTATCTAATGGGTCTGGAATTTTTATGACTTTTATGGTGAGGCCTTTCAGAGAAAAGTAATGGGTTTCGGGAGATGCCATAACGCCTCTTTGAACTAGACTTAAGATAAACAAGAAGGCTATGTTATTTGATGAGAGGTGTAACCCAGGTAAGTTAGCTTAGAGGTGTTTTGTCTTTTTCTTACCTCACTTGACTGACTGATTGGTGTTTGTTCCATATCTGTCATGCTTTGCCCGGGAAATACATTAATCATTTTATTTAACCCATTGACATACATTCCCTGCGTCTGAGTCCACGACCCATCCATAGGGCCAAGGTTTTGATAAGGTTGTGAGAGAGCAACTTGATATTGTGTGTGAACATTTGGTCCAGCGTTAGACGTTGAAGCTGACCGACTACGTTGAGTAACTATGTGCTGTTGCTGTTGATGTGGTATGAGGGAAGATAATGCAGTATTGGAATACATAAAATTAGCTGACATGTTATCAAAAACACTCCCCCAGGAACAATATATTTTTGTCACCGAATAACAAAAATCCTGTTAAGATATGAAGACATGAGAATAACTACAATATCCACAAAAACTGGTGAACAAATCTCCACAGGTCAATCCGATGGAGTCGAATCTACCGGGTTTTAAGGTCCGGCAGCAACGAACCTAAACAAAACACAAGTTTAATATAATTGTGATTAAGAACTATGGGAATAGAGAAGATCTCACTAGTTATATGAATAGGATTACTGTGGGTCTTCGAATTGCCATAAAAAAAACAAGTTTTTATTTAATGCACTTTGTATTTAGTAGCAATGAGTTTCGACTGGACTTCCAATATCCAATATCTTTGTAGCAACTTATAAAAACTTATCGGTTTATTTATGGTCGTTTCATATTGTTTCAGTACGGTTCCAGATCTTTGTCGCTGACAAACTGGCCACAGTCTATCGATTTCATTGCTTTAATTCTAGTCAGTTAGGTAGTCATTTGTGGGTTTGTATATATTGTAGTTTGAGTGAGTGCATTTGTCTCAGATTGGTAGAGTTATCTTACTGCCAATTGCTTATCGGCAGATGTAGAGGTAGTGTTCATGATGATTCCGGAGTCCGATAGTGGTTCCATACAATCTTTGGTGGCCAGAAAGTGATTTTACGGAGGGCATACAGAATAATAAGTGACTTCAAACACCTTCGGTTTGATGTCCTCATCTTTTTGTGTGAATTTTGAGACAGAAAAGATTGTCATAAATCTGTAAGAGAATATATCCTGTACAAATGGAATGTTCGTGACTGTCTGAGGCCTTATCCAAACAATAAAGATGCAACAAAGCCGTGAAAAAATTAAACGAATAATTGGCTGTAGGAGGAATCAAATGAAAAAGTGAGTAACTAATTCAGCACAACTGAGGGCAGTTCTTCATGCCTTTGACAGTATGGAGAAAATAGTTGGTATGTCTTAAAGTCATAAATCCATCCATAGAGCTGCAGGCAAAGAACGAGATGAACTACATGAAATGTTTTGAGCGTCGATTTGATACGGCTTCCAACTTGTTGATTTCTAAACTGAACGTCTACTACGTCTTACATCCGGTTCAGAAACACTATCGAAAACGTTACTCGGTACCGATAGTAGTGTGACGTATATATAACTGAGTTCCCACATTTGCTCAGAGCTCCTTTCTTTTGTATCCTGATGAGGTATCCTTCTCTCCAGTCTGTCAGCATTTGTTCAACCTCCCAAATCTTTCTGGATAGAACGTGAAATGTACTTGCAATTACTTCTATGTCTGACTTCAGTGCTTTGGCTGATATGTTATCAGGTCCTGCAGCTTTCCGACTATTGATTTGTCTGGTGGCCATCCTAGTTTCTTTGATCATTGGTGGAGTGACATCTATAGGAAGGCATGTAGGTACCACTTCAAGAATTCCTCGAAGTACTCTACCCATCTGCTAATCTGTTCTTGAATCTCGGTTATAGTCTTGCCTTCTCTGTTTTTCATTGGTCTCTCTTGTTTACTTCATTTCCCTACTAGTTTCTTCGTTGTGTCATATAGCTGTCCCATATTTCTCTCTCTTGCAGCCTCTTCCGCTGTTGTTGCTAGGTCTTCCACATGTAACTGTTTGCCAGCTCTAATGCTTTTCTGCACTTGCTTATTTGCTTCAGTGTATTCAGCTTGTGCCTTGACTTTCTCTGTTGTTAATTGATATCTTCTTGTTCATCCTTTCCTCAACTTTGTCCTTAGTTTTCATAGAGATTCATTTCTTATGATGATGATTCTTGCTGCCCAGCACCTACTGACACGTTGAAGTCGGTGCATCTTTGTTCCTTTTCCTGTTGTCCTCCATGGTGGTTTCTTCTTTCATTAGATCTTCTAAGGCTTGAAACCTATTATTGAGAGCTATCTTGAATTCGTTGAATTGGTCAGTGTCTGGAAGTTTGCATTGAACCGTTGTAGTGTTGCTTCCCCAGTTGTCCAGTGCTTCTTCAGCTTCAGTTTCGGAAAATGCGGTAGTAAGACTAAAATAAAGGAATGGAAAAGCTGATCTCTCATGCAAAACGAAAGATTGTTTTGTGTCGGCAGACTACTAAACTACTTGATTTAACAATCCTCCTTCAAGCCCTCAGTAAGTTCACCTGGATATCACTTTATACCAGGGCTGGTTATACGACACTTCCACAACCTAGGTCACATCGGCACTCTATAAACATTAGGCATCATATGTCAGGACTGATGTATGGTCGAGAGTACCAGTGGAATTAAACGGGTGATAGCGAATTACGTATAAATACATAAATTTCAAATTCACTGCATTTATCACATATTGTAGATAGGAAAATGAAAAGAGATTCCCTAACCGGATCACGTACGATTGAATAGACGCAAAATGAAGCACACTCAAGACGATTATTCCTAGCGGAATTCATTCCGAGTGTCAAAAGTCTGACAGAAACTGTCTTCTAAGTTCAAATATATTACAGAGAACTAGGAGAGTCATTGCAGAGATCAATTCTGGCTTGAAAATTCTATTGGATGCGCGTACATGACTGAGCATCATTTTCTAGAATAGAAGTGAAATTTGTCGTTAAAATTCTCTAGTTGCACTTCAAGCCCGTAACAAAGCTAAAATAGCGAGGTTCGGATCAAACTAGATCTAATGTTCGGATAATTCCTGTGAGTGTTTACTATAGCAAACCTAAGAGACCTCGGCTTGCACAAGGTGCAAACCAATTTACTCAGTTCCCTAAACTCGAAATAGACCCCGCCTAAACGTGCCACAGCTATTCGGGGATCGATAACGCCCTTACATGCAACACATTTATAATCAAAATATATCAACCCAGACGAAATACCAATAAGATATTAAGAGGTTCGAAGATATATTTGGAAAGCTATCGGAGTGTCTTAGTTGGCTATCAGTCTCAAGGGATGAGTGGAAGGGTGTACCCATTCGTGATCTGGTGCGTATGTGTGATTAGGCACCTTCATCAAGGTATATCCCGTAAAACTAATGAGGTCAGCATCAATGTCGAAGACTCACAGAACTATTCTGAGTACTTATTTACTTCTACACTCCTTTATCAATCAGAGAGTTTCAGGGCAAACTTTTGGATTTTTTCGAACCTAATCAAGTCAAATCTCAAACCTTCCAAAATTAAGCTCAAAGTAACTGACGCACTTAAAGCTGAAGGTACCGTATGAATGTGAGTTTCGTAAATAGATTCATTGCCCTGCGTTCACTACGATGTGGGTGCTATGTTGTAGGATTATGGTCTACATCAGTATTAGTACACTTATCTTTGCTACTATAATAATAGGCCCAATCCCAAAATTTTAGATGCGTCATGATGTGAAAACCTAATCTATGAGATTTTACGTGGAAGGCACCTCATTGTCTACACTGGCTCGTCCTATCGTAATAATCAGCAATATGATGTTAAATACTTCTGAAGGACGTATTTGAGCTGAGTAGAGAGTGATATATTTGATACAAGATGCAATGGGCTTTACATAGAGTGGTCACGCCTACATGGTTGAGCTATGCTAATTCTGCCCATTGTTCCCGCGTTCACCATTGCCGGCCTCCTACAAGTGTTACATATTGAATATCAATCTTGTCAATAATTAAATGTCCAGCTTCGAGAACCATGTGGTTAGGAACTAATATCACTACAAGTTCACGCAATCGACCAGAAAACTTCGCCTGCTTGTAGTAGTCCTGACTGCAATTTCTCCTTACATTGGTCATTTATTAGCGATACTATGACTAATAGAACATGCAAACCAACGTGGTTTTTAGGTTACTTTAGGTAATGTAATTTTACCATAACATGCACACTAACACCAAGCCGATCAAATAGTCAGTATGAAAGACTCCGATTATGTCGCTAACCATAAGAAGTCTACTCGGTTCTAAGACTCATGGTGTTTTATTGTTTTTTTCTTGATCTTATTTTCCAATTTTTATGGTCAGTGAGCACTTCGTGTATAACCACTGAGGAAACCGAACTGACATGTTCTTGTTTGGTAAGTTGATTGAACCGACATTCCTGTGAAGTCGATCCTAGGAGAAAGTGATGCAACAACTTAGGCTGATTGTTTAAGAGTTGGCCTAAACATTATAGCTCAAATATTCATTCTTTTTTCATTTTGTATAGTCATTAGACTTCCTAATACTTTATATCAAATGTTGAAAAACTATGTGTGTTTGAAATAGATAACCTCGCGCACATTGACAGATTATCACCTGCTAGTCCTGAATTGCAATCACATGAACAGAGTGTGAGACTCATGAACATTGGACAAACGAGGATCGAAGTGTGTATTGGAAGTCGAATCTTCGAAACTTCTTGGACACAATAGACGCAGAAGGGATTGCCCCAGTTAAGAAAGAAGTGGACTCCTTCAACAATACATCGTACCGATGTTTCTGACATAACATAAATATTTAATTAACCTTTATCACTGAATAATATCCAGTTGTTCACATCAGGTATAAATATTGAAAGATGGTCCTGGAGGAAAAAGAAAATTTGATCTACTTTGACACGACAATAGCGATGCTTTGACCCTTCTACCTATATGGGGAAATTAATATTCAGCACTCTCCATAATTTGCCTAATCTTGGTGCGAAAGCCGCAACCAAGCTAATTAATGCTAGATATATAAGAACAAAATTTAGACAATAATATGCACAAAGGACAGCTGTCCGAATGTCCAGCGCTTTAATCGAGTTGGTGGACATGTAAAGTTCACCTGGAGGAGTTGGAAAACCCTCATTCCGAACCAATGCTGTACATGGGCTGGCTCCAGTATCATGAGGGAACAAATGGCGTGTGAATCAATTGTCGGTCATCGGCTACCATGGGACTGCATCTCCTTACGACGCTCTACTGCCTTGTGGATCAGATCTTTATGTCGAAGGCTCCGGATGTAGCCTCCTAGGAAAACTACCTGCTTCGGTTTGTGTACCCGGGCAGTGTCACACGCACACAGAGAACAAGTTTCTCACTTAGATAATCAAACATCAGCTGTGGCATTCAACTATTTACTCAAGAGAATGATTATAAATTTAACAGGTAACAAAACAAATATTTATAATTTATGAAATGTCAAGTAGATACAAACAATAATTCAATCTAAACTAAGTAGATCTTTAGATTAATACAATTCTACACACAAAAAAACAAAAAAATTCAATGAATCGATAAGTGAAGATCAATAAAATCGGTGTTCGAAAAATCAATAAATGAATAATTTTAGAAATCAATAATTTAGAAGACAAATAGATGGACAATTGAATTGATTGATGTTTTGATGTTATTTTTGTTTTGTTTTTGTTTTGGCATAAACATCTTTGATTGATTGATCAATCAATTGTGATCCATATTTTTTTTGGTTCATTTTTTAGAATATAACTTGTCAGTAAATAATAATGCTTATATATCATAAGTCACCAAATATAGAAAGAAACAATCATACCATGGTTAAATGGTCTAGAGATGAGACTATAATTTATGGACGAACCAGTTTGATTTAATTCAATTAGTTTTGTTTGTTTGAATCTTCTCATTGATGTTTAGGACTGCAAATAGTCATATGCCAATAAGAGATTGATTAATTGCAGTCCTAAACATCAATAGGAAGATTCAAACAAACAATACTAAGTGAATTTAAAACTTCACCCGATTGTACAAGCAAGTGGCTATCAGGACTCAGTAGGTGAGTGGATAACGTGATGGCGTTTGAAGCGAACGGTACTGGGTTCGAGTTGTGGAGTGAACATCAACTCTGAGATTAAGGTACACCCATCTGACAGGTCCCGAATAGGACAAAACGCGCGTCCTGGATTCCATTGATAGTCATTATCCATCTTTGCTTACAATTTGATTTAAGATAATAAGTCTTGGATTTTGGTTTGAAATTCATCCATTTGGCTAAAAAGAGTTTTGGCATTATAGCTGATATCAGTTCGTAATGAAAATCATATCTAACTAGGATCGATTCATGATTTCAATGAAATAATAATTTTGTCAGAATTAGGGTTTGTGGAAATTGTAATAATTTAATGGTTAAATTCATGAGTCACTTAAAGCTAGACCATCCTGAAAAAGCTAGAGGCACTGAAAGGTCGTTTCGTTGTAGCATGCGACATTTCAGTAGTACACATCTACGATTCTGCATGTGAGATTGAAACTCCTAGGTTGGAATCTCGTGTGTAGGATTTCAATGAAATAGTAATTTTGTCTAGAACGTTAATCTTCGGGAGTTTAGATATCTTTATTATATTATATCATTATAAATCTACACTATTGTAAATCGATTTGCTTCATTTATTGTTATTATAAACGTAACTTTAATATCAATCTGCCCCGAAATGCCCTGGTACGGCCGAGAGTGGGGAGGAGTCATCCTCCCTCTCGAAATGCTCTCACATGGCCACGTGTATGCAGCCTCTGCCAGGAAAGTCCTACTGATTGCCATCTCGTGGCGGGGGTTTTGTTTACGAAATTGAGAGGACGAAAAGCGAATGTCCGGCGCTTCAAACAGGTTGGTGGACACGGAAAGTTCACCTAGAGGAATTGGCAAACCCTCATTCCGAACCAATGGTGTACATGGGCTGGCTCCAGTATCCTGAGTGAACAAACGGCGTATGAATCAATCGTTGGTCACCGGCTATCATGGGACTGCGTCTCCTTACAATGCTCTACTGCCTTGTGGATCAGATATTTAGGTCAAATGCTCCAGGCGTGGTCCTCTTAGATAACCACCTGCTTCAGTTTGGGCACCCGGGCAGTATCACAGCTCTCACACAAATCAAATAAGATTTGTGTGGTGTATATATATCTGGTGCCCCTTTATACCAATATGGCGAGACTATAATTTATGCACGACCTTTGAACGAATCTCAAGTGACCTTGAGAAATGTCAGCCAATCAGTGAACAGTCAGCATAGAGTAAAAATATATTATACAAAACCAAATAATTAAAGTGGATACACTTTATAATATGCCCTAGTCTCAACCTGGATCGAGCGAAAAAGGTTCCTATTCTAGCAAACATCTACCTTCAACATATACTACATCGAAGGACAACATCACGGTAGTCTTCACAAGGTCTATAAGTCATTTAATATTCGCAATTAAAAATACAGGAACTTCTTAGTAGTCTCATTTATTGAAGCCGTTTAATTGTCAAGTCTTCTCTATAATTCTCTGCAAACCGATTGTACATGAGCATTAGATACTGAAATCGGCGCCATGACCTTGAAATCCTTCAAACGCTTCTGATTGGCTCGTTTATAAATTATAGTCTCATCAAAATAAATTAATCAATCATTAAAAAGTTCTGAATGAATTTCATTCATTGAAAATTTTTGATTGTCCTTACTCTAAGTACTTAATCTTTATTAAGTACCTATGAATGAATGATAAACTCTTTATTTACTAGTCGTATAAATAAAATAAACAACCGAATCTTGATCATAACTAATGAATAACCCAATTCAAAATGTATCATTAAGTGTAGATGATATACAATTACCTTCAATGATGTCGGAATTATCATGGATTAATCAAACAGATTTATGTTCAGTAATAAAAAATATGAAGATGACGGAGACAACAGAAACGACGTTGACGACGACGACAACAACATTAACAACGTCATCATCATCATCATCGTCATCAACTTCATCTACATCTTGTAGTGATTATTATTTTGATGGATCACATCATTTACATGTATTATATCAATATCCTCATAAATATATGGGAAAAATTCAAAAAAGTAGGCCTAAATTACAACAGAATCAAGAACAAGGTAAACAATTATATGAAGATGGTGAAAAAGATGCGTTATTTTTTAGCTCATTTTTGATATTCTAGGGGGGTGGGTGTTCGTTCTCTAAGTTAGATGATTTCGTATTTTGTAGCTTTCATTATGAATAAATTTAAATAATCCACTTCTGAAGAGTCCCACAATAGGACGAAACGTCCTTCCAGTTCTTCCAGTTTTTTCTTGGCGGTCTAGCTTCAATTAACTCATGCTTTCAACCATGCAAATACTGAAATCTCCACAAAAGCCCCTTCTGAAAATATGATTTAACTGCAGTTGAATATGTGAATGAACTATTGTATCATAATTTGATGGTTTAATAGATGTTATGTTCATTAAATGATCTCAAGATGATGAGTTCAATTTTATCTGAATTGGTTTTCGAAGATTGAAATTGATAAAGAATTACAAACTGAAACAAAACAACTGTATAGTGTTTGACTATTCTTTTATTATCAGTATGGAGTTGTAGAGATTACTAAGTTTTTGATTGAGATCATGAACTGATTGGTGTTTGACCGCCATTGAAAACCTGGAAGTACTAGACAGCTGTTTCGTCCTAGTATGGGACTGCTCAGTAGTGTGTATCCACGATCCCTATCTATGGATTTGAACCCAGGGCTTTCGGTCTCGGTTTATTAATAGTTTTCACTTTTTAATAATGACGATCTCGATCAAAGGACATAATACTTCAACCTCGAACTATTGTTTATTCATAACTTTAAGTCTCAAGTCTGACAGAAAGATTATTCCAAACTTTATTCATCTCAAATTTCTTCATATTATCTTGATTTTGTCAAATGAAATCAATCTAAATAAATAAATCACAAGAATGGTTAGTACTTAGATCCTACATCATTCATAAAGAATTAGAAATCTGGAATGAAATAAAAACTCATGAATTTTACATTCTTAGTTGTTAAATTTTGAACTTAGATTCTTAATCTGTCGTGTAATACTTGAGCACTCGAACGCTAGAACCTTCCCAAGTTACAAATCGGAAGACAAAAGAAAAGTAGAAGGAATGTTATTTCAAACAGTGTCGATTATGGTACAAAACTGTCAGGTATTTATAGTTATGAGTAAGAACGGAATCATCATAATAGTTATCCAATCCGCACACAGAGAATTATCAGTATTGTCCAATAGGGGAGCTACACGTTATGATTTTAGAATATTTTTTCAAAAGCTGATTGGATGGAATATGTCCGACTCCTTATGGGTTTCTCAGAGTTTCCTCAACTTCACCTATGGACCATCCTCACATTAGTCTTCTTATTTTCAATTCTCTTTCATCGGCTTCATTGCAACTAGTAACATGGTGACATGATATTATTGTGGGTAATCTTACTTCTTTTAAGTTCATGTATCAAATTCAATTAATAGTCGGTCAATAAACTTCGTTACGTTTATACATATAATTGATAGTGTGTTGTGTGCTACTGATGTCAACAGATATAGGTAGTATGTATCTTTGATTGAAAGTGAAATGTTTGGCTACAGGAGATTAAGAAGATCGAACAAAAGACAAGGAAAACAGATAACGATTGATGTGGAAACGAAAGAACAATCAGGTCTGAGACAATTGATTGATGTTTTGCAAATGAAGTACTTACTGTATGATTCTCAGATTTTACTAAGGTGTTCTGTAATTTTGTGTTTAAATACATTTGGATATCTCCGCTTGTGTTCTCGTTGACTACAATAGTGGATAACAGTGAATCTATCCTTAAAGTTCATAGACTTAATTGCTTTCTTTCGAAAGATGCCAAACAACTGTAAATTATCAGGGAATTCCAAAATCTTATAGTAGGGTGTTGTGACGGTTGTTCAATTTTATAGTTTATATTACAGACTGATTTTAATTGAACAACTGTAGGAATCCAATGGGAATCAACCCTTGTTAATGATAGTTTCACATTATTGAGTATAACGAAAGACCATTGAATAACAATCTAGTAGTTCAATTACTAAAAGTTTGTTACCAAGATCTAAATATTCTGAATTCCTTTTTCTAGTATGATCAACAATATCAGCTTGTGTAATTCTATATTCTAAAACGAAAGAAAGGTTATGCACATGCGCCAATAAGAGATTGATCAATTGCAGTCCTAAACATCAATGGGAATATTCAAACAAACGATACTAAGTGAATTCAAACTTCACCACATTGCACAAGCAAGTGGATAAACGCGATGGTGGTTAAATCGAAAGCTAATGGGTTCGAGTTGTGGAGTGAACATCAACTGTGAGATGGAGACACATCCAGTTGATGAGTTCGAAATAGGACGGAACGCTTGTCCAACTGGATTCCATTGCTAGCCACAATCCATCTTCGCTTATAAGGTTATCCATTACTTCTTTATATTCAATTCTTAGTGTAACTCAACAAAATGCTTACCTTTTTGTTTGCTTTTGTTTTCTTCATTCATATTTAGATTCAAAGTATAATCCAATACAATCTAATCATGATATACGTATAAAACTTGAACATGAATTATATCAAAAAGTACGTCAAGCTGTTCATACTCCACCACGTGAACGTATCATACGTAGACGTTTAAATGAATTTCAATATGAAATACAAAAACGTTTAAAAATTGAAGAAGAGAAAAAAAAACTTGCAATACAAATGAATGATTTAATAAATTTAGGTATAACTAATACTACTGAATCAATTATAAGTAGTTTAAATAATATAACTAAAATAAATTGCATAGATTTACGTATGCATCCTGAATCATATTATCAAAATTTAAAGTGGTATAAAACATCTAATACAAATATGAAGAATCAAAATGTACTATGGAATAATAATAATAATAAAATTGGATTATTAAAAAATGAAAGAAAAGAGTTGAACTGTTTACCGGTTACTAAAAATAGTAACTATGATGATGATGATCAAACTTCTTTAAATAGTAATGAAATGGGTATCATGAATGAAGTAAGTGAAGTGGTTAATATGTTTGAAGTAAATTATATATTTGTTAAGTTTTGCTGATTGAACTCTATATTAGGATCCTAAGCTAGTTTCGTAACCCCTCAAACTAAATCTACACAGCAACTTGAACACGAGAGAACAGGCGTTAAATTTACGAGAAACACTTTACTCCAAAGGTTCATTTATGTACAGAAAACATAAGGTTTATAGTTGAATTCATGAGTTAGTTGAAGTTAGACTATTATGGAAAACGTGAAGTTAGCTGGACGACTGTTTCATCCTAGTATGGAATTATTAAGCAGTATGCATCAATGATTCGATTCACGAGATCACCAGTGTCTAGCTTTAAGAGGTATTTCCTTGAGTCGTAGTGAGAAGCAGTGATCAGTGTAGTTCAACCACGTCTGTTGTGAGATAGTAACTCACTGAAGATAATGGTGGATGGTGGCGCAATTTTGTGGATTGGTTGAAGTTAGACAATATCACCGTTGGATGCCAGCCTCCACAATGGTCTAGAGGTTAAGAGTTCGTGCGCGAGACTGATAGGTTCTTAGTTCAAGTCCAAAAAGTAGGACCATGGATGCACACTGCTGAGGAGTAGCACACTAGGACGAAATTTCCATCTAATGCTTCCAGGTTTTCCATAGTCTTCTATCTTTAATTGACTCATAAATTCAACTATTAAATAACTGAAATCTCAACAAAACCCTCTTCTAATAGTTAAAAAAATGAATTAGATTTCAAACATACTTGGTTTATATATAATGTCTATCTTAAACTAATCCACGAAATCTGAACAACCGTTCACCGTTGGATGCCGGCTCAGTGGTCTATCGGTTAAGTGCTCTGACGCGAGACTGGTGAGCTCTAGGTTCGAATCCTGCTAGTGCGGGATCGTGGATGCGCACTGCCATTGAGGAGTCCCATAATAGAACGAAACTGCAGTTCATTGCTTCTAGGTTTCCCATTATGGTTTAGCTTCAATTGATTCGTGTTTTCAAATATGAAAATAATCAATAAATTGAATATACTTTAGGAACAGTAAATCGTATAATAACAATCCATAGATCAAAATGAAGCTTAAAATAAGATGAATATAGATATACACAATCTAATTACTCAATAGTTATACAATAAGAATATATATAGAATAATCATCCATTAATAGATCCTAGGAGTTGCCTGTACATCTGTCTTTACTATGGCATAACAGGCATATGTGCATACTGTGCTTATTGCATTGATGTAGCCTTTAATTCACAAGCGTTATAAGCAAAGATGGATAGTGGCAAGCTGTGGAATCCAGGACGCGTATTTCGTCCGACTGGATAACGCGATGGTGTTCGAAGTAAAAGGCATTGGGTTCGAATCCCAGGGTGAACATCAACTCTGAGATGCAGGTGCATCTATCTGAGGAGTCCCAAGTAGGAAGAAGTAGCGCGCATTCAACTGGATTCCACTGCTATCCGGTATCCATCTTTAATTACTCAATTTATTTATTTATACACATGAATATTGGTACAAGGGGGTATCAGATACATATGCGCCACACAAACCTCATTTGATTTATGTGACGGCTGTGATACTGCTCAGGTACTCGAACTGAAGCACGTGGTTTTTTTAAGGGGCTACACCCGTAGCCTTTGACCGAAAGATCTGATCCACAAGGCAGTGGAGCTTCGTCAGGAGATGCAGTCATATGGTAGTCGGTTACCAACGATTGATTCATACGCCATTCGTTCCACCAGGATACCGGAGCCCATGTGCACCATTGGTTTGGAATCAGGGTTTTGCAACTTACCTAGATGAACTTTCAGTGTCCATCAACCCGTTTGAAGCGCCGGACATTTGCTTTTCGTCCTCTCACTTTTGTGAACAACACCCCTGGTGTGAGAAGGCAGTGAGTAGGACTACCTAAGCAGAGGCTCAATACTCAATAGTTAAAGCACAAGAATATATATAGAATAATCGTCCATTCATAAGTCCTGAAAGTTAACAGTACTATAGTCTTCACTAGGATATAACAGGTATAATACCAAAACTCTATTTAACCAAATAGATGAATGAATTACCCGCCTAAAATTCAAGACTCATTATCTTATATATCTGATTAGTTCATTTATAAATTGTTAGTCTCATCATTGTTAAAATTCATTTCAATGAATTTTTTTTCATTTTTCTTTTGTTTTTCTCAAAGGATACTACTGAAAACACAAATCCATCTTCATTATACTACTTAAATAATAATTTTACTAAACCGTATTTACCAAATCATCACTATGTCTCTAATAAACAATTCAATACTACTAATAATACTACTATTAATAATCATTCATTATCCAATAATACTACTTATTCCCAATATATAATAAATAAATTTCATAATTATAAAAATACCATCATAAATTTAAAACCATTCATTTTTAATCAAACTACTTATACTACTACTACTAATACTACTGATAATACTACTGATAATACTAATAATAGTAATATAGAATATAATGAATATGATCCATTATTAAATGATCAATTTACATTCAATTGGAATATTGATTATGATTATGATCTGGATCAAACTATTAATAATAATAATAATAATAATATAATGGATCATATAAATCAATATTATGAATTAAGACAAAATTATATCACTGAAGAAGATTTACAAGTAGTATATAAATATTATAATAAATTCTATCAAAATAAATTATCAATAATCAATAAAAAAAAGAAATCAATAAATAATAATAATAATAATAATAATCTATTAACACGTCAAATGATTATGGAAAAATTTGGACGATTAACTGATAATGAAAAACAAGTAAGATTGATTTATATATAAGAAAGAAGGGGCGTTTTGATTTATAAAGATTATGAGTTAAAGTTAGATCAAGATGGATAAATATCAGATCATTGGAAGTAGATATTTATGATCCCTCTTTGAAAAATTTTGAACCTAGGATCTGTCGGTCTCGCATGCGCGTGAGACGGCATCCAACAGTATTCATGTCTAACTAAAACTGATCCACTAAAATTGATTGACACATCTATTATAGTTTTCAGGGAGTTACTATCACACAATAGACCTAGTTCAACTTCACTGATTATGGCTTCTCACTAGAACTGCAGGAAATATATGTTGAAGTCAGTTAATAGTGAGCATATGTTGATTAATATCAAAAGGGGTTTTGTGGATATTATAGTAATATTAATAGTTGAGATCATGAATCAATTGAAGTTAGACAAACGTGGATAACCTGGCGGTACTGGAAGTGCGCATCCAGTGCTTCTAGGTTTTCCATGATGGTCTAGCTCCAAGTGACTGATGATCTCGACTATTGAAATTAATGTAATTTATATTTTTAGGAAAAAATGGTTTTGTAAAGATTTTAGTAATTTCATTAGTTAATTCATGAGGCAGTAATTTAGAGGTTAAGTATTTACATGTGAGATTGATAGATCTTGGGTTTGAATTTTACAAGATGGGATTATGGATGTTAACTACTGAGGAGTTGCATAGTAAGACGAAACGGTCGTCTAGTGCTTATGGATTTCTAAAAATGGTGATTTAGCTTTGATTGACTTATGAACTTGTTATATCCCCTGGTGAATTATGAATGGTAACTCTAAGGACTATTTATCGACCAATGTATTATGCCTATTTCCTATTGTACAATTCTTACGTAACTAAACTATTCATATTCGTGTTTCTTTTATCGTTAGCTTTATTTTGATCTTTGATTTATGATCATACGATTATTGAGTTATAATCAGTTTATTGATTACTTTGGTTTGTATAAAAACCCAGTATGTTTGTAAATAATGATTCATACCACTGAGGCTGTTATTGGTGTTTTGGACTTAATTGGCTGGGCTAGGCAGATCGCAGGACCGGTTAGCACTCTAGGCTGCTCGTGCGGGTTTCGTGTCACTGTTCCAACCGATAATTCGCTGCTCTCTAATTGGCGGTTCTATCGCGTCACACATCAACTAGTCATCCACTCGGCCACAAGCATAACAGAACTGAACCATAAAATTACTAAATTTCCCACAAAACCCTCTTTTTGATAATAATCATTATGTGCTCACTATTGACTAGCTTCAAGAGATATTTCCTGAAGTTCTAGTAAGAAGCCATGACCACTGGAGTTCAATCAGTTCTGTTGTGAGATAGTAACTCACTAAAGCCAATAGTGGACGGTGACGTGGTAATCAATGTTATTTATATTATGTCCTTCTTAATTCAGATCAAGTTCTATCGACCAAGTTGCAATGTGGCTACTAATCTAGGTGACTGAGACTGATCTCCTGTAGGAGTGAGATTTATTTACAATTGATTGATCGCTAGATGGTGTCAATGTCATGTATGCCATGTCCTTCATGACAATCAGCAGTGACCTATTGATAACTGAACTTCATTCGCTAGGAAATGGATCAATTGAGTGCTGGGGATTTAACATGCCCAACACTTTTTAGTATACATAGCTACTAGATGAAATGATGTTTGATCACTTTTCAGTTTGTTGCTTTCTTTGAAGAAAACATTCTAACAATTGTCCTAATACCTTAGTAACAAAATCTCATCTATAATGTTAGTTTCAATGATATTAAACACTAATCTTAATGAATTGTACTTCTTTCCTTTCAGTAAAGTAAAGAAATTTTAAAAGTATTATTAAAGTACTCATTAAATAAGTTAACCCAATAAGGGGTTTAGAAAGGTGATACGATTTTTAAAAAAACGAATAAGTAAATGTAAGATGATATAAATACTGACTCAGTATGAACCTTGATAAACAAGGAGGATCGAATGCAGATGTAAAGGCGAGGATTGGCAAAGAAAGGACCGCATTCCTATAATTGAAGAACATATAGAACTCAAAACAACTCTCAACTAACATCAAAGTGGTTTAGCTTCAATTGACTCATGATTTCAAATATGAAAATACTAAATCTCCACAAAACCCCCTTCTTTATTTATTTCTTCATGAAGCGAAATATCCATTTGAAGCCTAAATAAATGTATCTCTCTAAGTGGCAAAAGTCATTAGTTAGTGTATTGACTATAAATCGAGTGTAAAAACTTACTAATCCAGTAGATATTTAGAGTCGGTTGATGGTAGTCGGTTACTTGTATTCCAGAATAGCCACCATCATGTTTTTCAAAGGGTGTAATTCAAGGTTTTCATCAAGAATTTGTTGCTTACTGGCGTTTCGTCTATAAACGTTTCATCAAACCGAAGGGTAGTATGGTCAGTTTTGTTTTAAGAAAATGGAACATAACCCCCTGGGTTCGATTTGTGGTGGATAGACTGATAACGAATGTATACCAGAACGATAAGGCTATACAGTGTTTCCTTGTATTCAATAAATGCCAAAATTAAATTGATTCGTGATCTCTATTGCTTTCAACAATCTCCATAATCCCCCTAGATGAGACTATAAATTTATGGACGAACCAATGAGATTTAGGATAACAGGACTTTGTCTAAATAGCCTTTAGCACTTAAGCTGATGTTAGCTAGTGATGAAAACCATAAATTCAGTTCCTAACCTTAACTTACTTACTTACTTACTTACTTACGCCTGTTACCCCTCATCGAAGATCAAAGGCCACATACCAGTATTCTCCATCCAATCCTGTCCTGGGCAATACTTCCTAACCTCAACTATCGAATGTAAATCATAATCCTTATACTGTTTAAACTGTTTTTGTGATGGTCTCACCATCACCTATACTGAAAATAACAAATATTTCCATGTAGTCTAAAGCCCCCAAATGCCCTGATACGGCGAAGTGTATACAGCCACTGACAGAGACTTTCTATTCACTATCTTCTCGTAACATAATTGTTGTTTATTATATCGAGAGGATGAAAGGCGAATGTCCGGTGCTTTAATCAGGTCTACCTAGGGCAGTTGGAAAACCCTGATTCCAAACCAGTTGTGCCCATAGGATGGCTCTAGGATTCTGAAAGAACAAATGGCGCATAAACCGAATGCTGGTCACCGGCTACCATGGAACTGCATCTCCTTACATCGCTCCACTTCCTTGTGGATTACACCTTCAGATGGAAGGCTCCGAGTGTGGTTCCCTAAGGAAACTATATGCTACGCTTTGAGCACCCAGGCACTATCACAGATCACATACAAATCAAGTGACTTGTATGACGCCTATGTATTCAATACCTCTTTGTACCAATATTTATGTGTTCAATCTTAATGAATGCACAATAATTAATCGTTCTCTTTTTATTTTTCAATCCATATAGTTATTTTATTTTAGTGCTACTAAAGCAGCTTATCTAATAGCATCAATACAATCACAACATAAATTACCTGATGGTACACAATTTCGTTTAATTAATCAATCAAATAAGAAACCATTAGATTATGTTAAAATCAATAATCTATTTATCAATCAAATTATAAATGATCCTTCTAATGAAATCAATAATCATAATGATACTAATCAAACATCGAACGATTCATTATATACCTTACCTACATTGATTGATTGGAATTCAATTGTACGTGATAGACATGGACCATTTTGGCCACATAATTATGGACCTATATGTCAAACATTATATAATTTATATATAGAAACAAACAATTCAAAAGATGATTATAATGGTAAGAGTGATTAGAATAGATCAGTTTGATTTTTGAATTCTATTTTTGATGATTGATGATGATCAGATGATCAACTTTGTAAAAACTAATCATTATTACATAATTGAAATCATGAATTAATTGAAGTTAGACCATCATGGAAAATCTGGAAGCATTGAACGGCTGTTTCGTCCTATTGTGAGACTCCTCAGTGGTAGTGCGCATCTACGATTCCGCCTCGGGAGATTCAAATCCAGGACCTATCAGTCTCGCACACGAGCGTTTAACCATTAGACCATTGAGTGCACTGTTGAGGAGTCCCACAATGGGACAAAATGGCCGTTCAGTACTTCCAGGTGTTTCATGGTTGTCTAGCTTCAATTGATTCATGATTTCAATTATAAAATTACTAAAAATCTCCACAAACCCCATTCCGATAAAACTAATCATTGTTACAAAGTCGAAAGTAGTTGATAGGATATCTTGTCCCTAAGTTTTGTCCTAGTTAACACTTGCGATATAACGAATGAGTTAGAATACTTTCTGTCTGTCAAGTTTACTAAGATAATACGTTAATAAGACAATGAGATTAGTCACATTAGATCAGATTTGAGATTCATGATCCAGAATAGAGAACCAAATTAATACTGAATAATACTTTATTCCAGGCACAAACGAATAGTCAGCCTCAATGATTCCAGATTAGAAATGAGTGAAAGGAAAAGAAATCATATATTTAATTGCCAGTAGGTAAAGTGCCTGTTTGTCCACGCTTAACAACCAATCATATTTTATTGTCACTATCATATATCAACTTGTCGACTAAGCGCACAATCAATCTTCAGGGTACTGATGTTGTGTATGCGTTTTCGATTTTGAATCACTATGACTAGTATTCATAGAAACTGAACATCAATAAAGAAAATAAACAAACACTGGACTTTATAAGCAAAGATGGATAGTAGCTAACAGTGAAATCCAGGAAGCACTTTTCGTCCTATTTGGAACTCGTCAACTGAATGTACCTGCACCTCAGAGTTGATGTTCACTCCCCAACTCGAACCCAGTACCGTTCGCTTCAAATGTCATCGCGTTATCCACTGAACTACTGAGTCCTGATAGCCACTTGCTTGTGCAATGGTGTGGAGTTTGAATTCACTTAGTATTGTTTGTTTGAATCTTCCCATTGTTATTTAGGACTGCAACTGGTCAGTCTCTTATTGTCCATATGTGCATACCGTGCGTACCTCACAACTACAGCTGAACTAGTAACCAACTATTATCACATGTAATAAATTCAACGATGAATTTGGCTGAAACTAATTTCTTGAATGAAACATCAGAAAAGTCTGATGACAGTTTGTGATGAAAAGTGTCTTCAAATGATTGTATGTTCTCAAAATAGGATTAGATAAAAGGAGATTTTATCAAAAGGGGGTTTTGTGGAGATGTTAGTAATTTTATATACTTGTGATCATGAGTCAATTGAAGCTAGACTACCATGGAAAACCTGGAAGCACTTGACGGCTGTTTCATTCTACTATGGAACTCCTCAGCAGGATCGCGAATGCGCACTGTTGAGGAGTCCCACAATAGAACGAAACGACCGTCCAGTGCTTCCAGGTCTTCCATGGTTGTCTAGCTTCAATTGACTCGTGATCTTAACTATATAAAATGGAGATTTTGTTAAAATGAAGCAGATATTAGAGGAGTTGAGACTCTTAGAGGTATATTTACAGAAGATTACTATATGTTTTAATTTCCCTGAGTTATTTTTTATTGGTTACTTACCTCCTTCTCTGTTCTTTATCACTTATGGCTTGGTTGTGTACAAACTATGGTTTCTTAGTTGTGTTTGATAATTTACGTATACAAGTCTATAAGTATTTGTATTATAGCAATAGATAATAATTAAAGTGTTATCTGGAGATTGTATTTCGACTTCTGACTGATTATGGGGCTAGAGGGAAGCTGCGTCATTTGAGGTAGCTGCCAAAGTCACTTAGTGTTGGTTGGAGTGTATCGTTGATTTACGTGACGGTCGTTGGTCCGATAGGTTTATTGGTTAACGTCATTAGTGGATTCTATAGTCCGACGGTCAAGTCACATGAACCGAAAAGACAATAAGAGTTGTTAGTTCATCCCAGAGTTCATTAGAGTATGCTAAGATTCTAGTGTCATTGAGAACTAGATAAGTTTGACTTCAATGGTTGATGCATTGTTATTCTTAATGGGGTTCAATGGCTTGATTGATATGATAATATCAGGTTATTAAGACTTACGACTTGTCCAGTATGAACTCTTCTTTCCAGTCTTATATACATCTAACCTAAGGTTCTAATTTTAAGCGATGTTATGATCGATTTACAGATTACTATCTTATAACAGAGATGGTTAGTGGCCAGCTGTGGAATTTAGCACATGTGCTTCATCCTATTTGGAACTCGTCAGATGGATGTAGCTATATTCCAGAGTTGATTTTCACTCTGAGACTCGAACCCAATACCGTTCACTTCAAATGCCCAGAGTGAACATCAACTTTAGGATTCTGATGCATCCAGCCGATGAGTCCCAAATAGGTCAAAACACTTATTCTGGATTTCATTATCAGCCATTTTCCATCTCTGTTAATAATTCTTTTGATTTAAATCAATACCAAGGCAATCCTTACAGGATGCACATATCCCTATCAGGGACTATCCGATTGCAGTCTCGACAAGCAACGGGACAACTCTAACAACCAATACAAAATTTAAGTCACAATTGATTGATCACTGGGTGATGATCAGTGTCATGTGTGCCAAGTCCTTCTTAGTGCTGATCGAATGCTATCAATCAAGTTGGAATGTGACCAGTAGTCTAGGTGGCTCGACACTGCGTGCACTATGTTGAGATAAGATTGTGGTTGGAGGTGGTCAACTGGAAACCCTGGACCCAGGTTTCGTGCTACATAGCACTCGTCAGCAAGGTGTACCTGTAATCTTGAAGGAACTGGTGCTCCCTGACGAACTTGACAAGCATGACATTGATCACCACACAGTGATCAATCAATTGTGATTGCATCTCAGTCCTACAGGAGGTCGGTAGCGGCCCGGATAACGCAGTGGTAACGTCTCTGACTATGAAGCTGGGTGACACAAGATAGAATCCGTCAGGGAGCACCAGTCCCCTCAAGATTACAGATACACCTTGCTGACGAGTGCCAAGTAGCACGAAACCCGGATCCAGGGTTTCCTGTTGACCACCTCCAACCATCATCTTATCACAAAAACTAAGTGATTACTTTTGGCTTTTGATCAAGCTATAATTTTGTTTATCATTCATTGATTTATTCAATAACATTTTTTCTTATTTCTCCAGTTAATAAAGCAATCATTCCTGATTACACTGAAGAGATTATGCAACTAAGAAATAAGCAACCTTATTTCAAAGGAATACGAGTTATTTTCGATTCCGAATGCAGTCCTTGTTTATCAGGAGATTTGAATACATCTACACCACCTTCGTTGGATATAAAACAATTCGTTGAAGAATTAACTAATGTTCAACAATGGACACCACCATGTTTAGTTTTTGAATCAAGATTTGAATCAGGAAATCTACGACAAGTTAGACGAATGTAAGTAAAATGACAATAATGATTTTATTAAAGAATAAAATAATGACTTGTTTAAGGTAGTGTCAAGTTTTGTTAGGGTGTAAGAACAGTTAACATTTGTCGGTTGTTCAGACAGTGGAAACATACTTCTTGAGAGATTTTAAAACGATACTCGATTAATAGGGTGGGGGTTGATGACATGAAAGAATGATGGTATAGTCCATGGGACAATTATTTGGAACCAGACCATACACTGTACAACAGAACTAGCTGTCTTGAAGCTCTCACTGAAGATTGTGACTTTGATATTGGTTGACAGTTGTCATGAGTTCTATATGTTCTTCAATTGTAGGAATGCGATCCTTGCTTTTATAATTCTCGCCTTCACGTCTGTATCAGATCTTCCACGTTCATCGATGATGGTTCCCAGGTACGTGAAAGATCCCATACCTTCGAGAGCTTTTCCATGAAGTGTGATTGTGTTGGTGTTCTCTGTATCGTATTTGAGAATCCTGCTTTTTCCTTTGTGTATTTTGAGGCTTACTGATACAGGAGCTGCCGCTACATAGGCCGCCGACCATTATTCTTCAACCCACTCAGTCCTGGGCCTTCCTTTCTCGTTCTATCCAATTTTTGTTCATTCTTCTCATGTCTGTCTCCGTTTCTCGGTGTAATGTGTTCTTGAGTTTTCCTCTTTCCCTTTAACCTTCAGAATTGGTTTGGTGATGTTGAATTACTTCCATGGAAACAGCTAAAACCATAATGAACATCATTAAGATCCTTACTATTGGATTTTCTTTAAAAATATTGACATCGACTAAACAAATTGGTTTTCTTTTTTTATGAAAAATGAACCTTTAAAGTACATTACACTTTGAAGATTATAAGGTGACTGATTAGATTCACTCACCTTTCAGGTCAGTTTATTTTTTGGCAGTAGGACAAAATGATCTTTTATTTTGTAAAAAAGAAACTTCGTCAGGTCAATAAAGGGACATTGAATCGTTGTGATCATTTGTAGTTGGGTAAGCTCTGTGATCTGTGTTCAATATTTTCAAGGTCAGTTATACATACATACATCTATTATACCCTTGTGAAGGGGAGCTTAGGCCGTCCACCAGCGCAAGGTCAGTTAGAAGGATAATGAAATGGATTGGATACACTTTTAATAGGTAATATTGATCAAATTTCGTCTACATATGATAATGATTAATTTATTAGAAGAGGGTTTTATGGAGATTTTAGTAATTTTATATAATTTAAATCATGAATCAATTGAAGCTGGACAACCATGGAAAACCTGGAAGCACTGGATGACCCTTTTGTCCTGTAAGATCATCTACGTTGATGTTCCATGACAAAATGATTGGGGGCCTACTATAGTTAGACATGAATGGTGACAAACCAACTAACGCTGAAGTCACACCTCGCGACCAGCCCTTACGTGGATTGAACCATCGATGCATCAAAGGATCATGGACACTATGGAGACTGTACAACACAAAGGACGTTATTACAAGAATATATTAGTTAAGGTACAATCACGAAAGCACAAAAGTGAAAGGACAACCACTGCCGCGTGGGCCAGTCCATGGCGTATATTGACTGGTGCGCGTTGACTATCCTTGACCTTGACAGGGATCTATTATCTGTTCGATATTCAGTGACATTTCACCGATCCTACAGTCCTATTGTGGGACTCCTCAACAGTGTGCATCCACGATCCCACCCCACCAGATTCCAACCCAAGACTTATCAATCTCGCGCGCAATCGTTTAACCGATAGACCACTGATCCGGCATCCAACTATGTTATTGTCTAACTTCAAACAATCCACGAAATTGAGCAACCATTTCACCGTTGTCTTCAGTGAGTTGATATATCCCAACAGACCTGGTTTAACTCTACTGGTTACTGCTTCTCACTAGAACTCCAAGAAATACCTCTTGAAGACAGTCACTAGTGAGCATATGGTCATCATTTGAAAGGGGTTTTGTGGAAATTTTAGTAATTTTATATAGTTGAAATCATTATTCAACTGAAGCTAGACCACCATGGAAAACCTGGTCTAGTAGCTAAGCGCTTGCACGCGAGACTGATAGGTCCTGGGTTGAAATCTCATGAGGCGGGATCGTGGATTCTCACTGCCACTGAGGAGTCCCACAATAGGACGAAACGGCCGACCAGTGCTTCCAGGTTTTCAATGGTGGTCTAGCTTCAACTGACTCATGATTTCAACTATATAAAATGATTAATTTAGTTCATTTTGCGATGATTTTGTGTGCGTAAAATATTATTTTATTTGTAAACTAAGGTATTAAATTAAATCAAAATGAACAACAGAATTTCATCTCAGTAATAACAGCCAATTCACCAGTTACTTGTTTTAAGGTATTTCTGAAGTACTGATGACTGATGAAGTTCGGATATATTTAGGGTGAAACAGTGCCACCAACTGAATTGGATGGTCTTCGTGCTACCTTGCTAATAGATTGAAGTTTGAATTGTGCGAATGAACACATACAATTATTTCATTGTTTAAAGGTTTGTCGAGAGAACTGAAGGGCATGAACTCGATCACTTTCGGGATCGTGGATTATTTTTGTCAAGGAGTCCTATGTTGATATGAAACAACTATCCAATGCTTCCTGGTTTTAACTGTTACTGTTAATGAGATCAGTATTTGACGAATATGACCTTCAAAATATCCACAAGCATCTTTAATTAAACAGTAGGATGACCAAAACGTGCCAGGATTGTACGAAGCATCATCATAACGAATGGATCTCTATGAAAACAGTGGACAAGATTCAAGAAAGGAAGAACAAGAAGAAATCAATCAAAAACAGCTGAACGAGAACAGAGAAGATTAAACTACAAGCTGAGTACACAGAATCAAACAAGTAAGTGAAGAGGAGCACTAGAGCCGACAATAAGAAGTACGTGGAGGAGTTAGAAATGACAGCGGAAAAAGTTTCAAGAGAAGGAAATATGAAACAACTATATGACACAACGAAGAAACTAGCAGAGAGATATTTTAAACCAGGGAAACCAGTGAAGGACAAAGAAAGCAAGCCAATCACCGAGATTCAAGAACAAATGAACAGATGGGTAGAATATTTCGAGGAATCCTTGAATAGACCAGCTCCACTCAACCCACAGGACATCGAAGCAACACCTACAGACCTTTCTATAGATGTCACTCCACCGAAGATCTTAGAAATCAAGATGGCCATCAGACAAATCAAGAACGTGAAAGCAGCAAGACCTGACAAAATATCAGCCGAAGCACTGCAGTCAGACATAGAAGTAACTGTAAGTGTTTCACGTTCAGGAATATTTGGGAGGTTGAACAAATGCTGACAGACTGAAGAAAAGAATACCTCATCAGGATGCTAAAGAACGGAGCTCTGAACAAATGTGGGAACTCAGCTATAGATACTTCACACTACTATCGGTACCGAGTAACGTTTCCGACAAAGTGTTTCTGAACCAGATGTAAGACGTAGTAGACGTTCAGCTTAGAAATCAACGAGTTGGAATCCTTATAGATCCGTCGTGCACAAACCGAATTGTGACAGTATGGATCATCGTTGGACAATCAGTTGAATCGAACTCGTCACTATACAACAACTTCTATGATTAAGAGAAGGCATTTGACAGTGTGGATAGGAGGACATTACTCTTTCTTCTTGTGGTTGACTGGATTATGAAGACCTTCACATCTCAGAAGAAGTACGGAATAAAATGGACGGGTTGGATTCAACTAGATGATTTTGATTTCTCAGGTGATCTGGCCCTTCTATATCATACACACGAACAAATGCGGATGAAGAGAACAAATGTAGAAGCAGTCCCTACATCAATAGGCCTCAACATACACAAAGAAAAAAGCACGATTTTCAGATACAACGCAGAGAACACCAACCCAATCACACTTGATGGCGAAACTCTGGAAGAGGTGGAAAGCATCATTGATGAACGAGGAGGATCTGATGCTGATGTAAAATCGAGGATCGGCAAAGCAAGGACCGCATTCCTATAATTGAAAAATATATGGAACTCAAAATAACTATCAACTAATTTCAAAGTGAGAATCTTCAATACAAATGTCAAGACAGTTAGTCCTACTGTACGGAACTGAAACGTGGAGAACTACTACATCCATCGTAAAGAAAGTACAAGTATTTATAAACAGTTGTCTACGCAAAATACTCATTATTCACTGACCGGATACTATCAACAACAACGTTTTATGGGAGAGGACAAACCGGCTTCTAGGTGAAGAGGAAATTAGTAAAAGACGTTAGAAGTGAATAGGACATATGTTGAGGAAATCACCAAACTGCATCATGAGGCAAGCCCTAACTTGGAATCCTGAAGGGAAGCGGAAAAGTGTAAATCCAAAGAACATATTACGCTGAGAGATCGAAGCAGATATGAAAAGAATGAACAGCAACTGGAAAGAAATGGAAAGGATTGTCGAGGACAGGGTTGGCTGTAGAACGCTAGTGTACGGCCTATGCTCCTCCACGAAGGGTAACAGGAGTAAGTTAGCAAGTAAGTAAGTATTAATCTTCGTTCTTGCTTTCTTTAACATTTAATAATGTTCAAATAAATAGACAATACCGTTAGATACTATAGAGAACGTTTTTTCTTTTCTTTCTATTTTCTTTAGAGGACCATTTCATTATGAATTATTATTAAAACCGGATCTATATACAAAACGTCATGTACAATGGTATTTTTTTCGTATACAAAATATTCTACCTGGTTTTATTTATACATTTCTAATTATAAATTTTACAAAATCAACAAGTTTATACTCTCAAGGTTAGTTGATGAAGTTTTATTCTCTATGCTGGATGATTTAGTAGTGAAACTTTCATCATTCTTCTGAACGGCATCATCAGTACAGACTTTTACCTACTTACTTACTTTGTGAGTACGCAGTACTCATCCACAATTGTGCTCGTGGGACTCGAACCCAGAACCTATCAATCTTGCGTGCGAATGCTTAACCTCTAGATTATTGAACCGGTTTCCAATGGTGTTAATACATAATTTCAACTAATCGAAGAAATTCCACCACCGTCCACAATTGTGTTCAATGAGTTACTATCTCACGACAGATCAGTTCTTATAGGTTTTCTATAGTGATCTAGCTTGAATTGACTTACGAATTCAACTATTAACAATTATTGCGATTATGGGACTCCTCAGCGTATCCACGATCCCGCACTCGCAAAATTCGAACCCAGGACTTACCAGTCTCGAGTCAGAACCCTTAACCGGCATCCAACGATGTTGATATCTCGAGACTGGTTGGTCTTGGGTTCGAATCTCGTGAATGCGGGATCGTGGATGCACACTGCCATTGAGGAGTCCCATAATAGGACGAAATGGCCGTCCGGTGCTTCGAGGTTTTTCATGGTGGCCTAGTTTCAATTGACACAAGCTTTCAACCCCTCTCCAATCTCTACAAGACCCCTATCTAAGACTTCTTTTAGCAAAATGTAAATTGTTTTTCAGGACAGGTTAATTTCATAGAATACTGAGACAGAAATAACTAGATAATCTTTTGTCTTCAAATAGGTTTACAACCTTTATTGTATTCCAAAATTAATTATCAACAAAATGGTAAGAAATGGATACGTGTTGGAAGGAATATGAAGTAAGTATGATATTTATCTGTTTATTCGATTATTCTTTTTCTTTAAAAAGTAGGGCGCCGATCAGCATTCTCTAACCCACTCTGTTTTGGACCTTCCTTTCTTGTTCTATGCAATTGTTGTTCGCTCTTTGCATGTCTGTCCCTATTTCTCGGTGTAATGGGTTCTTTGGTCTTCCTCTTCTCCTTTGGCGTTGAGGATCCCATGTGATGGCTTGGTTTGTTATGTAGTTGGGTGCTTTCTTCAATGTGTGTCCTATACACTTTTGTTTTTTGAAAGCAATTAATTCTGAAAGGTATTCCTGAAAAGTTATTATCTCCTAGTATTAGCTTAAACATTGAATATGTATTATTTCTGATGACATGTGTTATTTGAACTTCTGTTTGTTGTATAAAACAATCTAATCACTAAAACAATGGTGTGTGATACTGATGTCGACAGGTATAAGTAGTATGTATCATCAATAGAAAGTGAAATACCTAGAGGCAGAAGGTTAAGAAGATTGAAGAAAAGAGAATGAGAACAGAGAATGATCAATGTAGAAACGAAGGTACAACAAAGTCTGAGACAACTAGTTGACATTTTTCAAATGAAGTATTTACTGTATGGTTCTACTAACATGTTCCGTAATTTTGGTTATCCTCGCTGCTGTTTTCGCTTACTATGAAACTAATATGATTAAGTTGATATGGACTTCCTCTTAGTTGAAATACTGAAAACTACAGGATCTCATTGAGCTACAAACCAGTTTTGATATTCTAAATAATCGTAAGTACTTCTGATTGTTAATATAGAAACGATTCAACCATACATTAAATGACCATTCATCATAGTAAATGTAGTGTCTAGCACTACGCCGAGCCCACATAACTTATTCTAACTTTCGGATAGACCAATTTATTTATTCTTTTTGAGTCACATTTTGACTTTGTTAATCATTCGCTTCGTTTCTCCTTACTTTGTCTTACTTCGCTTCACCTCGCTTAGCCTCTACCTTGCTTCACTTCACCTCGATTCGATTTGACTATAAGCATTGTGTAACGCTTAGTTAAAGTAAGTTGGCTTATATGTCTTCTACAATTCGTTTCGCTTCACCCTATCCTCTTCTTCGCTTCGTTTCTCTAATCGTCCATCTAGATCAACGATTGTATGAAATATACGTATTCAAAATCCATTCTCGTATTTAACTTTTCCAATTCCGTTATTCACTTACATGAGTTAGGATTTGCAGCAGGTGTATTTCAACACCAATAAATGGAGTCAAAACTCGGGCCACTAAATTAGGAGTATCCCATGGTAAAATCGGCAAAGACTGGTAAATATTTGTAGTCTGATACGATACTTCAACAAATCAGTTAGATTTCTGAAATAGATGACGTAACTCAGAACCATTGACTGATTGTCTAAATATATTCATAATGAATTAGAACTGTTATTTAAAACAATTAGTCCCTTTCATAAATGAAACGAAAAGACGAGGATTATCACAATTATGTTATGTTTGAAGTATTAGAGACTGGTAGGTTCTGGGTTAGAATCTCGCGAGGCGGGATCATGGATGCGCACTGCTGAGGAGTCCCATAATGGAACGGAACGACGTCCAGTGCTTCAATTGATTCATGATTTTAACCATGAAAATATTAGAGGATTATTTAGAAAAGTCTACAGAAGCTGAAGAAGATAGGAAGCACTTCGTCCACTATTGTGGTGTGGTCTACTTATATCCACATAAGTAGTATATGATGATGGTCAAACATAGAATGTATTTTGGCAGAAGATTGATAAGGAAAGAACAGAAATGAAACGCAATAGGTACGAAAATGCATAAACAATGAAATCAGAGAAGGTGGACTGACATTTGCAGAAGGAACAGTCAAGATTGGGACAATCGATTGACAGTTTGCAATATAACTATTTACTGTATGGTTGTCAGATTTTACTGAGATATTCTGTAATTTTCGTGTCAAATACACTCGATTGTCCCCTCTCATCTTCATGTTTACCACAGTCCGATACTACGGATGGAATAACTATCCACTAGTCTTTGGATTCCAAATACTTATCTAATCGAAATCGATTCAGGACTCCGTAGCTGAGTGGATAACGTGATGGCGTTTGAAGCGGAAGGTACAGGATTCGAGTCCCAGAGTGAAGATCAACCCTGAGGTGCAGGTACATCCAGCATACGAGTCCTAAATAGGGCGTCCTAGATTCCACTACTAGCCACTATTCATCTTTACTTACAATTAATTACTTTTCTTTTTTTTAAAAATCGATACACTATTCTGTCCCTACTTTTTATGTTTCTCTCAGATATACACGTAACACAATGAATCTATCTAATCATTTACTTGATACAAATGGTGAATATTATCAATTAGAATGGGAAATGGTTAGTTTAAAATTGGTAATGTGTGTTTAGTTTATGATACAATGAAAAAATTGCCCATCCATGATCCCGACCCCCCCCCGAGATTCGAACCTAGGACATATCAGTCTCACGCGCAAACTCTTAACCTGTGGACTACTGAGTTGACATCTAATCCACGAAATCGAAGTTAGACATTAACACCATTGGATACCAGCACAGTGGTCTAGAGGTCCTGGGTTCGAATCTCGCGAGGCGTGATCGTGGATGCGCTCCCAGGTTTTCCATGGTTGTCTAGTTTCAATTGTCTCATGATTTCAACTATGAAAATACTGAAATCTCCACAAAACCCCTTTTGATAATAATACAAAGATTTGTGAATAAGGATAATAGAGACAATTACATTAGACCACGAAAGGTTGTAAGTACATAATCAAATTAGGTCATCCAATAGCTAAGATTACTAATGATTAATTGGCCTTGTAGTTGTCCAAGGGAAGAGCAGGGGTTGAAGATATTTCTTCTGTAAGCATAACTCCAGTTTCTTCATCCGGATGGCTACTGTCTCCGCCATTTGAAGGACTTTAAGCCTGATAAGCTTTTACGAAAAATTATTGACCCCATATATATCTGAAAAAGATCGGTTTATACTGTACTATGACCAGTTTGTACTACGTGGGCCAATAACGACATGTTTACTTTCTTTACCAAACCATTGCTTAGCCATTCTGGGAGGTGTTCGCAAGCACAAAATTGTAAATTCCTAGAACTTCAACCAATATATAACTTGCTTTACAAGAGCAATCGAATTGATAAATACAAAATGAGGTGATCATTCTAGGTCATTCATCTTTAAGCCCCAGTGTCACCATTGGACGTGTACAAAACACTAAACGTAGTTCACCGGCGTTGAAAGATGTTCGAATTGATCTTCGTAATCTCTGAGTTATTTCGCTAGCCAGCCGACTGCTCCACAGGAGCAGTCTTTTAAATACTATAACTTGTTTTCTTAATTGCATTACGTAATCATCAGTTTGTAACCCATAACTATCCTATTCTATTTCTATTTAGGAATTTCCTTATTCTAATGATATTTGTTATTTGGCTTATTCATATCCATATACTTATACAAATTTAAAATTTGATATCAATGAATTACTTTTGAAATCGAAAGACAATGATCTATTGAATAAAACAATTAATTGTGAAGTATTATGTCAAACTAGAGCTGGTAATTCATGTTTCCTGGTTACAATTACGGATCAAAGTAAGTTTGTAAAGATTATTGAAGTTTTGATTAAGATCATGAATGGATCAATGTGTTAGATCACTACTAAGAATCTGGAAACACTGGACGACTGTTTCATCCTAGTGTGGGATGTTGTTTACGAAATTGAGAAGACGAAAACCGAATGTCCGGCGCTTTAACCTTGTTAGTGGACACGGAAAGACCATCTAGGGGAGTTGGAAAACTCTGATTACAAATCGATGGTGCACATAGGTTCCAAGATCCTGAGGGAACAAATGGCGTATGAATCAGTCGTTGGTCATCAGCTATCACGGGACTGCATCTCCTTAAGATGCTCCACTGCCTTGTGGATTAGATCTTTAGCTCAAAGACACGGGGTGTGTCCCCTTAAGAAAACCGCCTGCTTCAATTTGTGCACCTCTGGAGTATCACAGGTCCCACACAAATCAAATGAGATTTGTGCGGCGCATGTGTGTTTGGTGCCTCTTTGTACCAATATTTATGTGTTTAAATAAAATAAATAAATAAGTATGACACTCCTCAGCAAATCAATATTCTGAGGAAACATTTTCATTATTAGACTTGGAAGTGTTGGATTTAAAGTCTTCGAATGTATTGCTGACGAGTTTCATTCTAAAACAAAAACAAACTATCCAGTACTTCTTAGTTTTCTTTGATCCTTCAGTTGGTATTTAATTAGTGTAGAAAATCCACTTCAGCTTCAAATAATCTTGATAAAATCCACAGTCAAACTTTCAATATTTCGTGGTTTGCTTTACAAGTTGGTTGTGACTAGGAAGTCAGTGAAAACCAGAAATCACTATGCGGTAATCTCTTCGTAATGTAGAACTTCTCTGATGTATTTACGAACTACTGCACCATCAACTAATTAAAGAACATTCAGTCATTAGTGTGGGCTCTAAATCTTCAAACAACTGGGTTCGGATCAAACAGAATAGCCAATCAGAGATCACTAGTTTTCAGTGATTGTCTAGCTACAGTCAATCGTTGATGTAAAGTACGAAATTCCGCCGCCTCCAAGGTCTCTATATAAATTTTTAATAGGCAGTACATTATAAGCAGAAATGGGTGGTGACTAGCAGTGGAATCCAGTTTGACGTGCGTTTCGTCCTATTTGGGGCTCATCAACTGGATGTACCTGCATCCCAGAGTTGATTTTCACACCAGTACTCGAACCTAGTACCGTTCGATTCAAATTCTGGGATGCAGGTACATCCAGCTGACGAGTCCCAAATAGGACGAAACGCGCGTCGAACTGGATTCCACTACTAGCCACTATCCATCTTTGCTTATAATGCCTTAAATACTGTTTAAATAAATAAAAATTACAAAAACAAACTGTTTATTTCTTTTGACAAATAAACAGACATATCAAATAAAGATAAATATGCAGTCGTAATCACTGCTCGTGTACATCCTGGTGAAACAAACTCCAGTTGGATAACTCTTGGTTTATTGAAATTACTAACAAGTAATCAACCCATTTCATTGGCATTGAAAAAGCATTATGTTTTCTATATCATTCCAATGTTGAATCCTGATGGTGTAATTGTTGGGAACTACAGGTAAGTTGTAGGATAAATGGATGTAACCATTTTATGTATGTAAACAAAAAAATATTTTCATAGTTGAAAGCGTGAGTCAATTGAAGCTAGACCACCATGGAAAACCTGGAAGCACTGGACAGCCGTTTCATCTTATTATGGGACTCCTCAACAGTGTACATCCACGACCGCACACTCGCGAGATTTGAACCCTACCTACCAGTCTCGTGCCAGAGCACTTAACCAATAGACCACTGAGCCGGCATTCAACGGTGTTAATGTCTAACTTCAACCAATCCACGAAGTTGAGCAACCGTTCACCAATTGTCGGGATCGTGGATGCACACTGCCACTGAGGAGTCTCACAATGGGACGAAACGGCTGTCCAGTGCTTCCAGGTTTTCCATGGTGGTCTAGCTTCAATTGACTCACGCTATCAACTATGAAGAAACTAAATCTCCAAAAAACCCCTTCCGATAATAAAAAAATATTGTAAAAATGTGCATAAAAGATGTTGAGAAAGTTTGGTGACTCTTATTTAGAAGGCTATGATGACAGGGGTGATCTCATATAAACCATATGGAAGTCATATGGAACTGAAAAATTCGAGTGTGGGGAGGCGATAATAAGTAAAGCAATCAGACAGCTTGATAAGATAATCCTCTACATACTTTTGTATATATTACTTACTTACGCTTGTTACCCCTCGTCGAGGAGCATAGGCCGCCCACCAGCATTCTACATCCAACTCTGTTCCAACCTATCCTTTCCAGTTAACATTCGTCCGTTTCATATCTGCTTCTATTTCCCGACGTAATGTGTTCTTTGGCCTTCCTCTTTTCCTCTTCCCTTCAGGAATCCAAGTTAGGGCTTGCTTTGTAATGCAGTTTGTTGATTTCCTTAACGTATATCCTATCCACTTCCAACGTCTCTTCTTAATTTCCTCTTCAGCTGGAATCTTGTTTGTCCTTCTCCCTTAAAACGCTGTTGCTAATAGTATGCGGCCAGTGAATGTTGAATATTTTGCTTAGAGAACTGTTTATAAATACTTGTACTTTCTTGATGATGGATGTAGTAGTTCTCCATTTTGTATATATATATATATATATATATATATATATATATATATATATATATATATATATATATATATACGTCACTTATTTAAATAATCATTTGACTTTTCCATACAATACTCCATACAGACCCTTAGTTTTCTCACTGTTACATTGTTGCCTGAGTCAGGAGTTAATATTGAGGTAAATTTTGGCTCAGTATGACTAACAGATTATAAAAGGAGTGGGATTTGTAAGTGTAGCTTGTTGGTTGGAAGTTAATTACTGTCATTAGTGACGAATCAGCATAGTGAATAGTGTGTTGGATGAATTATTCGATTTCATAATTGTTACGTCTTGTAAGTTGAACGCTATATTCAGATCCTAAGCTAGTTCCGTACCCCCGAGCTAGAACTATACACCGACTTGAACACCAGAGAGAAGGTATAGTGTGTGGGAAGCACTTTAGTATAAGGTTCAATCTTGTTACAGAAAATCATAGGTATTTATGGATGTTAGCCAATCCATTAACGACATATTATGATACCGACCAATAGTATCACGCCACGTTGGAACTCTAGAATGTTCCATCGTATTCTGATTGGCTGGGGCTCTTTATGAGTCTCTGGAGGCTCTGTTAGAGTTCTGCGGAAGCCGATTCAACAATAATATCTAGTAAGGATAATGACATATTGATGAAAATACAAACGCACATAAGAAAATTTGTTTCCGCAATGTGAATAATAAACGAATTCACATATCTTTTCTCAATATGCTATTGCAATGACTTGAAACAAGACTAGTATATCAGTGTTGTAATTTCAACTAAATGCTCATTACCCAATCAACCAGTTGCAACGTAGAACCTGGCATATATGTAATGTTTATGCTGTTCATCCAAGAGACAGAACTTACTGCTGTCATACCCGTCTATAGTTAGAAGTACAACTTTTCCCTCGGATTTTAAGTTGCTGCCTTTAGTTATAACGTTCTCCAACTGACCTACCTGACTTAAAGGAACATATGTTCCAGCTAATATAGTTCGGTTGAGTCATTACGATAGCCAACCCGACCATCACGTCAAGGCAGCAGCTAACGTCAGAAAAATGCCGATTCCTTCTTCTGAAATAACTGTTTACTATAACTGAGGAATAACTTCTAACCGCTACTTATTAAAACAGAACAAGTGTGTTATGCCATCACAAGGAAAGAAAAACAAGACTAGAAGAAAACTGATTTATTTACTAACCAGCTGACTGTTTGTAAAATGTTCCTTTCTGATTCTGTAACTCAAAAAAAATTCATATAGTAAAATCCTACTTTGTAATCGGTTGGCTATGGTTGTTCGAACAGGATTACTTACCTATACTATCTTTATTTAAATACATTAGATGGTGCCCATTGATCTGACTACAATTTGCATGAAGGAATGAATATACATCAAATATGAGTCACTCGTTTCATTCCGTATATTACCACTAGGTTAATCAACATATTTTCAATTCAACAACAAAATCTAAGCACAAACGTAAGGAACACTGATGGGATCACCAATACCAAGACTTATTACAGAAGCGGTAATGCACAGGTCGAAAGCCTCGATCTTACCAGTGAGATTCGTTATGTGGACGACACATTCATCATCAACAAAATGGATGGGATGACATCAAGTTCACAATGGAACAGGAATCAAACAAAAAACTATCATTTTTGAATGTATTAATCACCAGAAATGACACAAGAAAACTGAAAACTAAAGTATATTGGAAGTCAACCAACATAGATCAAATTCTCAGTAGAAACAGCTCAAGAACTCTGAAAATCAACTGCATACAAACTCTGTTCAAGAGGGTAAGAACGCAGTGCAACACACTTGCAGATCAAAAAAATGAAAAATAATCTTAAGACTATCTTTCAAAACAACGGTTACCCAATCAACTTCATCAAAAAATATCAATCCAACGCATCAAGAGAAACAAAATGAAGTACAGAAACCAACAAACGGATCATCCTACCATATATAAAAGACATATCAGAAACTATAATGAGATTGTTGAAGCCTTTTGGAAAAGGTGTAGCACACAAACCAACAAAATCACTTCAATCAATCCTATGAAAACCAAAGGACGGAATGAAAGAAAAGGTAGCAAAACCTATCATCATCTACATAATAAATTGTTCCAACTGCGAAAAACACTACGTCTGACAAAGTGGACGTCCTCGTCTTCTTCGCCTGCATGAACATCAATTAGCGGTCAAATGCCATGATATATCCTCGCTTATATTAATGTACATGGACAACCGTGAACACACATTCTACTGGAAAAATGTTGAGATCTTGGAAAGATAGAATTCTAAAAAACATCAGGGAAGTTTTAGGAGATTGGTACTCAGTTCAATCAGCAATCAACAAACACATTAAAGTCCCTAAGTTCGAATCCCGCGAACGGGATCGTGGATGGGCACTGTTGGGGAGTCCCACAATAGGATGGAACGGCTGTCCAGTGCTTCCAGGTTTTTAATGGTGGTCTAACATCAATCGTTTCATGATCTCAATCAAAAACTTTGAAATCGATCCAATTTACCAAACAATCAGAAAAACTATAGACAAATATAAAACCAAGAATCAAATCAATGGGAGATACAATCAAAATAAAGAAGTACACAACGACAGGTCAAAAGTCAACAATAACCAACTAGCATCGAGGTCTATGGGACAAGCTATGAGTCATATATGGATAAATACAAACACTTCAATTCTTCCTGAAGTTTATGCTGATGAGGTCGTTCGGAATAACGACGAAAGTTCCACGACAAAACCGTCTAGCTCAGAGAACAAAACTCCACTGAAACTAGGCTAACCTTGTTTAAACGATGGAGGTAATACTAAACCAAATATAGATTGATTAGGATGATTTTACTTCAGCCATTCATTTGCTCAGATGGACGTTAAAATCAGAAGCGATAAAGAGAAGCAGAGAAGGTTGACACTCCAGCTCACTTTGATATTGACTTGATTCACCATTTGTAGCCAGACAAAATTAAACTAAAGACATGTAATAAATAAAATAAGAGATACATGCACACGATCAAATGAAAACAGTCAAGGTTATAAGCCGATAATTAATAAGGTCAAAACATGTGTGGATAATGACTCCAGAAGAATAAATTAATTGGTTCGTCAAAAAACCAGACCAACGAATGTAACCATGATACAGTACTATGGGCTACAAGTTCATGTGTCATCTTAAGGTCAGTTACACAAAGTATATTACTACCCAGTCTAATTAACGAGTTCATCAGTATCTCTCTTTGTGGCTTAGAAAAGCATAAATTAGGTCAAGATGAGAAAATGTTATAAACTTTAAAAAAACAACTCATAAACTACATGGATTAAACACAAATGTTTAATCAGAGAGGGCGATAGTGGATGCGCACTGACGAGGAGTCCCATACTAGGACGAAACGGCTATCCAGTTACTTTCAGGTTTTCCATGGTGGCCTAACTTCAATTAACTCATGACCTCCACATGTTTAAGTTTCATAATCATCTGAGAGAGAGATTCTTGATTTCAGCTCTCTATGCGCTCACTAGCTAATAAAGGATATAAGTGTTTCAAGGTAACCTGTGATGTAGCTCAAGGTCGGGATTGTAGAATAATTCCATTAATGTAACTGGTTGGTAGATGCGTTTATCGGACTACATTTAAAATGTAAGCTATTGAATTGAAATATATGTCAGTTAGAATGGTCTAACTCATTATACAATTCCCGTACTTTATATCATAACTTTATTTAGAATCAAATCCATTTAGTATTGTTTGTTTGAATCTTCCCATTGATGTGTTAGGACTGCAACTGGTCAGTCTCTAACTGGCATATGTGCATCATGTGCGTATTGCATCGATATAGCCTTAATTCACAAGCATGGTAAGCAAAGATGTATAGTGGCTAGCAGTGGAATCCAAGAAAGCGAAAGGTACTGGGTTCGAGTTCCAGAGTGAACATCAACTCTGAGATGCAGGTACATCCATCTGATGAGTCCCAAATAGGACGAAACGCTTGTCAAACTGGATTCCACTGTTAGCTATTATCCATCTCTGCTTACAATTTATTTAGAATCCTTATATAATCATTTAACAGTATTACTTCACACTGTATCTCTCTCGAATCGACTTCATCTTCTTCCATTTTTTTGTTTTTCAAAGATGTTCATTAACAGGGAGAGATTTAAATCGTAATTATCGTCAACCAAAAAAAGATGTATTTCCAACGGTATGGACAGTGAAACAACTTGTGAAATGGTGTAAAAAGACATATAAAGTAAGTTTTAAGAAAACATCAATAGGGGGTATGTAAAAGTCATTGACATGGTGTTGTTGTAATGAGCAATTGTTAAAGAAATTGGAACTTTGCGAACTATCTAACAGATCATAAGTAAAGATGAATGGTGGACAGCAGTGGAATCTAGGATGCGCGTTTTATCCTAGTTGACGAGTCTCAAATAGAACGAAACACTCGTCCTTGATTCCACTGCTAGCCACTATCCATCTTTGCTTATAATGCTTGTGAATTAAGGCAATATGGAGGCAATACGAACAGTATGCGCATATGGCAATAAGAAACTGATCAATTGCAATCCTAAACACCCCTGCGAAAATTTAAACAAACAATACGGGGTGAATTTATTTTACAGATTATAACTCCTTATATTTTTATTGTATAAGTATTGGACAACTGGATTATTATATAGTTGAGATCACGAGTCAATTGAAGCTAGATCACTATGGAAATCCTGGAAGCATCAGAAGGCCATTTCGTCCTATTGTGGGACTCCTCAGTGGCAGTACGTATCCACGATCCCGCCTCACGAGATTCCAACCCAGGCTTCGATATTTCTTGAATTTTGAACTTCTGTTAAATCTATTAATTGTTGTTATACATTTTACCATTCCTTAGTAATTGTTAGTATATTATGAACCATTTGATTCGTTCTCTGTCAAATATGGCTTGATTGTGTGTAAAGTATGGTTCATAATTTAGGGAATGATGTGGTCTGATAATTTATGTATATAAACTAATGGATATTTCATTTATAATAACTAGGCGATCACTGATCAAAATATTTATACACGGGATGAGAATGTGTATATGAACGGTGAGAATGGTCCACCAGGGTGTTTGGTACCTGAGTGGTTGCACCACAGGATTGGGCTGTACTGTTTGGATTGTAGCGTTGAAGCCTATAAAGTGTCTGGTTCTCCTATAGGGCGGGATTGGGCTGTACCTCCAACCACCATCTTACGGTACTACAGTTCCAAGTTTTACAATATAACTGCGGGACTATAATTTAGAGACGAACCAATCAGATTTGAGATAACAGGTCTTTGATGTTAGTGCGAAATTTATTCATCCATCTGGTTAAAGAGTGCCTTGGGATTTAAGCTGATGTCAGTTTCGTAATGAAAACCATAAATCGAATTCTTAACCTTAACCATCAACTGTAAATCTTAATTCTAATTCCTCACACTGCTTTATGCCCCCAAATGCCATGGCGCGGCCGAGAGTGGGGAGAGTCAGCTCTCTCTCGAAATGCTCTAATATGGCCACGCGTATATAGAATCTACCAGGGAAGTCCTACTCACTGCCTTCTCGCATCACAATTGCTGTTTACGAAATTGAAAGGATGAAAAGCGAATGTCTGACGCTTAAACCGGGTTGGTGGACACGGAAATTCCACCTAGGGGAGTTGGAAAACCCTGACTACAAACCAATGGTGCACATGGGATGGCTCCAGTATCCTGAAGGAACAAATGGTATATGAATCAAGCATTGGTCGCCGGCTACCATGGGACAACATCTCACGATACTCCACTACCTTGTGAATCAGACCTTCAGGTCGAAGGCTTTGGGTGCGGCCCCTTAAGGAACCCACCTGTTTCGGTTCGGGCACCGGGTCAGTATCACAGTCCTGACACAAATCAAATGAGATTTGTGTGGCGCATATGTATGTGGTGCTTCCTTGTACCAATATTTATGTATCTAAATAAATAAATGAATACACTGCTTTATAACCGTCATTTACTCCTAGTGAATAGGTAGACATTCTCAACGTTACTTTAATGTCGTTCAAAAACCGTCCATAAATTATAATCTTACCAGTTTAGCTAATAAAACGGAGAGCATTTACGTACAACGGATACATCCAATGTTGGATATCATAATGGTATCAATGTTTAATAACGAACTCGTCAACTACTTTAATTAAAACTAGTTAGAGTACCGCGAGCTGTTGAAAATAGTTACATTGAAGGGAACACTAACAATCATCTCTTAAACATCACTTCTAAAATTATCCGTATAGTGATTTGTGGAGATTGTAGTAGTTTTCGTCATCCTTCTGAATGACATCATCATGTGCTAATGATGTCGTTCAGAAGGACGACGAAAGCTCCACGACCAAACTATCCAGCTCAGAGAATAAAATTAAATCAAAATCACCCACCTGAGCTACAAATCTTCTCCACCATTTTAACTCATTGTTCCAACCATGAAAATAATGTAATCTTATCAAATCCCAATACTAATAACAATCATATGCACACAAGTGATTAGCTTCAAGATGTTACTTTTGAAGTTGTCAATTAATTCATTTTCTTAAAATTGATAATACTTCTCAAAACTTTCATATCAAATAAAATTTAATAGTTGAATTCATGATTCATTTAAAACTAGACAACTATAGAAATTCTGGAAGCTATGGATAGCCGTTTTGTCGTAGTCTGAGAATCTTCAACAGTGTGCATCCACGATCCCGCCTCGTGAGATTCAAACCCAGCTTCTATCGATCTCACGCGTGAACTTTTAACTTGTAAATCACTGAGTTAACATCCAATGGTGTTAATGTCTAACTTCAAACAATCCAAGAGATTGCTCTCTCATCCACCATTGTCTTCAATGAGTTACCATCTCACAACAACTACTAGAATCTCCACAGAACCCCCTTCTGATAATAACCAATTAAATTTATCATATACTTTTATCTATATTTTCATTTCTATTTTAAACTAGGATGTTATTTATTGTGATATACATGGACATAGTCGACGGAATAATATATTCATGTATGGTTGTGATCCATTATATAGACATTCAAAGATATTTAATCATACTAAACAAACATTACATGAAAGAATACTTCCATATATATTATCTCAACAGGTTAGTCTATATAATGTACACTTAGATGTATGTTTTCTTTTTCAGTGTATCCTATGCATATTTTACACTAATGTTGATAATGCAATGAAGTATGTATACACTGACAGATCATTGAATAGTATAATTTATGATCCTGTTGATTGAATTTTGTCGATCAAATTACAATGTGATCAAAAATTCAAGTAAGTTAACATCTTATGTATTCGTATAAGATGGTGGTTGGAGGTGGTCAACAGAGAACCATGGACCTGAGTTTCATGCTACTTAGCACTCGTCAGCAAGGTGTACCTGTAATCTTGAGGGAAATGGTGCTCCCTGACGGATTCGATCTGCTGTCACCAAGCTTCACAGTCAGAGACGTTACCACTGAGCTATATGGGCCGACCTTCTGTAGGACTGAGATGTAATCATAAATGATTGATTACTGTATGGTGACCAAGGTGACCTTACACGCATGACATTGGTCACCACTCCGTGATCAATCAGTTGTGATGTATTCGGAGTAGTTGGAGACTATCAATAGGAAGCTTATGACCTAGGGTTTCATGTTTGTTAGGATTCATCAATAAAGTATACTTAAAATCTTGAGGGAAATGATACTCCCTGTGGGACTCGAACTAGGGTGATCTCTTATCACATTAAGAGATACTACCATTGAATTAGATGGTACAAGACCTTCTGTGGGACTAAAGTACTAAAATAGACTAATCATTAGATAGTATATGATTTCATGTTTGCTGAAGGTTTGAATTTGCAGATAATCTAACATTGCGACATGATCTGTAGAATCCGATTAGCACTATTGATTGAGTAAACATGATATCTTTTTACCATTCGGTGGATAATTAAAACTTCTCTCTCCACAATCATAACTCTGGTTGAAATTTTGGACGATGGATAATCTGTATCTTTCATTTCATCCATTGATGAATAATAGGAAATAGCTTAATTATCAGTATAGGGATTATGGAGATTGTAATACTTTCAAAGTTGAATTCACGAGTTGATCTAAGCTAGACTAACATTGAAAACCTAAAAGAGCCGGCAGCCGTTTCGCCCTAAAAAGGGGCTCTTTAGTAGTACATATCAACGATTTCACACATGAGACTCAGGCCGAAGACCTTTTGTCTCGCGCGCGAATCTTTAACCTTTAGACCACTGAGCCAGTACCCAATCGATTTATGATCCCTTCATCCATTGCATGGGGTGGATAACTGTCTAACACCCTATACAGATTGGACTCGATTGGTCACAACTTCTCACTAGAACTTCAGGAAATCCATCTTGATGCTAGACACTAGTGAGCACATGATTATTATCAGAATGGGGATTTGTGGAGATTGTAAAAGCTTTGATCAACTCGTGAATACAACTTTGAAAATAGCTTGATTAAACATTAATGTTTTAGACGATAGCTCATTCACTTATCAAACCAACTAGATGATCTGTTTATCAGATTTCCATTATAAGTTCAAAGTATTTATGAAAACTGGATCTTCGATCTCCTTAACATTCTGCTGCCAGGTATTTCACTTTTGAGTGATGATACATACTACTTATATTTATCGACATCAGTAGCAGACACAACATTATCCATTTTACATTCCTTTTTTATATGTTATTTTTAGGCCACTTCTTATTTTTCATTTCCAAATTGTCGATTCACTGTTCATCCAAGTAAAGAAGCTACAAGTAGAGTGGTATTTTGGAGAGAATTTGAAGTAATCAATAGTTTCACTTTAGAAGCAACATTTAATGGTTCAACATTACAAAAGTTAGTTTTGGAAACAATCAATAACTTTTCAATTATCATTTGTTATGAGATGGTGGAGGATATTTGTAGCTCAGGTGGGTGATTTTGATGTGGGTTTGTTCTCTGAGCTGGATGGTTTAGTCGTAGAGCTTTCATCGTCCTTCTGAACGACATCATGAGCACAAACTTCGGGTAGAAGTTATTTGTTATTCTTATTGTCTTATATGACACCATTCGAAAGAAATGCATAACCTGATTGAAGATTAGTTTCGATACAGAGGTCGATGTTAGTTTATGAAAGACGATTTCAATTTTAAAGGGTATACATAGTTTTTCTTCATCGAATTCCGCTTGATATCGGTTAATAGAACAGTGACTCTTAGATGATGATGTTGGATAAGGCAGTGTACATACTTCGCCATCACCTATTGTGATGTAACATGTTATCTAGCAGTAGGAAAATAAGTTGAGAGAAGACATGAAATGAGCAATCTGATCATGGAATTAATTAGTCTGACTTATCAGTGGTTTTCTTAGTAGGCCACACCCGGAGCCTTAGACCTAAAGATCTGATCCATAAGACAGTTTAGCATCGTAAGAAGATGCAGTCACATGGTAGCCGGCCACCAACAATTGATTCATACGTCATTCGTTCCCTCAGCATACTGGAGCCCATGTGCACCAATGGTTTGGAATCATGGTTTTCCAACTCCCCTAGATGGACCCTCCGTATCCGCCAACCCAGTTAAAGTGTCGGACATTCGTTTTTCGTCCTTTCAATTTCGTAAACAACCTCCGTGATGCGAGAAGGCAGTGAGTAGGACTTCTCTGGCAGAGGCTATACACACGTGGCCATGTGAGAGCATTTCGAGAGAGAGAGCTGACTCTCCCCACTCTCAGCCGCACCAGGGCATTTGGAGGAATGATCATCAAACTATATTGTAAATTCATAAAGGTTATATTGTAAAATGTTAAGAGTCCCCCCAAAGACCTGATGATCCTAAGTTTGATCTCTATTACGGTCATGATTACCCATTACTAAGAAGTCCCAAATCAGGACAAAACAACTATCCGGTACTTTGTGGTTCTCAAATGAAATCACTCTGTGACTTATACTACTCACTGTCTCTTAGTTCAAACCATATTAAGGGATATAACATTTCCCAAGTTTATTACTTCTAAACTAGATTTTCAATGATTAGTTTACAATTATTGATTAGTGTTATTACATTGACTCATTTACTATCCATTTTATGTAACAGTTCTCTCATTTCCTTGTACTGTTACAAAAAATTGTAATCAGGATCAGTACACACGCACACACTCAAACACAGCTAAGGTGACTTGACATAGTGCACTCAATGTGAAGTTACCTAGACGAATGATCACATAGCAACATCGTCGATAGGATTTGAACTTCACTAAAAAAAGACCTGACATACATGACATTGACGTTGCCTAGTGACTAGTCAATTGTAAATGCATCTTCGTTCTACAAGAAGTCATTCGCTGCCCGGATAGCTCAGTGGAATCAGAATCAGTACACTCACACACACACACACACTCAAAAACAACTAATGCCAAATACAATATTGTTTATGATTAACTAAAAATATCTTCATAGTTGAAATCATGAATCAATTGAAGCTAAACCATCATGAAAAACCTGGAAGCATTGGACAGCCGTTTCGTCCTATTGTGGGACTCTTCAGTGGTAGTGTGCATACACGATCCCACAATCGCGAGATTCAAACCCAGGACCTACCAGTCTCGCTCCAGAGCACTTAACCGATAGACCACTGAGCCGGCCGTTATCCAACGGTGTTAATGTCTAACTTCAACCAATCCACGATGTTTGAGCAATCGTTCACCGATTGTCTTCAGTGAGTTGATATCTCTACAACCGACTTGGTTGAACTCCACTGGTCATTGCTTCCCACTAGAAATACATTTTTTTATATTTTTTATTTTTACAATTCCTACCAAATTTTTTTCTCTTTTTTCACAGTAATAATCTAATAAAATTTGAAGTGGATGACTTTTTGAAAATGGGTGAGCTATTAGGAGATTCATTATACAAATTTCATGAGGTACTATCGAATCCATTGTAAGTGAATATTCTTGGATTATTTTTGTTTTAAATGTTTAACGATAGGCTAAAGGGACTTGACATAGTACACTAATGACCACACTACAACACCGTCGATAGGATTCGAACTTCACTAAAAAGGACCTGATATACATGAGATTGACGTCGCCCAGTGACTAGTCAGTTGTAAATACATCTTAGTCCTACAAGAAGACATTTGCGGCCTGGATAGCTTAGTGGTAGTGTCTCAAAATACGAAGCTGGTTGACGCAAGATAGAATCCATCAGAGAACATCAGTTCCCTGAAGATTGCAAGTAAACCTAGACGAATGATCACAATGCAACTTCGTCTATAGGATTCAAACTTCACTAAAAAAGACTTGACATATATGACATTGACGTCGCTCAGTGACTAGTCAGTTGCAAATACATGTTAGTCCTACAAGAAGTCGTTTGCGGCCTGGATAGCTTAGTGGTAACATCTCTGATTATGAAACTGGTTAACATGAGATAGAATCCATCAGAGTGCATCATTTCCCTCAAGATTATCAATACACCTACCTTGCTGTTGAGTGCACTAAACTTAGATTCAGGGATTCCTGTTGACTACGTCCAACCACCATCTAAATGTGACATTATATTTCGATAAGAAATATCTAAGTGTTTTTTTATTATCTAAACGTAATAATCAAAGTAGTTCATTAAGGACCATCAATTTTTATATATTCTCCAGTTCTTATAAACCATAGTCGAGGTCGGAATAGCAAGGTGAAAATTTATTCCATATGCGACGATAAACGATATAGATTTGAATACAATTACTTACTTACGCCTGTTACTCCCAAGGGAGCATACGCCGCCCATTAGCATTCTCCAACCCATTCTGTCCTGGACACAGTTCATTCTTCTCATATCTGTCTCCATTTCTCGGCGTAATGTGTTCTTTTGTCTTCCTCTACTCCTTTGGCCGTCAGGATTCCATGTGAGGGCTTGCCTTGTGACACAGTTGGGTGATTTCCTCAATCTGTGTACTATCCACTTCCAGTGTTTCTTCCTCATTTCTTCCTTCACTCCAATCTGGTTTGTTCTCTCCCACAGTTGGTTGTTGCTGATAGTGTCTGACCAACGGATTCGAAGTATTTTGCATAGATAACTGTTAATAAACACTTGTATCTTCTGAATGATGGCTTTCGTAGTTGTCCAAGTTTCTGTCCCATACGATAGAACTGTGCGTATTGCCTTCATATGGCTTAATTCACAAGCATTATAAGCTAGTCATCATCTATCTTTGCTTAGAAAAATAACAACGCTTATAATAAATACCATGTAATTTTTTCAGTTAAATACACTTAAAGTAACAAGATACTACGTTATTCGATTATCATTACTTACTTACGATCAATACTTACTTCTACTGTTATCCATCGTTCATCATAAGCTGTTAACCAATGATCTTTAACCTTCTGTGTCCTGAGTTGTCCTTTCCAATTATTCTCGAGTGCTATTCATTCTTTTAATTTATGCCTCCTATTCTAGCTGCAATATATGTTCTTAGTTCTGCCTCTTCTTTCTTATGCCTTAAAAATTCTATGTTATGGTTTGCTTCGCAATACAGTTTGATGATCTACTCAGTGTATGCCATATTCATCTCAAGAGTCTTTTCCTAATTACTTCTTCTGGAAGCTGATTTGTTCTCTGTCAAAGTAGGTTGTCGCTGGCCAACGGATCTGTTACTTATTTACTTACGCCTGTTACCCCTCGTCGAGGAGTATAGGCCGCTCACCAGCATTCTCCTTCCAACTCTGTCCTGGGCATCCCTTTTCAGTTCTTCCCACTTACTATTCATCTTTTTCATATCTGCTTCTATTTTCCGGCGTAATGTGTTCTTTGGCCTTCCTCTTTTCCTCTTCCCCTCCGGATTCTAAGTCAGGGCTTGCTTCGTGATGCACATTGGTGATTTCCTCAATGTATGTCCGATCCACTTCTAACATCTTTAACTAATTTCCTCTTCAGCTGGAAGCTAGTTTGTCTTCTCCTATAAAACGCTGTTGCTGGTAGTATCTGGCCAGTGAATGTTGAGTATTTTGCGTAAACAACTATTTATTAATACTTGTATCTTCTTTACGATGGATGTAGTAGTTCTCCACGTTTCAGCTCCGTACGGTAGAACTGACTATCTTGACGTTCATATTGAAGATTCTCACTTTGAAGTTAGTTGACAGTTGTTTTGAGTTCCATATGTTCTTCAATTGTAGAATTGCGGTCCTTACTTTACCAATCCTCGCCTTTACATCTGCATCAGATCTTACTTATTTATCAACCATGCTTCCCAGATATGTGACGACGGATCTGTTACTTACTTACTTACGCCTGTTACTTCCAATGAAGCATAGGCCGCCGGCCAGCATTCTCTAACGCTAACCAGAAAAAAAACAACGGATTTGTAGTATTGTGAAATTCTAATGATCTTATTTCATGAATACTGTATCATAGAACTCATGAACTCTAGTTACTTCTAATACACGATATGTTTATATATTTCTTTTCAATGTATTAGAAAACTTAAAGAAACTCTGACAAACTTAGCACGACAAACGCTTGCCAATTTATGGATGAATAAAATTCCATTGATACCTAAAAATACAATAACTGAAGAATATAAAGGTAATTATTTCATTAATGTAAGGTAATATTTAGTGTAATCTATAAATTATATTCATATTTAAAGTGTTGGGTCCCCCCAAAATACTCTGGTACGGTCGACAGTGGGGAGAATCAGCTCTTCCTCTCGAAATGCTATCATTGATAGGGAAGTCCTACTCACTGCCTTCTCGCATAACGGGGATTGTTTTAGAAAGTGAGAGGACGAAAAGCGAATGTCCGATGCTTTAACCGGGTTGGTGGATACGGAAGAACTATCTAGGGGAGTTGGAAAAACCTGGTTCCAAACCAATGGTGCATATGGGCTGGCTTTCGTATCCAGAGGGAACAAATTGTATATGAACCAATTGTTGGTGACCGGCTACCATGTGACTGCATCTCCTTACATTGCTCCACTGATTTGTGAATCAAACCTTTATATCAAGGGCTAGGGTTGTAGCTCTCTAAAAAGACCATGGACAGTACCCATCCCTCACATAAATCGAATGATTTATGTGGTGCATATCTATTTGGTGTCTTCTTGTATCAATGTTTATGTGTTTGGATAAATTAGGTTCTATGTATACATATATCTAAATGTTATATAATGAGAATTGAGTGATGCAAAAATGAAGTATTTACTTCTGAATCATAAGTTTTTAAAAGTTATATGATCTTTATGAGCTATGAAAGTCTTAGGGTTTTAAATGTTGACCTGATTGCAAATACCTATTAAGTAGGTATCGAGTGTTTGTTTTATCTTCAATGATCCTCAGAAATGACGTTAACTTTGGATTATGTATCAACATTAACCTTACCTCATTTTGAAATATTTGAAACAATACAATTGTTCTGTCCCTGTAGATTTCATAGATGGAAGTTCTCAAAAATTAGATATCTCAATGACTTTATCATAGAAAACTGAATTTACTGATCAAGGTTGATGATCTTACGTCTGTTGATCAACTTTAATGCATAGTAGAGACTTATGGGCAATTACTTACGAATATATAGGGCTACTTTTGTTATGATCCAGGAGTCATCTGTTTGGATTACATCAATTAAACTATGATTAATCTTTGATTACTTTTTTATTATCAGAAGGGGGTTTGGTGGAGATCTTAGTAGTTTTATATAGTTGAAATCATGAGTCAATTGAAGCTAGACTATCATGGAAAAACTAGAAGCATTGGACGGCTGTTTCGTTCTATTGTGGGACTCATCAGCAGTGCGAATCCACGATCCCGTCTCGAGAGATTCAAACCCAGAACCTACCAGTCTCGCGTGCGAGCGCTTAACCACTAGACAACTAAGCGCATTGCTGAGGAGTCCCACAATAGGACGAAATGGTCATCCAGTACTTACAGGTTTTTTATGATGGTCTACCTGAAATTGACTCATGATTTCAACTATAAAAAACAAATTCAATTATCCATCTATTCTCATTTAATCATTAAACTGATTCATAGTTATCGTTTTTTCTCTCCTACTCCTCCTCCTCCTTCTCCTTCTCCTTCTTCTTCTTCTTCTTCTTCTTCTTCTATATTATTACCAAGATAATCTATCAATCTTTAATAAAAAATCATATGATTCTATTAAATTACAATTATATACTACTAATAAAGAACTACTTATATCAACTACTACTACCACTAATAATGATGATCAATTCAATGATAAATCAATATTAAATCAATCAATAAATTTCTTTAATAATGATAATCATATTAATGATAATGATGATGATGACAATGATCATGACAATTCAATGAATGATTCATTAGAACAATTGGTTAAAACAATACATTATTTAGAAAAATCAATAGAATTTCATACTACTGAATTCAATGATAATGAATTAAGTAATATAAAAGATAATCATTTAAGTTGGTAAGTTATAATTAATATTGAATATAATTAATATTAATTATCTTAATAAAGAGAGAATTCCTGTTTGTAGTTCTTCTATAGTTACTCCCTGTTCCAAACTCGGTTAAAGAATAACGGTTGGACATAGATAGGATCGGTAACCTTATCCGGGAGAAAGAGGTCTTGCTATAAAGGAACATTAACTTGATCAAACAAATTAATCTCAGTTATAATTAATTTAAAAAATCATTAGAATAAATGTAATTCAGGGTGAGACTATAATTTATGGATGAGTCAATCAAAAGAGTCTGACGGATTTCAAGGTCATGGCGCCAATTTTAATACCCAATGCTCATTTACAATCAGTTCACAGAGGATTTTAGAGAAGACATGACAATTAAATGGCTACAATAAGTGAGATTACTAAAAAGTTCTTTTATTTGAAATCGCGGTGATCAAATGACTTGTAGATCTTGTGCAGACTAGTATGATGTCCTTCGATTTAACATATTTTGAAGGAAGACATTTGCTAGAATAGAAACCTTTTTCGCTTGATCCAGATTGAGACTAAGGCATATTATAATAATTGCTGCAAACTGTATAATAAAAGCACCAGTAACATTGGCTACAATAATCACAGATGTCACTGAAACTTCGGCTGTTCAATGGTATGAGTATTGTAGGGACACATCTTTAGTAAAAATGATAAATTTACACAACCGGAGTATACACAAACAATATTGAAGCTATTTGGTCGAGGTTGAGAGGGTTTTTGTGACTTTATCATGGCTTCAGAGACCAACTATTATGGAGCCATATAGATGAGTTCCTCTACCTTATGCATTACAATTTTGGAACCTTTGAAGCTTTTTCTAACCTTGACAAATTTTTGGACCATGTAAAAGAAGTATATTCACTTTAATTATTTGGTTTTATATAATTAAGTTTTACTCTATGCTGACTGTTTACTGATTGGCTAATATTTCTCAAGGTTACTTAAGATTCGTTCAAAGGTCGTCTATAAATTATAGTCTCGCCATAATTCAGTGTTTATTAGAATAGGTGGTCTACTTGAATATCTGGCCTACTTATTCTTTCCATCTAGATATTTCAACAAGTTAACTGTTTCCTTAACTGTTCGTTTTTTTTTAAAACAGCAACGGTCGGAAGTAGCAGCATCTAGGCTACCTTAATTAATATTTGAAGTGTAGAAAATATTCAATAGAAGAAACAATTAAATTTAGTTAGTATTGTTTGTTTGAATCTTCCCATAGATGTTTACGACTGCGACTTGTCAGTCTCTTATTGACATATGTGCATACTGTGCGTATTCCTCAATATAGCCTTAATTCACTAGCATTATAAGCAAAGATGGATAGTAGCTACCAGTAGAATACAGGACGCGCGTTTCGTTCTATTTGGGACTCGTCAGATGGATGTACCTGCATCTCAAAGTTGATGTTCATTCCACATCTCGAACCCAGTACATTTCGCTTCAAACGACATCGTGTTATCCACTCAGCTACTGAGACCTGATAACCACTTGCTTGTGCAATGTGGTGGAGTTTGAATTCACTTAATATTGTTTGTTTGAATCTTCCCATACAGTAAATACTTCATTTGCAAAATATCAATCAACTGTCTTAGACTTAATTGTTCCATCATTTCCACATTGATCATTCTCTGTCCTCATTCTTTTTTCTTCGATCTTTTTAACCTTATGCATTCAAATATTTCACTTTTGATTGATGATATATACTACTTATATCGATATGTATCAGTAGCATACACCAAAAAAGGACATTGGAAATTTATGATTTGAAGAAAACTAATTACGAATGAAACACTCAAACATTGTTATTCTAAATGTTTAATTCATTAGTCAATAGCCAGATTTGTAATCACTACTTTCACAAAGTATTTGTATCATAAATAATTATAAAGGAATCCAATGAATCGTATAAGAGAGTGAAACAGAGTAGTTAATTGATATATTCTACTTTTAGTAATATGTACAAATGTGTAATATATGGTTTTATATAATTAAAATCATGAGTCGATTGAAGATAGACCATCAAGGAAAACCTGGAAGCACTGCTTTAAGGCCGTTTCGTCCCATTATGGGACTCCTCAGTAATATTGCGCATCCACAATATCGCCTTGCGAGATTCGAAACAAGAACCTACCAGTCTCGCGCCAGAGCACTTAACTGATAGACCATTGAGCCAGCATCCGATGGTGTTAATTTCTAACTTCAACCAATCTACGAAGTTGAGCAACCATTCACCATTGTCTTCAGTGAGTTCCTATCTCACACCAGACGTGGTTGAACCCCACTGGTCACTGCTTCTCAATAGAACTCCAGGAAGTACCTCTCGCAAGTACCTTCCGCAATGAGACGAAACGGTCGTCCAGTGATTCCTGGTTTTCCTTGTTGGTCTAACTTCAATTGACTCATGCTTTGAACTATTAAAATACTGAAATCTTCACAAAACTTCTTCTGATACTAAGTTTATATACCAATCAAGCTGACCACATCGTACCATAAAATAAAAAATAACATTTGTGCAAGATTCAGGTAAATGTGGCTGTGAATAGGGGGAACATTAATTAATAGACTGGGGATAACTTAGGAATGGTAAATCATACAGTAATAGTCTATGGGTCATAATAAAGTTTATAATAAAAGGAACATGAATATGAATACTTTAGTTACTTACCAATTATACAATAGGAAATATACAAGTCATATAGGTCCATAAATAGTTCTCAAAAGTTACCATTCCTAATTCTTTTGTGAATATAACAAAAATCTATATGAATAAATCACCGAGCTAAGAGAATTCAACTCTACCAAAGTCATCTACATGAGCTATGAATCTTCTCTACCATTTGAAGATTTTTTTTTAAAAATGTCTCCATCTTTTCAATAGTTTATCAATGAATGTATATCTATAATTGAAGCTCATTTCTTATTGAACAATTTCCATGAATGTACTTTATTAAAAATAAAAAGTAAACAAATTGAAGAAGTAAACACTTGATTACACTAATCTATATAATAGAGACGTTCTGGACTTCATCACGATTATTCATCCTGGAATTGTTCATGGATCAATCTAACCTTTTCATATCATAGTTTATTCAAAATGGTGGTTGGAGGTGGTCAACAGGAAACCTTGACCCGGTTTTCGTGCTACTTGCCACTCGTCAGCAAGGTGTACCTGTAATCTTGAGGAACTGGTGCTCGCTGACCGATTCTATCTTGTGTCACCAAGCTTCATAGTCAGAGACGTCACTACTGTGCTATTCGCACCGCGACCAACCTCCTGTAGGACTGGGATGTAATCACAACTGGCTGATCACTGGGTGGTGATCAATGTCATGAGTGTGAAGTCTGTCAGGAAGCACCAGTTCCCTCAAGATTACAGGTACACCTTGCTGATGAGTCCCAAGTAGCACGAAACCCTGGTCTAGGTTTTCCTGTTGACCATCTCCAATCACCATCTTATCTCAACATAGTTCACGTAGTGTCAAGCCACATAGACTAGAGGCCACATTCCAACTTGATTGATAGCATTCGATCAGCACTAAGAAGGACTTGACACACATGACATTGATCACCACCCAGTGATCAATTAATTGTGATTACATCTCAGACCTACAGGAAATCGGTCGTGGCCCGAATAGCTTGGTGGTAACGTTTCTGACTATGAAGCTGACTTACACCAGGTCGAATTCGTCAGGGAGCATCAGTTCCCTCAAGACTATATGTATTTGTTTCTTTTTACGTTATATGAAAAGTTTCGTAATCATTTACATATTTGGTAAAGAAAGAATTTTATACAGTTATCCATTGAAACATACTCGCTACTAATATTCCCCTAGAATCAGTTATATGTAAAGGGTAATTGAGAATATGATCATTATTGATTATCTATTAAGGGTAATACATCGAAATTATTTACCGTATATTTGTACTTATCCAATCAATTAATCAATCAATCGATAAATTAATCAATCAGTCAATCACTTCATCTATCAAGAAAAAAAAAAAATTTTTACTTAAAAATTATGTAAAAAAGAAATGAATGTACATTGGTAAATAACAAAAGTTACTTTGTCGGGGGAGGGGAAAGGAAAGATAAGTAATTAAGTTTATATTTATTTTGTATTGTTTATTGGGTTCGAGCTATGGAATGAACTTCAATAAAATTTGGATGAAGGTACATTCAGCTAATGAATCTTAAAAATAGGACGAAACGTACATCCTTGACTCGCTGTTAGCTACCATTCATCAGACATTAACACTGTTAGATGCTGGCTAAGTGGTCTGGAGGTTGAACGTTAGCGCATGAGGCCTAAGGTCTTGGGTTGGATTTCACGTGCACACTTGGACAATTACCAAAACCATCATCTAGAAGTTACAAATGTTCATTGACAGTTATCTATGCAAAATACTTCGGATCCGTTGGTCAGACACTATCAGCAACAACCTACTGTGGGAGAGAACAAACCAGATTCGAGTGGAAGAAGAAGTGAGGAAGAAGCGCTGGAAGTGGATAGTACACAGATTGAGGAAATCACCCAACTGTATCACAAGACAAGCCCTCACATGGAATCCTGAAGATCTAAGGAGAAGAGGAGGAACAAAGAATACATTACGCCAAGAAATGGAGACAGATATGAGAAGAATGAATAAAAATTGGATAGAGCTAGAAAGGAAGGCGCAGCCAGGATAGAGTGGGTTGAAGAATGCTGGTCGGCGGCCTATGCTCCATTGGGAGTAACAGGCGTAAGTAAGTAACTTTGTTCCATCAGGAACTCTAAGAAATTCATCTAACAAAACCTTATAATTATATTTTCCACTATTTTTCCTCTCTTCATTTAGTACATCCGATTCAAATTCAGATAGTGAACCAGAAATGACAATTACTGCACAAAATTCATTAAATCAATATCACCATAATGATCTCATTTTACCTACTATGGAACAATATCTAACATTAGATCAAGGGAAATCACCTAAATCTGCTGATGATAACAATAACAGATCATATAAACTAAAAAAAAGAAAGAAGATCAAAAAGAAGAAACTACAAGCGTTTCGTCACCACCATCATCATCGTCATCATCAATCTTCTTCTATACAACAACAATCATATAAAAATATTTCATCGAATGAACATCATAACAATGGCAATTCTAATCATAATTCCAAACTATTATCATCCAAATCATCCTCCTCACCATCATCATCAACATCACCGCCCATGGACGTAGACGTGACATCATCGGAACAAATAGATGATCATAAAAGACGACAGTTTAAATATGAAATTATGGAATTCAATTCTCAAGTAATTACTGTAATGTTATTGAATGTCTTATATAATTTACGATGGTTAATTAGACTTAAATGACGACTAATTTATTGATCAGTTTTCTTGTATTGATAAATGTACTTGTATCTATGTATGTATGTATATTTGTGGGTGTGGGTGGGTGGTTAGGTAGGTATGTAGTATATTGTCTAGTTGCTATCGTCAATAGTTTAGTCAATATTAATTAGATGGATTACAAAATGTATGTTCACCTCAGAAACAAGAAGAAATTATTATTATTATTTAATTAGAGCACATATATAACCATGATTAGACAACCTTCATATATACATTAGGATTTTGGTTTGTATCAGGAATGATTTCTTTTTAAAGAGGTACTGTAAGGACGGCTCGTCGGTAAACTCAAGGAAGCCTCAAGAAGCCCAGAAAGAGCCGCAGATATCCCATCCAATCACTGCTAGGGGAATATTCTAGAATGTCGACGTGTAGCTTCCCTATTGGATGGATAAGAATGACCCCTATGTGCCCATTGGTTATCTGAAATGATGATTTACTCTCAGTCAAAAAACTATAAATGCATGAGATTCTGTACTATATTTTGACACTGTTTTGGGGAATAAAAGTTCCTACTCACTAGTCTTCTGTTTTCTCTCTTGCGAGGTTGCGGGTTCTATCGTTCAAGTAGTCTAGTAAAACGCGGCATAGTAAGAATCAAAACTCTAGATATAACAGGTACGTAATACATAAATGATATGTTTTCATTGTTCAGGATATATTCACTTTTAATATCAGCTTATATTATACAGTCTTTGATGTTTGGAATTCTTTACAGATAGATTTTGATGGAGTTTTGTTCTCTGAGCTAGATGGTTTGGTCGTGGAGCATTCATCGTCCCTCTGAACGATATCATCAGCACAAACTTCGGATAGAAGTGAAGTATTTGAATTTCTTCACATGTGATTCACAGCTTGTTATGTACACCACGAGATGCCCACCTGAGCTACAAATCTTCTCCAACATCTTAGAGATATATTGCATACTTATTGATGAATACTAGAAATTGCTTTTAGAGTTACTTAAAATTAGACAATCTAACTAACATTGACTTGTTTGTAAATTCACTTGGTATTGTTTGTTTGAATCTTCCCATTGATGTTTAGGATTGCAATTGATCAGTCCTGGATTCCACTGTTAGCCACTATCCATTTTTGCTTATAATTCTTGTAAACTAAAGCTATATCGAGGCAGTACGCACAGTATGCACATATACCAATAAGAGACTTATCAATCGCAGTCCAAGAACATCAATGGGAAGTTTCAAACAAACAATACCAAGTGAATTCAAACTCCACCCTATTGCACAAGCAAGTGACTATCAGGACTCAGTAGCTGAGTGGATAACACGATGTCGTTTGAAGCAAAAGGTACTGGGTTCGAGTCTCAGAGTGAATATCAACTCTGAGATACAGGTACATCCATCTGACGAGTCCCAAATCGGACGAAACGCACGTCCTGGATTCCACTACTAACCACTATCCATCTTTGCTTATAAGACTAGCCACATGTTTTTTTTAATACAACTCTTAATGACAATCGGATTATTGTATCTATGATCAATTACCTTAACTCAAAGTTCAATTCAATCTAATTAATCTTATATTTATGTATACCATTTTTTCATACTTTAGAATCATAATGAAAGATTGAATAGACGATTATATTATCTTAGTAAATATGCTGGACAATCAAATCATGGTATACCATGTTTTGTTGAGAAAAGATTATTTCATCGTTCATGTCAAGTAGGTCTATGTATAGTATGTAATCAATGTCTAGTTTATAATATAGAAATTGAACAATTTCTCATCTTTTTAATCTAAGAATGTTAATGTCTTATTGTTCAGTTGACTTCTGAGAACTACAGAAGACCCTCCAGAGGACTTAAAGGAGCAGATTCTTATCAGTTAAACACTTCTCCAGTTTTTCTTCTGTTTTCTGATTTGCGACAGTTTTATGTTCGAGTGTCGTAGTCGAAAACTGTATTCTGTGTTAGTCAAGTAGCGAACTTGACAATTATTATTTGTTGAGTTGAAATCATGAGTCAATTAAAGCTAGACCACCATCGAAAACCTGGAAGCACTGGATGGCCGTTTCGTCCTAGTATAGGACTCCTCAGCAGTGCGCATCCACTATCCCACACTCGCGAGGTTCGAACCCAAGACCTACCAGTCTCGCACAAAAGAACTTAACTGATAGACCAATGATGGTGTTAATGTTTAACTTCAACCAATCCATGAAATTGAGCAACCATTCACCAATGTCATCAGTGAGTTGATATCTCTACAACAGACGTGGTTGAACTCCACTGATCACTGCTTCTCACTAGAACTCCAGGAAATACTTCATGGAGCCAGTTACTAGTGAGCCCATGATCATTATCAGACTCATGATCTCAACTCTATAAAATTACTAAATTCTCCACTAAACCCCTAATTATTATTTGTATTAATTAAAAATGGTTGTATAATAAAAAAACGTTTACTAGGCTATAGATGTTATTTCAAAACAGTGAATAGATTTGGTTATCTATCATAGCAACAAAGTTGAACTACACTAGTTAGAACACTTTTACACTTATCATATCAAATAAGTTGATTGGATAACAGTAAAATTGAACGCATAGGATGTTTAAGAACTGAGTCTTACCGTTGACTTCATTGGGTTGGAAACTTTCTGTTACCCCCTGTGTCCTATAATCGCTGAATCTAAAAGATTAGTAGTAACACATTACGACGGGAGATTGAAGCAGATATGAAAAAGATGAATAATAACTGGAAAGGATTGCCCAGGACAGGGTTGGATGGAGAATACTGATGGGTAGCCTATGCTTATCCACGAGGGGTAACAGGAGAAGTAAGTAAGTAAATAAGTTAAAATCGGGTCGTAATTAAAATCCATATTAGCAAAGCCTAATTTCAGTGACATATGTTGAGGTATAGTAATAATAATTCAATTTATATCACCATCTTGAAGCACATGTTTTGGTGGTTTGATTATGTTTCGCAAATTTCATTCAAGCTCCTTCCATATTAGAGACTAGTTATTAACTCTACTAGTGAATCGAAAAATCTGAGAGTTGGTTACTTTATGACATGACTTAGTGATATAAAAGAAATTAGTTTAAAACTGGCACCAGTCCGTTCATCAACGCTTCCTAGTTGGAGTCCTAGAGAAGGAACAACTCAGTAGCTCGCAACGTTATCGATCATGGCTCAGAACATAGAAGTCAATGATTATCGAGAAGAAGTTTTATATTACACTTTCCATAAAAATGAGATAAGTTTCATCGTTTTAAATAAACTGTTCTTGATTGTATTTTTAACTGAATACTTCAGTTTTACCTTACCCTTACTGTTATGTAGTAGCGAAGACATAAGTAAGGGTAACTTGCAGGACCTACTATTCGACTATCATTCTTATTGTATAACTATTCGGTAACTAGATTATCCATATCTACATTCATCTTATTGTAAGCTTCATTTTGATCTATTGATTATTATTGTATGATTTACTGTTCCCAAATTATACTCAGTTTATTGATTATTGTCTCCCACGCTTACAGCCTCATTTGGCTTGGTTTTGTACAAATATTATTTTCTATTTTATGGTATGATGTGGCCTGTCTGTCTGATATATAAACAAAGTATGCTTGAAATAAACGATTCGTATTGCCGAGGCTGCGATTGGTGTTTTGGACTCAAGTGAACGGATTAGGCGGATAAGGACCAATAAGGACGCTAGATTACTCATACTAATCGAACGTTATTGTCACAGTGTGAAGGTCGTAGAAGGCGTATTCTATTGGTGGATAATTTAGGCGACTTACGTCCTTGTTAAATTCGTAAGGTCATAACGAATCAGCGACGACCTTGATCAAGTCATAACAATTGGCTACAGCCTATGTCAAAAACATAACAAATTGGCGATGGCTAGGTCAAGTCATAACACTTACCCAATACCCTCCGTCATATCTTCATAATGACAATGATAAATTGAACTAATAAAAATTCTTACCAAATCCTACGTTCATGATGACTGACTAGCTGGTAGATTCACATTATTATTGTAGAACAAGACAATAGGCATGGAAAATGCATGACTGTTGCTAGGTAGTTACATAATACATATACATATTCTTCAATTGTCCATTTTCAACTTTCAGTTTGTTCTGACATCTGAACTGTCTTCTCTTCTGGTAGTCAAATGTTCTAACAATGCTGTGCTTTCGATTCACTGAAACTCTTCACTCTATCTGATAATTGTTACAACTTCAATGCAACGTTCCGCTATTTACTACTTACAATGTTGTGAGTAGCATCCATTACATTAATATGCAATAACATTTCATTTTATCCTTCTTTTATGCACAATGATTTAAATCATTAAAATATTCAACAATGTTTTTTTTTTATTTTACAGCGAATTCGTACAGTTTGTGAAAACATCGACCTGACAAAGTCACAAACGATACATGCTCAAAGAGTAAGGAACGTTTTAGTAATTTTCATTTTTTCGTAGTTGAAATCATGATTCAATTGAAGCTAGACCACCATGGAAAACTTAGAAGCACTGGACAGCCGTTTCGTTCCATTGTGGGACTCCTCAGCAGTACGCATACACGATCTCTTTTCTATTCAATTGTAATTAGTTTTTAGTATATCGATTGTATCAAAGAAAATAAGGTAATAAAAAAGTATTTTATGATTCATTATAAAAGATAATTTAAAACATTGAGCTGAACAAAGATCAAACCTAAGTTGAATGTAGTCAATTTAATAATAAGTCACATCAGTCAGTCAGTCAGCTACAACGTAGGACCAAGCACATTTATGCATCGGTCCAAGTTGCCATACCTCGTTAGAACAACAAGATGAACACCGAATTCATAGAAGTAGTTAATTTAGTGGTGTTAATATATAAAACAAAGGTTGTATATAGGGATATAGTATAGGAAGGAAGAAAGGTATGAAGTAACTTTAATCACAAGGTCTAAAGGAAGACAAAGAGTGTATACACCTGCGCCATTGTGATCGATTCTGAGCCATGTCATACAGAATCGCCAACCATTGATTACGATAGTCGCGCGGACCCCAACCATGTAGTCTGCATCTACTAACATGGCTCAGACTAAAAGTTAGTGACTTCAAGCTCTGATGCCACGTTTTGGTTTGGCCTCCCATTACTTTCTTCCAACCATCGCCAATACTAGTCAGCATTGCGCGTCGTGGTAATCGGTGTATACACCTGAGTCACATGACAGTTAAATTTAGGACTTCTTAGCTGAATACAATTTCATCTCAGTGTTAATATTGATAATGAGACTTGGAGTCAGTTAATATCAATTCAGAATATATATATAATGATATTCAATTGACCAATGTCTAATAGGACGAAATGTATGTCTTGAACTTGACTGTTGGCCACTAGCCAAAAATATTGTACATTTGTAACTATAGACTATATTAAGGTATTTATATTACTAAAAGAGACCAATAAAAATCAGTAGTAAATATTACTAATAGCGAAAGAACACTCCTTTCATATGATAATAATATTAATAGTTCTATTATGGTATGTGTTACTTATATCGATTCAAGTAGTATATAACACTAGACAGGAATAGAATGTCTGACAGACAGAAGGCCAAGAAGATCGTAAAGGAAAAAAACTAGAAAAGAAAGCGATTGGTATAGAAACGAAGGAATAACAAAGTCCTATTGTGAGACTCCTCAGCAGTGCACATCTACGATCCCACTTCGCGAGATTCGAACCTAGAACCTATCAGTCTCGCTTGCGAGCGCTTAACCTCTAGACCACTGAGCCGACATATGATGGTGTTAATGTCTAATTTTAACCGATCCATGAAATTGAGCGACAAATCAACCAATGTCTCCAATGAGTTACTATCTCACAACAGACCTGGTTGAACTTCATTGGTCACTGCTTCTCACTAGAATTCCAGGATATACCTCTTGAAGCCAGTCACTAGTGAGTATATGATTATTATCACTGAAGACAATGGTAGATGGTGATGCAATTTCGTGGATCGGTTGAAGTTAGAAATTAACACCGTTGGATGCCGACTAAGTGTCCGAAAGGTTAACTATTCGCGCACAAGCTCAATAGGTCCTAGGTTCGAATCTCGCGTGGCGAAATCGCGAATTCACACTGCTGAGGAGGTACATGCCAGGATGAAATGATCGTTTATTGCTTCCAGGTATTCCATGGTGGTCTAACTTCAATTGACTAATGAATTCTTCTACAAAAATTACTAAAATCTCCACAAAACCCTTCTTTGATAATTCATATTTATTTCTTTTAAATTTTATTTCAGAAATTTGTGCAACAATTTATAAACAACGTAAGTTGAGAAATAAGTAGTATCTTATATTTTATAAGTAAGATTAAGGACCGATTTTAATTAAACACAGTTATTTTGCCTTAATATGAAACTTTTTATCCATCAATATCTATGATCTCATAGAAGATGAAATCTAAGATCTTCGAGATTCTTTGAGACTGACCAGTTGCAGTCCTAAAAACATCGATGGGAAGATTCAAACAAACAAACAATACTAAATGAATTCTTGGAGACTGTTTAAGTTATAGATAATTACTAAGATGTATTGTATAAGATTAAGCAATGTTTGTAAATCTTCTACAGTATATTATTGTTTTGATCAAATCTTTTTTTAATGATTTCATCATTGTTCATATTGGATTATGTGTAGTAACAACTTTAAATGATCATTCATTATTCTAAGCAAAGATGGATAGTGGCTAGCAGTAGAATCCCGGACAAGGCGCGTTTCGTCCGATTTGAGACTCGTCAGATGGATATACCTGCATCTTAGAGCTGATCTTTGATGATTACTTCTGAAGAGTTCTTATTAGAACGAAATTAATGCATAACATTTCCTGCATTTCAATGTTTGTCTAACTTCAGTTTTTGATATTAGTTAAATAAAAAGGAAAGTTTATTAAACCGATATTGATAGTTTGGTCTGCTGAGATGGGCAACTTAGTTAGTTATTTATCTATACCTGTTACCACTTGTGAAGGAGCATAGACCGCCCACCGGCACTCTCCATCCAAACCTGTCCTCGGTAATCATTCCCAGTTCTTTCCAGTTGCCATTAATCCTTTTCATATCTGCTTCCAATTCTCGACTCAGTGTGTTCTTCAGCCTTCCTCTTTTTCCGCTGCTCTTCCCGATTCCAAGTTAGGGCTTGTTGCACTTTGATGATTTCTGTAATTTAATTACTGAACTTTTATTGTCGTTCTGAACAATATCATCATCTGTAGCACTTACTTCATAGAGTACATTTTATACAATTCAGCCATCTCTAGCTAATAGAACTCAACAACATCAAGAGGAAAGGTTTTTTTCACTTTTTTTCTACAAGAAAACAAACATTTACCATTTGAACTCTTACTTACTTACTTACGCCTGTTACTCCCAATGGAGCATAGGCCACCGACCAGCATTTTGCAACCCAATCTGTCCTAGGCTTTCCTTTCTAATTCTATCCAATTTTTGTTCATTCTTCTCATATCTGTTTCCATTTCTCGACATAATGTGTTCTTTGGTCTTTCTCTTCTCCTTTGACCTTCAGGATTGCATGTGAAGTCTTGTGTTTTGACGCAGTTGGGTGATTTCTTCAACGTGTGTCCCATCCACTTCTAGCTCTTCTTCCTCATTTCTTCCTCCACTCGAATCTGGTTTGTTCTCTTCCACAGTAGAATGTTACTGATAATGTCTGGTCAACGGATCCGAAGTATCTTGCGTAGACAACTGTTAATGAACACTTGTATCTCATGGATGATTGCTTTCGTATTTCTTCACGTCTCCACCCCATACATTAGAACTGTCTTGATAGTCGGTGTTGGTTGACAATTGTTTTGATTTGAACTTAATAAAACATTAAATCGATAATCATAATCGTCTAATTATGTACATTAAAATTTCAATCATAGTTTTCTAAGAACTAAAATTGTATAATTGACTTAACAAAGATGTTGATATAAGATAATCTGTTGTTATTATACTTTGACCTAAATGAATTTAATAATAGAAACTTTAAAAGTATGTTACATCAGAATTGAATTGTTTTAAAGTCTTTTTTAATTGAACGATGTAACGACGTTTTTGGGTGGATGGTATTTGATTCAAGTTTCAGAATGAACATCATCTCTAAGATGTAGGTACATCTAGATGTGACGAGTTCCAAATAGGACGAAATGAGCATCGTGGATTTCATTGTTAGTCATTATTCATTTCTGTTTAGAATTATAATCTATTTCTAAAATATAAATTAATATAATGAGTACAAAATAATAGTTAATTACAATGAGGATAGAAAACACATACATACCAAGTAGTAAAAAGGGATACAACAAAATAAATTAATAACAACGGTTAGTCATAAATTCAACTAAGTATTGTTTGCTTGAATCTTCCCATTGATGTTTTAGGACTGCAATTGGTCAGTCTCTAATTGGCATATGTGCATACTGAGCATATTGACTCGATATAGCCTTGATTCACAAACATTATAAGCAGAGATGGATAGTAACTAGTAGTGGAATCCAGGACGCACGCCACTTCGTCCTATTTGAGACTCGTCTGCTGGATGTACCTTCATCTCAGAGTTGATGTCCACTCTGAGACTCGAACCCTGTACCGTTTGCTTCAAACGCCAACGCATTATACACTCAGCTAATAAGTCCTGATAATCATATTTATCTAAAAGGTTGGTGCAATATCATGATTGATAGTTACATTCAAAGGATTAAAGTTAAGTGAGTCTTCAGCTGGTTACGTTTAACACAAATATTCTTAATTGATTTCATCTTATCCATAGAGATTAAACATTTTTTTCTAATTATCATTTTAGTTAGAAACAAAAATGTCCAACCTAAGAAGGACTGACAATCTAACAAACATTGACGTTTTAAAATATTTAAAACAAATACACCTAATAGCTAAACGTCAATTACAATTAATTCAAAGTCAATTCATACCAATTACTGATAAAAATCATCCGTATAAACCAACAACGATCCATGAAACAGTACCTAATGGTATTGGGATACCATATCCTCCACCATTACCAGTGTTTACTACTACAGGTCGTCAGATAAAGACACATTCAGCAACAATAACTACCAATGGTGATGCAGTCAAAAGAAACATATCAATCATAGGAGACATTGAAAGAAAGAACAATCATTTAATTCCTCGAAGTAGATCATGTAATCTGTTTCTCAGGAATAATCATAATCATAATGGTCGTAATCAAAACAATAATAAACTTCTTGAATTGCCTAAAATTGTTGAGAAGCTATCAGAAAACAATATGATACATCATTCTAGAAGCAATTTCAATATGCTTAATGGTATAGATATGAAAGTTTAATGAGTCTACATCTTTATCTCAATCATAAGTAATCATATCATTATGGAGTTCTGCTATTCGTCTTCTTCTTTTTCTGCTTTATCTCGGCGTTATGTAATACTTTGAAGAAATACAGATCTATGAATGAAGAATGTTCTCGGTTTTTTTATTTTCAGGTTCTACAATTCATTCAATTTAACTTGAATATAGTTGAGATCATGAATCAATCGAAGTTAGACCATCATGGAAAAGTTGGAAGCATTGGATGGCTTCAATAGATTCATGATCTCAACTATTCAAATTACTATAATATCCACAAAACCCCTTCTGATAATGATCATGTGCTCACTAATCACTGGCTTCATGAGGTATTTCCTGAATTTTTGGTGAGAAGCAGTGATCAGTGGAATTCAACCAGATCTATTGTGAGATAGTAACTCACCGAATACAATAGTGGATTTATCGCTCAATTTCGTGGATCGGTTGAAGTTAGACATTAGCACCGTTGGGTACCAGCTGGCTGATAGGTCTAGGGTTCGAATCCAGCGAGGTGGGATCGTGGATGCACACTACCACTGAGGAGTCCTACAATAGAACGAAACGGCCATCCAGTGCTTCCAGGTTTTTCATGGTAGTCTAGCTTTAATTAATTCATGATCTCAGCTATTAAAATTATTATTATATCCACAAAACCCCTTCTGATATGAATTTAAGGTTGTAAAATAATACAAAAATCAAATTGTTATGTTATTAGGTTATATGATTATTGTGAATTACGATTGCCAATTTCGATAAATTGAATTATACAACTAAACTAGCGATACATACACTAGGATGGGTAGTCTAAAGTTCCGATTAATCCTTTTTTCCATGTAACTCTATATGTTTGTTAAATCCAGAACGTTAATCTCAGCCTATACGTTACGAAATGTGTATTTCAAACATATTGGGTTTATAAACAGACTAAACAGACCATATCATATTATAAAATATAAAATAACATTTGTACAAGATCAAGTCATAAAGTGGTTGTGATTGTGAAAGACTTTAACCAATATATTGGGAATGACTTAAGAATAATAAGTTGTATAATAGTAGTCAATAGTGTTGAGTCGGCTTCCAGAGAACTCCAACAGATCCTCCAGAGACTCATAAAGAGCCCCAGCCAATCAGAGTACGATAGAACATTCTAGAGTTCCAACGTGGCATGCTACTATTGGTCGGTAGAAATATATGTCGTTAAATGGATTGGCTGAAATAGGATGTTGATTTAACATATGCTAACATCTATAAATACCTATGATTTTTGTACAAAAAGGAACCTTGCAGTAAAGTGTTTCTCTCATACTCGTGTCTTCTCTCTGATGTTCAAGTCGCTGAATAGGTCTAGCCTGGAGTTATCAGAATAGCTAAGGAACTGAATAAAGCGTTCAACCCACAAGACATATCAAATAGGTCAAATGAAAACTCATAATAATAAGAATATGAATATACATATAATATAGTTACTTAATAGTCCCCCCGAAAGTCCTGGTATGGCCGAGAGTAGGGAGAGTCCGCTCTCCCTCTCAAAATGCTCTCACATGGCCACGCATATATAGCCTCTGTCAGGGAAGTCCTACTCACTGCATTCTCTCAAAGGGGGTGTTATTTACGAAATTATGAGGAAGAAATGCAAATGTCCGATGCTCTAACCGAGTTGGTGGACACTGAAAGTTCACCTAGAGGAGTTGGAAAACCCTGATTACAAACAAATGGTGAACATGGGTTGGCTCCAGTATCCTGAAGGAACAAATGGAGTATGAACCAATCGTTGGTGACTGGCTACCATGGGACTGCATCTCCTTACGATGCTCCACTGCCTTGTGGACTAGACCTTCAGGTCAAGCGCTCCGGGTGTGACCCCCTAAGAAAACCACCTGCTTCAGTCTGGGCACCTGGACAGTAACACAGCCCTCACACAAATCAAATGAGATTTTTGTGGCGCATATTTATCTGGTGCTTTCTTGTACCAATATTTATGTGTTTAAATAAAATAAATAATAAACAATAAGAATATAGGTATTATTTAACCAAACATACTGATTTATCTACTAATTTTATACACACACTTAATGGTCAGTTGATAAGTATCATATAAATTAGAAGATACACAAGGTTACTGTAAAAACCCATACGAAGTTCACACAGAGGAATTGCCACACTGGACGAAATTTCCGATCTGTCCTACTCTTCGAAAGTTACACTTAACTGGTACAAACATATTTGCCTGAAATGATATTGCACTGATAAATATAAAACTAATACTGTATTGATTAAAATGTCACATTGAGGGTTAAAACAATACCAGAATGTCACATTGAAAATTAAGCTAATGTCATACAATGTTACACCGTATTAGAGAAAGTCTTGAACTTCACTTCTGATCTGGACTTAGAACTTAATATGTATATTTATCAGAAATAGTATGATGCTATCTGCAATATTTACAATGTCCTAAACAATATGACTTAATCAGTACTTTCTATCATTTTGCATTCATTTTGTGGATGAATTTGTAAAGTTACTTGTCAGTTGATTATTGCCTTTCCCGTCAAATCATCAACGAGTAGAATTCATTACCTTAGCACGTGATTAAAGCTCCATCTGTCGACTCTTTGAAAAGAAAGTTGGACTAACTGGAAGACCATAATTACCACAAATAACACAGGTCAACAAGCCTTCTGTCCTATCCAAACTGAAACTAAAATCATACTAGCGATTTTGAGTGAACGAATCAGGTTTGAAGTAATGTCTCGTAGATTTATAGGCAAGACCCAAAGAACAATAAAGGATAACATATATCCTATTGAGAAATGATTAAAGATTATCTAGTTCTTTGAAATGGTCAAGATCTGTCATAACATATGACATTGTGCTCTATTAATATATAACATAATGATACTGTCAATTAGAGAACAGTGACTGATAAACCGGACCAATGACTCATAAACCAGTACGAATAGTCTACAGTATTTATCGGTCCTTCTTCCTACCTAGCATTGCCTATTAAGTTCAGAAACGTCAATCTCTGTCTCCATGATATGAATCATGTATTTCAAATGTACTGGATTTATATACAAACCGAATAGACCACATTGTGACATAAGATAGATCTAGCCAAAAATTGGGTATGATTATGATAGACTACTATTAATCAATTGGGAATATCTCAAGAATAATAAATCGTATGATAATGGTCAATAAATCAAATAAAAGCTTATAATGAATGGAATATGAATATACATATAATATAGTCACTTAGTAGTCATAAGAATAGGAATATACATATAATTATTGTCCATAAGGTATTCCTTACGGTTACCATACATTTATTCTCATTCAGATATTTTAAAAAATCGTTAATTCATTTAGTATTGCTTGTTTGAATCCTTCCATTGATGTCCATAACTGCAACTGGTCAGTCTCTTATTGGCATATGTGCATACTGTGCGTATTGCCTCGATTACAGCCTTAATTCACAAGCATGGTAAGCAGAGATGGATAGTGGCTAGCAGTGGAATCCAGTTTGATGCGTGTTTTGTCCTATTTGGGACTCGTCAGCTGGATGTACCTGAATCTCAGAGTTGATGTTCACTCTGGAACTCGAACCCAGTATTTGGGTGACATAGTTTAGGAATTTTTTGTTAGAACAGAAGAGGATTATCTCTAAATTAGTCAAGAGTCAGAGAAATATCATTTAGTGTTCGTGTTACATTGATGTTAGATACAGTGATGTGTTGTCAGAGGCATAAGGAAGGTTATCATTTCTCAGTTGCTTGTAACATAAAAAGACATTTCTTCTTGAGGGACTGGATTACGGGTTATCTGAAGGAGACACCTGACTTATACCACACTCCTGCATCTTCAGTGGAGAGTCATACGTTTGCTACCTTTATTTTCGCTGCTCTACAACAAACCTGTATGTCATAGTAGTATCTAAAGAAACGAGTGTTTCAACCAACAGAGATCAATTATGTCATCATGATACGCAACGATGTCCTTGTAGTTTGTGCACTACATGTCCGCTATCTGACGTTATTTTACGTTGCAGACTAAAGAATGATGAGTCAGGTTCGAATGTGATCCATTGGTTGGGAGTTACATGTTTACGTTATATTGTAGTGAATGAGAACTCAGGTCGGTAACCAATTAATTGCTTAGTGAGAAATTACAGTGATTTTGTAATATATGAAAACCATACATTAAGTACATCGTTTACACATCTTCCATTAGCCGTCTCTCACAAACTACATCGTCCATTCATTCTTGTTGTTACTACGATTACTGTGTTTACATTCCTGTTTTCTTCACATCGATCTTCTCAATCTTCTATCGATATGTATCTCACTTCTGATTGGTGTTACATACTACTTATATCTATCAACATAAGTAGCGTACACCACAATATGGCTAGTAGCATCGTCATCCATTCGAGTAATCAATGTTTGGATGTAATATATAAAATACTACTAGGTTTGAATTGATTGTTACCAACCTGGCGAAGAAAACCCTAACTAAAACAATCTTTAGAATAATTAATAACTATGACTAATTATGTAACAGTAAATCAATCAATAATTACCAACGTAGAGCTTGGCATAGATATGTGTTAGCTCATGTTACCATACTATACATATTAGCACGATGGATTAAATTGACAAGATCAATATAGTGAAAGATTGGAATAATTTACTGGTAATGGCCCAACTGCGTCACAAGAGAAGCCCTCACGTGGAATCCTGAAGGCCTAAGGAGAAGAGGAAGACCAAAGAACATATTACGCCGAGAAATGGAGACAGACATGAGAATGAACAAAAACTGGAGAGAATTAGAAAGGAAGGCCCAGGAGAGAGTGGGTTGGAGAATGCTGTTTGGCGGCCTATGCTCAATTGGGAGTAGCAGGCGTAAGTAAGTAAGTAACTGGTAATGACAATCAAAAAGACTATGCATTGATGATATATTTCATGAAGACTGGGTTTATAAGTATGTATAAACAAAGATTGGGATGCAAGATTCAAAGAAATATGAAGAATGAATGCATCTATCCTATTATTGAACAACTTTGAGTTATGTCAGTCTGCGACCACTGAATGTAGTTATCGCATTAACTAGAATAATTAATATGGCTCAGACCAATAGTTAGTGACTTAGTGAACTGATGTTAGGTTTCGATTAGGTCATCCGTAGCTTTTTTTAGCTTACTTCTAGACTGATAGACATCTTTAGTCTAAGTACGAGTTGTTCAAGCAGATGATAAACATGATCTAACTGCTTCATCAGTCAGTAAGGGAAAAATAATGGAAATAACTAATTTCTTGCCTTCATTTCTACTGAACTTCTTTGTCATCAAGATAATGGCCAACAATCGAATTTGAATAGGATGTTTCATTCATCCTCAAGATTACTCTACTGACAGTTATAAACAGTTGTTTACAGTAGAGTATCTGTCACCTTACGCAATAAGGGTTCATTCCTGTCACCTTTTATAAGCTATTTTGGGTTGAATCTAGAACCACAGATACCTTCTCTAATCGAAATACCTCTTCAATTTTTTGAAAATTCATCACTCACTCCATTGTAGAAAGCAGTTGGAAATATTCAAAACGTTTGTGTCTGGCAGCTTGTATAGAAGTGAGGTAAATAGATCTAATCTCTGTATAACAAAGCTCCATGTTTTGCAATACTTGACTTCTATAATCTGAATGCTTTTGATATTGCTTAAAGTTCAATCATGGTTGACTTTTTGGGACTGTTGCGCAACTTCAGAAGAGAGGTATTAATAGTGAATTACTTTAATGAATGTAAAATTCTCGAAACCAGATAAGCATCATTCATAAACATGTCTCACAGAACCAAACTAATTCGTTAATCTTTCCATAACCATTACTAGGTTTATCACCCTAACAAAAATCAAAAGAATCAACAGGGATGTTAAACAAAACAAGTGTGGGAAAATAGTAGGATCAGACAACATATCAGCTAAAGCACCGAGGTCAGACATAGAGGCAACTGTAAAGATAATCCACGTTCTATTCAGAAAGCTTTGGGAGGAAGAGCAATTGCCGACAGATTAGAAAGAAGGATACCTCATCAAGATACCAAAGAAAGGAGACTTGAGCAATTGTAAGAACTATAGAGGCATTACACTACTATCAATTGTCAGTCGACTAACATTCAATTTAGAATTTTCTATACCAACTTCAAAACAATCCTGTTGTACGGGGCTGAAATGTGGAAAACTACTATAATCATCAAAAAAGTACAAGTAATTATCAACAATTGTGTAAACACGATACGTCAGATCTGTTGGCCAGACATCATTAGCTACAACTTAATGTGTGAGAGAACAAATCAGCTTCCAATTGAAGAGGAAATTAAGAGAACGCACTGGAGCTGGATAGAACACGCTACGGACATGATCAAACCGCACCACCAGGCAATCCCCAGTTTGAAATCCTAAAGGAAAACGGAAAAGAAAAAGACCAAAAAACAGAGTCGAGAATCGGAAGCAGACACCAAAAGAATGAATAGCACTTGGAAGCAACTGGAAAGAAGAGCCCAGGACAGAGTTCGATGGAGAATGCTGGAAGGCATATGCTCCTACGAAGTCATAAGTATCTTCTTTTCTTGCCTTTAATGATTGTAACAAAAATATTGTAGTTAACTTACTCCATTCACATTCTATTCCATTACCAACTTAATAATTTTGTACGATTGTACAACTTGATAAGAGATACATTCGCTGAACCTCGTGTTTATAATGTTCAAATGAGAATGATATGTCCACATTTACAATTATTTACTTTTGATATTATACAGTAAAGAACTGTCAGTCAAAAATTACCATCTGCAAGTTTTTATTTTTTTAAAAATTCATACAACAAACACAAACATATTCATGTTTATAAACTTTCCCTACTATGTATATCTAAAAACAATGAATACACTTATAATTACATGACTAATTAAGTCAATCAGTCAGAAACAACGTAGAACCTCGTACAAACGTACATCAGTTCAAGTTATCATGCCACATTAGCACAAAGATAAAATACAATTGTCAACTCAAATCTCAATAGTGGTAGAAGTAGTAAGAGTATAAACAGTAATAAGAAAGATTAGGGTTTGAGGATGTTATTCAAGGAGTATAATACAGTGAAGTAAATTCAGAAAAAGGAAAAAGAAAGGGACATGAAGAATTTAGAAAAACACAAAGAGTGAATGCATTTGCGCTATCGCAAATGATTTTGAGTCATGTGATTTAAGGTCTCTAACCATTGGTTGCTATCATCTCTCGGATTCCAACCAGGTAGTCTACACCTACCAACATGGCTCAGTCCAATTGTTAAGGACATCATAGATTTGTGCCATGTTTCAACCTGGCTGCCCCTAGCTTTATTCCAACCTATTCCTACACCCTAAAACATAATTCGTTGGGGGGGACAGGTAGTTGTGCATACATAACACAAATCCCAGCCATATCAACTGATGAAGTTTTCACAGGGGGGTTTTGTGGAGATTTTATTAATTTTATATAGTTAAGATCATGAATCAATTGAAGCTAGATCACCCTGGAAGCGCTGGACGGCCGTTTCTTCCTATTGCGTGACTCCTCAGTGGCAGTGCGCATCCACGATAGCGCCTCGCGGGTTTCGAACCCAGGACCTACCACTCTCCCGTCAGAGCACTTAACCGATAGACCACTGAGCCAGCATTCAGTGGTGTTAATGTCTAACATCAACCTATCTACGAAATTGCTCGACCAACTTCCATTCTACTGAGGTAGATACCTCTCTCTACCTGACATGGATTAGTTACAATTTTGTGATCGTGGATGTGCACTGCCACTGAGGAGTCCTACAATAGGACGAAACAGCCGTAAAGCATTTCCAGGTTTTCCAAGGTGATCCAGCTTCAATTGACTGATGAAGTTTTCTTGACTAATCAAAAAAAAAAAGAAATAAAACATCTCATCATATATCTAAACACAGATTCTACCATTTATTCAACTTTAAAACAATTATAGATTGTTTATGTATATATATATATGCATATATTTTTGTTTTGATATTATAGATTACATCCATTTTTTTTCCTTATTTAACTAAAAATGGTCCACATATATGTAAATGAAGTTAACACAATTGACCATGTGTAAGAATCATCGGGAGAATAAACACTTTTTTCCTGGAAAACATTCTCTACTTGTTTCATTTCTTGCTTTCTTACTTTCTCTCACTATGTATCCATGTCAAAATACAAGGTTAGTACACACATCAAATCACAAAAAAAGAAAAGAAAAAAAGAGAAAAAAGAGAAACAAATACAATTACATATTGTCTTTTTTTTATTATTTTTTTCAAAAAAAAAAAGGTGGAACATATTAGACAGACAATTCTAGGGGAAAGAGGAATGGAAGGGGGGGGGTATAACAAAAAATACACAAACAAACAATAAAAGAGAGAATCAATTAATGTAATGTGCGCAGTTTATATGTATGATACTTAATCATTAAAAAAAATGAATGAGAAAGTATGCAGGACACACTATACGAACTGTGCTAATAAGAAGCAAGGAGAAAAGAATAAAAAAACGAGAGAGAGAGAGAGAGAACGAAAAGGCATTTTGACAAGTCTAAAAATAAAAAAGCAAAACTGTTGAATAGCAGCACACAAGTACATAGAATGCAACAGTTTTTTTTTTGAAAACTGTGACAGCAAAAAAATATAAACTGATGAAAAATACATATTGACAGTCTCCTTTGTTTGTTTGTTGTTGTTTTTAAAAGAAAAAAAGACCCAAAGATTAGTGCATATCCTCTTTAGAAATGAAATAAGTACTATATAATTGTCGATATTTAGGATGAACAACTTGGGGCATTATCTTGACTGATTTGATTGAAGGAGTCGGTCAATAGCTGCGTTTACATCACCGAATGTAGCAATCAATGCTATAGAAAAAAAAAAACAAAAGAACAAATAGATTGGTTAATTAAAAGCATGTTTACCAACCAAACATTTTTCAGTTAATGAAAAACAAAAATAGCTAAACGTTTTTACGACGTTAATTGTAAACTATGGTAAATGAAACAAACAACTATCCAACTGGAAATTATACTAACTGTGAAATCATTATGTTATGTTTGTCAAACAAAGGGATAGATACTGACTACATCGGTTATAAGACGATTTCGTGAAATGTATGAAGAATGTATGCCCTGGTACGGCTGAGAGTGGGGAGAGTCAGCTTTCTCTCTCCAAATTCTCTCACATGGTCACGCAAATATAGCCTCTGCCAGAGAAGTCCTACTCACTGCATTCTCGCCCTTCAGGTGTTGTTTATGAAATTGAGAGGACGAAAAGTGAATGCCCGGCGCTTTAACTGGTTTGGTGGACACAGAAAGTTCATCTCAGGGAGTCGGAAAACCCTGATTCCAAACCAATAGTGCACATGGGCTGACTCCAGTATCGTGAGGGAACAAATGACGTATGAATCAATCGTTGGTCAACGGCTTCATCTCCTTACGATGCTTCACTGCCTTGTGGATTAGATATTTACGTCGAAGGCCCCGGGGGTGGCCCCCTAAGAAAACCGCCTGCTTCGGTTCGGGCACCTGGGTAGTATCACAGCTTTCATACAAATCAAATAAGATTTGTGCGGCGCACATGTATTGGGTGCATCTTCATACCAATATCTATGTGGTTAAATAGATAAATAATAAATAACTTGATCAACCGACAAAGGGTAACAGAAAGCCATGATCAAAGAAAATGACAGATTTATGAACTCAATTGGATAGTATTACTCAATTTTCACAGATTAGTTTAATCAACCTGTAGTTTAATGGTTAAAGTGTCTCACTAACGCTCCACTCAACTGACTTTGAGCAGAACAATAAGATAGTAACAAGTGTAATTTTCAGACTACAAAATGAATCTATATACGTATATATAAACCATGATAAGGAAAATCTAGTATTTACAAATTACAATATATTAAACGGGTTATAAATGCCTAACCACCAAGGGTAATAAGACAGAACTTTTATGCCTTATAAAATAAATTGCTTAACAATTACCTTGCAAATTAGCTTCCCGGTTAACAAAGCCCATATTAGCGAGAATTTCAAGTTCAGCTTGATATCGTTGTTCAGGTGGCTATAAATTAAAAAAAGGTAGCAAAGTGTCAAAAAGATGTTCCATAAGTGCCAGGTAAATTTTATGGATGGATTCAAATGAATAGAAAATTGTAAGTTTATCTTACAGCATTGTTTGTGGCACCCAATCCATTATTAGTGGTAGACATCATATTTAGCATACTGGATAATAGTGAGGTCAATTCAGCTTGATTAGGTGGGTTGGTTGTAGTATCGCTGGTACGATCCGCAGTTGTGGAGTCAGAGTTGTCTCCAGGAGCTGAAACTGTTGCCGGGGTTTCTCCAGCTGGGGTTGTACCAGATGTAACTGAACCTGGACCGATTGGAGGTGCAGACATACCCAAACTAGTTAAGACACCTGGGGCTTCTTGTTGCAATGTCTGAAGTCCTTGTTGGATCTGCATCATAGCCTTTGAAGAAAACAAAACAGTTTACAAATCCATTTAGTTTGCATATCATTAGGACTAAAAATACATTAGTCAAATCTGTAACAAAAAATAATAAACTTGAAACTATATCAAAGCTCCGCATATTCTTGCAGAACTCAACAATGAACAGTTGATAGTTCATACTCCTAGACGCATAAAATAATTGTGAGCTACAGAAGTTGACAAACCGTGAAAGTTATTTAAGTTAAATGTCAACAGCTACTTATTGAATGTGTCAAGCAAAGTTTAGTATATAGGACTTTGTATTATAGCATACTCTTGTTTTGAAATCTTGAAACATTAATACTCTTGAGTTACTTTCGATTTAACAAGTTCAACATTTGATTAAGAACGTTACAGTTATTCAAAGTTTGTCTATTCGCGAAAAATATTTCATAATGATAAAAAAATAGAAGTGCTGGCCAGCTGCTTAGTTATACTTTGAGGTCATTTAGGAGAACAAATGGAATAGAGAATGTGTTAGGGAAAAAAGAGGAAGGTTACATTTATCATATGGGTTGAGTAGAGAAAATAAATATTAAAGGGAATTACATATGAATCCTCAGAAATTTACAATGTAATTAAATTAGTATATAATGCAACTATGCATTAATTTTATGTCAGTCAGTCAGCTACAACGTAGGACCAGGCACATTTATGCATCAGTCCAAGTTGCTATACCTCGTTAGCACAACAAGATGAACACCGGATTCATAGAAGTAGTTAATTTAGTGGTGGTAATATATAAAAGATAGGTTGTATATAAGGATATAGTATAAGAAGGAAGATATATGAAACAATTTTAATTTCAAGGTTTAAGAGAAGATAAAGAGTGTATACACCTACGCCATTGTGATCGATTTTGAGCCATGTCACCTAGAGTCTCCAACGATAGACGCACCGACCCCAACCAAGTAGTCTACATCTGCCAACATGCTGTATTAACACCTCTACATACCATTTCGCTATACGGAAAACAATAATTTACACGTAGACAAAACAATTTGACTATTTAAGTGTACCTGGATACTCAATAGAATAAATCTAAAAAATACTAAATTAGGTTATTTGTTATATTTGAGCAAACATTCAAGCTAGAGAATTTCTTAATTGGTACAAAACAAAAACGGCAACCTGTTAGTTAAGACTATCAAATAAACTATTCAGTATATAAATTTAAAAATTAAAATTATGATATATAATAATTTTATTGCAATTATTCAACAGATAGATGCCCAATGAGAATATACGCTAAGGACCTATGATTAGTTTAAACTACATTTTACTTATGCAAAAAGTAAGTGTACGAGTGTATATTCTTTAAACATAGTAAATAGGTCACAAAACTTACTAAGTATTTTTGTGTACTAATCAAGAGTATAATAATCAAATTTTATGAAATGACTATTGATCTAATTGTTGCAAGATAAAGTAGTAGGTTATTAAATATAAAAGATTAATTTTTATTTATTTATACACATAAATATTGGTAAAAGGAAGCACCAGATAAATATGCGCCTCACAAATCTCATTTGATTTGTGTGAGGGCTGTGATACTCTCCAGGTGCCCAGACTGAAGCAGGCGGTTTTCTTAGGGGGTCACACCCTGAACCTTTGACCTGAAGGTCTAGTCCACAAGGCAGTGGAGCATCGTAAGGAGATGCAGTCCCATGGTAGCCGGTCACCAACGATTAATTCATACGCCATTTGTTCCTTCAGGATACTGGAGCCAACCCATGTTCACCATTGGTTTGGAATGAGGGTTTTCCAACTCCCCTAGGTGAACTCGCCATATCCACCAACCCGGTTAAAGCGCCGGACACTCGCTTTTCGTTCTCTCAATTTCGTAAACAACACCCGGTTTGAGAGAAGGCAGTGAGTAGAACTTCCCTGGCACAGGCCGAGAGTGAGGAGAGTCCATTCTCCCTCTAGAAATGCTCTCACATGACCATGCGTATATAGCCTCTATCAGGGAAGTCCTACTCATTGCCTTCTCGCATCACTGGTGTTGTTTACGAAATTGAGAGAACGAAAAGCGAATGTCTAGCGCTTTAACCGCGTTGGTGAACACGGAAAGTTCACCTAGGGGGAGGCCGGAAAACCCTGATTACAAACCAATAATGCACATGGGCTGGCTCCAGTATCCTGAAGAAACAAATGGCGTATGAATCAATCGTTGGTGACCGATTACCATGGGACTGCATCTCCTTACGAGGCTCCAGGTGTGGCCCCCTAAGAAAACCATCTGCTTCGGTTTGGGCACCTGGGCACACAAATCAAATGAGATTTGCGTGGCGCATATATATCTGGTGCCCCTTTGTACCAATTTTTATGTGTTTAAATAAAATAATAATAAACCGATTTCATATTTATTCATTAAGTAATCTTCAAAGCTTATAGCTGTGAAATTGTTATCCACGTCTTCACTTCGATTAATTTTAGGTGAACTTAAATTCATTAAACATCCTTTTACTTCAACTCATGATTATGAGTAGTCAATCCTTTAAATTTCAGTTTCGAAATGTTGTGTATATGAAATCCCATACAACTGGATATAAGGTAAGTAAGGTCAATGTTATTGATTCAACTTAATAGACATTTTTAATCAGTTAGTTAGACTAACATCTGGTTCATAAAATTTACCATTTTGGTGGAGTACAATGTGTAGTTCGTTTGCCTATTCAGCATAAAATGAAGAGAAAATGTTTACCATGTAAGAGTACCCTTATTAAGGATATCTTAATGTGTGTAGTAAGGGTTAAGTATACAGACACATTTATAAGACCATGTTGTAGATAAAGATAAAATTTCCCTGCTGTAATTGATTGAAATCTATGTAATACAGACGTTACACAATGCACCCAAAAAGGATAAATGGATAGTAAGTCAAATCAAAAAATTTGTCCAAACATGTGGACAACTTATGAATAAATCAACTGATAGGGAGATCACAATCGACTGGCATGCATTTTGGGAAATACACATATAATGAAAGATAAGTGATAAGATAAATGACTGCTTTATTAGGATACTTTAAGTGATAAATACATGTGATATAATATCAGAAAATTATAGTACAGTAACTGTTGGGTATCGTAAGGAAAAGGTTTTACATGTCTGAAAAAAAATCAAGTTGGTACAATTAACCAAAACATATTTTAAATATTTAGCCAGCATTTATCAGTATTATGTTTTGTCCAAATTAGGTCAAATATTTTTTAGGTGGTCACAATACGAAAATGATTCATTTATAAATACAATACCGTAATGAATTTTCCCTTCAAGATTTCTCGAGGGAAAAGAAAAAAACCAAAGAACATATTGCGTCGATAATTGGGATCATATATGAAAAGGGTGAATAGCAACTGGAGAGGACTGCTCAGGACAGAGTTAGATGAAGAATGATGGTGAGCGACCTATGCTCCTCCACGAGGAACAACAGGCGTAAGTAGTGATTTTTTTTAATACAAGCATAATAAGAGGAAAGTGGTAAACAAATCGTAAATGACGAAAATGATTTATCAATAAATCTACATGTTTATTCAAACATAATCATTGAAATCAGCTATTCGGAGAATTAATAAGCTATTTATTGAATACTGAGTGCTAGTACAAAAATGTTAACAATATTTCAAAAAGAAGTTTAGCTAACTGATATAGTGAGCCAGCCAGAAGTGGCCAGATGAGAAGATTAATAGATGACAACCAAAAGTGACCTGAAGGATAAGTGCATATCAATAGTTAGGAAATGGATTGATTTCCTAAGGAGTATTTGTGTATGTTATTCGGTAGTCCAATATAATTTCTCATACGCTCTGGTGTTTTCGATCAAGTAGTCAAATGGGGAGTTAGCACATTACACACCGTGTATCAATATCAGATCTAAGAAACAGTACATAATAATTTACTAGTAGTTAATAGGCTTGAAACATTTCGCTTACAATGTCGTGTATAATCAAAGTCACGGTGATTTGAAATTTATCAGTTTGCCTTATGCTGTATATAAGTAACAACTTCTATATTTACGCAATACATAAAAGATGACTTAGAAATATATTTTAATTTTAACAAATTATTAATTCCTTGAATTATAATAATAAAAATCAAGATTACTTTTATTTTAAAGAATAAAGCCTACGTCTTACTTGGAGAGCACGAGGATTTGATAACATATTCATGAATGATGGTTGATTGATCTGGTTAGCTAATTGTGGAAGCATTTGTCTCATCTGATCACGTACATTTGGATTAACGCTAGAAATCATTGGATTATTCATAATTAGATTTTCCATAACTGAAGGGTTTGCACTCATTGCTTCAAGCATGGCTTGCACGTATGGGACCTGGTTAGTACAATAAACGTCAAAATATTATTCAGTCTTAGGATCACAAATAATTCAATGGTCATTGTCTGATAACACGAGCAAGTTACTGTTATTCACTGAGTCATCGGCTACAAAATCTTGAGTATTCGAGGACTTCACAAAACTTTTACGAGATAATATACATTACTGTCGTTCATACTGCGATAAATAAAATAAATTAACTTATTTAACGACTACTTGAGTTTGAACCATACTCTAAGTATGAGGACTAATGATACTACTCGATTACCTAAAACGACGTAAGAAAAGAGGGATTCGAAACTGAAATTTAGTAGCTGAAAGACAGAGGTCTCTGCCATTAATTCACTGTTTACAAGGCAATTATTTCAATCTCGTTTGGTAAAAATCTTGTTAATTTCCCCTTGATGCGATGTGATATAGTGACCTGGGTCAATATACTTTTGTACAAGGTCCTATGGCCGGCTGAATTTTACAGGTAATGGGATTATAATAATTTCTTTTATAACTCAAAAAAGTATACTAGCCAAATCAGATTTTACAGTAAGTAGGTTAGAATTGAAAAGAAGTTATGAAACTGGTGCATAAACCAAGTCAATGGGGCAGATGAGATGATTGTCTTTTTTACATGACTTTACGATGACATACGTTTTAATCTCAAGAGCTTTACGGAAGGTAGTATGGTGTTACCACAGGAATCTCAAATATTTCATTTCCTTAGTAAGATTTGCGTTTGTAACTCAAAGATTCATGAAAAATCACGATATGATTCTTATTGACTGATAATTACTACAAATACACCCACCTGAAAAGCATTCGATACCAACTCAGGACTAGAAGATAGTTGGTTTAGCATAGTTTGCACAAAATCACTGTTACGATTTGAATTCACCGAACTAGGTGCTGTTGTAGTACTGTTATTTGTGGTTGCGTTGTTTGTAGCTGGAGCCCAAGGATTCGGCATAGGTTCAGTGGCAGGAGCACCTTGTCGCACACCACCTAAATAATCCAGAAAAATATTTGAAACATGCAAACTGTCCCGAGTTTTTGACTAGTCATTTGACGACGCATGATAGAGAGATATCAGTTATTTACTAGCTAACTTATAGAATTTCGATCGAGCGATTAACTGAGTTATAGATAAAAACATAATGCTATATGAATGGATAAATACCTGCTAAATTTGCGAAGGGATTTTGCTCCGAATTGCCATTTGATTGATTACCACTTAAGCTGGAGCCAATGCTTGAGGCTGCATCCATTATTGGTTCTTGGATATCCCGAAATATCCGTTGTAAATGATTCATTCCTCCAGGTACCGATTCCAAATTGGAAATTGCTCGGTCATAGTTACGAACCATTTCCTGCATCATAGCCGGGTTGCGAGCTATCTCCATGGACTGTCGAAGAAGATCTGGATTGTTAAGCATATGTCCTAACTCAGGATTGCGCTAAAAATAATGATAGTAGTATTAGTTCAACCAAAAGAACGTTAAGAAATAAAAAATTAATATTTTAAGACTATCGTCTTTTACTTACTTCAATCAAATCACGCATTTGAGGATTCGCTTGAAATAAACTTCTAATGACCTCTGGATTGCTCATCAAAGACTGAACAAGAGGGCTGTCCAGCATGTTGCGAAGAAGTTCGGGATTCTGCATCACTTGAGCCTGCATAGCCTGTTGCATACCAGCGAAAGTGTTCACTGTAAATACAAACGATTTTTTGTTAGTTTAAATCTATCTATAAACGATAAAGTTCAAAATATTTAACACCTTTGATTTTAATTTGCAGTCTATCTGAAAGTTAAAGATACTGTCAGTTATATAAATTTACTACTAGGAGTGGGAATTGAACTAAGAAATTACGTCTTAATCTCACGTCTGTTGTACGACCATTTATATATGATAAAAAAATTGTTTTTTTTTGCAGTAATCTATAAATGTTCACCTAGGGGTTTGCGTCAATGATTTGGCTTTGTGAGTTGCCAATCAACGATATCGGACATTTATTATATTTATTTAGACACATAAATATTGGTACAAGGAAGCACCAAAAAAATATGCGCCTCACAAATCTGATTTGATTTTGTGAGGGCCGTGATACTGCCCGGGTGCTCAAACCAAGGCAGGTGGTTTTCTTCGGAGGCCACAGCCGGAGTCTTTGACCTTAAGATCTGATCCACAAGGCAATGGAGCATCGTAAGGAGATGCAGTCCCATGGTAGTCGGTGACTAACGATTGATTCATATGCCATCTGTTCCTTCAGGATACTAGAGCCCATGTGCACTATTGGTTTTGAATCAGGGTTTTCCAACTCCTCTAGTTGAACTTTCCGTGTCCACCAACCCAGTTACAATGCCAGACATTTGCATTTTGTCCTCTCAATTTCGTAAACAACACACCCTTTGAGAGAAGGCAGTGAGTAGGACTTCTCTGGCAGGGGGTATATATGCGTGGCCATGTGAGAGCATTTTGAGAGGGAGAGCGGACTCTCCCCACTCTCGGTCGTATCAGGACATTTGGAGGCCAACGATATCAAACAACTGTGTCTATTGATCAGAATTATATTCACCGTTTTGATAAACAGAAGTACGCTTGTAACATCAAGTTTTCTCTTTAACTATTAACCAGAAAGTCCTAGCTGTGAACCGAGCGCAAGTCAAAACTTCCGATTACTACGTATCTGAAAAACTTAGTCTGTGATACTATTTACTATCATTTGGTAGCAAAAAAGGGGAAATAAAATGGAGCAAACTACGGTAGTGATTGCTTGATTACAGCTAACCGATGGACTGTTTCCACTATTTCCATGCAAGCTTCAGGGAAAATTATATACGTTGGGAACCGCTGGGACGCCCAATCTAATCCTCAATAAGCTGTGTTTCAAGATATCACTTAGGAAATTGTCGGACACCATGTATTCATCAGTCATTTGATTTCAACAAAATATATGATAAGCAGAAAGAGAATATATCCTGATGAACGTGAGTAAAAATAGGTTTATACGCACAAACCTGAGTACACTTCAACAAAGTAACGGAACGCGAATGTCAAGACTGTCTTGAAAGTCTTAACATTCGCGTCTTACTTTACGGCTGTGAAACGGCCATTAAGAGTAGAAGATACTCGCAAGTTACTAGTATTTGCCCCCAAATGCCCTGGTACGGCCGAGAGTGGGGAGTCACCTCTCCCTCTCGAAATACTCTCATATGGCCAGCGAATATATAGCCTCTGCCAGGGAAGTCCTACTCACTGCCTTCTCGTGGCGGGGGTGTTGTTTACGAAAAGCGAATGTCCGGCGCTTTAACCGCGTTGGTGGACACGGAGGGTCCACCTAGGGGAGTTGGAAAACCGATTCAAAACCAATGGTGCACATGGGCTCCAGTATCCTGATGGAACGAATGGCGGACGAACCTGTCATTGGTCAACGGCTACCATGGGACTGCATCTCCTCACGATGCTCCACTGCCTTGTGGATCAGACAGTCAGGTCAAAGGCTCCGGGTGTGGCCCCCTAAGAAAACCACCTGCTTCAGTCTGGGCACCTGGGCAGTATCACAGCCCTCACACAAATCGAATGAGATTTGTGAGGCGCATATTTATCTGGTGCTTCATTGTACCAATTTTTATGTTTAAATAAATAAATAATAATTTGACCACAGATGCCTTAGAAATATTGCTCGCATCTGCTGGGATCACCGGGTAAGTAACAGTGAGGTTAGATACAAAGTATTTGGGAATGATGGTAAATCACTTGATGAGGTCATGAATCTTCATCGACTGAGATGGTTAGGCCACGTGTTACGTATGCCTGAACACCGATTACCACGACGCCCTATGCTGACTAGTGTAGGGGATGGTTGGAAAAGAGCTAGGGGCAGCCACCCAAAAACGTGGCATCAGAGCTTGAAGTCACTAACTTTTAGTCTGAGCCATGTTGGCAAATGCAAACCACATGGTTGGTGTCCGTGTGACTATCGTTACCAATAGTCGGAGACTCTAGGTGACATGGCTCAAAATCGATCACAATGGTGTAGGTGTATACACTCTTTATCTCCCCTTAAACATTGAGATTAAAATTGCTTCATAACTTTATTTCTTCCTATACTATATCCTTATATACAGCCTATCTTTTATATATTAACACCACTAAATTAACTACTTCTATGAATCCGGTGTTCATCTTGTTGTGCTAACGAGGTATGGCAACTTGGACCGATGCACAAATGTGCCTGGTCCTACGTTGTAACTGACTGACTAACGTGTATTTGACCATGATGAGGCTTTCTGGTACACGATAGTTCAGACTATCAAACACATGGACCAACAAACTTAAAAATTTCCGTTGCGGGAGGCATATTTACCACTCATGACTTCTACGACTAACATGAGCACAATGCACCGTAGACACCCTGGCTAAGTAAGTTGATGTAGGAAGCTTTCTAATCAACGAATCTGGTGAAACACAATGGTCTCGTCAGATTCGTGGTAGATGAACATGATGACGGGATAAATAAGAACAAATGACTTTATTCAGAGTTACGCTTAAATTTACTGTAGAAGGGATGATACTGACCTACAATAGGTGTTTCAATCCACATTCCTTCGATGTACTATAGTTGCAATCCCCATTTTACTCCACTTACAAGGAATTTCGGTGCATTTAATATTCAGGTAACAAATTACACGAAAACACAAAAAGACATTACGAAGGTAAGGAATTATTGTTCAGCTTCATAAACGGGTTATTTCTGATCAAGATTGTCATCAAAGTATATTGGTAAATCTGCTGCGTGTGGATTAAAGGTAGATGTTACTATGTTAACAACCTTACAGGTTAAATGTTCAGGCAAGCAGACATCATACCAAAAAAACTCGATAAGAATAGTTTACAGGTGTACGAAATTTACCTCCATTAGCACCAGTTTGTGATGGATTACTTGGACTCCTACTTTCTCTTGGTCTATCACCCACATCTGTTACGACTGAAGAAGTTCCTGTTGGATTAACTTGGGAGGGCTAAAATCTGCTCAAACTTAATTTATATAAAACAAACCTGTTGTTGTTTCTACAAGGATAAGTTTTACTAAAAATCGTGAACATACCGAAATCACTAAATGGATAATGAATCCATCTTTTATTTTTAGTTGTTCAATAGTATCTTCATCCTTAAGAATCTTGCCACCGAAAATCAGAATGAGTCTCTCTGATGGAGTCTCGAACGCTTTGGATGCTTCATCGCGAAGCTGTAATAAGATCAAGATACACTTATAGTAACGAGAAGATTACTTCTTTAACTGAACATGAACTAGGGACAGAAACTGTCTTCTCCCCTCGAGGAGCCTTGATTCGCAGACTGAAGTTTGACATCACTAATCTCCGGATTCAAATGTGGCGCTGTCCAACACTCTACACACAGTTATAACAATAATCAAAGGTATTGTTGTTCTGATGATATTCTTTAGTGGTTGCATGAATAGAAACTCAGAGACTCTATTCCCTCTATTGCAATGATTGAGGATTACTGCAATTGTATCCATATAACACAAATCCGAACGAAATCTTACAAATAGCAGGCAATCGTATGGGGAAAAAGCTGGTGTGTTCTCATGATGTTGGATGATATTTTGAACTTGCTCTCCTGTTGGAAGTGAACAGTATGACTTCCGTCAGTTGGATTATATTATCAAAATGTGCTCAAAGACAGGAGTTTTTTAGATGGCCTCTAGTTTGGGTGTAAATTCCTTGAGTCTCACCTCATAAGTGACTTTCTTGTCAGAGCATTCAATATGGTCGGAGCATTAAGAAACTTGACATGTTACTGTTCTACGTGAAAATCATCATGAATTTGCAGATGTGATGTTTGTACTAACAATAGTCTTAAAGCTGTCATCCATTCTTCACAAGAATCTTCGTCTAAATTGGAACAAACATTACCACAATAGTCGTGTGCTCAGTTGTTGTAAAACAGAGGTTTTAACTTGAGTTGTTGACGTTTCTGTCGATAATATTTATTGTCAGAATACACCGAGACAGCTCTAGTGTCTGTGATAAAGTAGAGATGTGAGTCTGTCGCTCAACAGTCAATTAACTCTATCTCTGAAGCGAATACCCGAGCACTTTACACAAACATTGTGCCACATATACATCAAACAATTAAACCTTTAAGTAACATGAAATAACCACCTGTTAAATGTTAGAGATATCTAGAACAACCTAGGTACGTTACCCTACCGGTATACAGTAGATCAGTTCATCCAATTTAAGATGCAATAATTCAGTCTGAAAGGTAATATTACAGCCCCGAAATTTGGGGGTGGATTACAACAAATTAATTATCACCAAAAAGCCAAACAGATAGTATGGAACAATAAAAAACCAAGAATACAGTTAAAATGAAATTTTTTTTGAAAGCCTGACCAGAAACGCGCGATTGGGCATAAATACACAATAGAAACATACCAGTCCATTGAATTTTCGTAACCGGTCGGCAGTAGTTGAATACAGAAAATCCAAAGTAGCCGCTACCCTATTTTTCTAAGAGTGAACACCTTGATTTTCTATGGTGTGCCTGGCACCACATTCCCAAACAAAAACATACACAAAGCCACTTGGATTTCACCGGACCACACTACACAGAATCAAATCGACCATATCTGCATCAACAAAAAGTTCAGAAGGACGATGGAGGATGTGAGAACCAGAAGAGGAGCTGATATAGCATCCGATCATCATTTGCCGGTCGCCAAGATGAAACTAAAACTTAGGAAGCAGTGGACAACGGAGAGGACAACATTGTTACGGGAGAACTAAAGACATTTGGCTGATTAAAACCTTTTTACTGTACATCAAATTTACTGTGTTTTTGGATGTGTTTGTTTTACTTAACCTTTGGACTTGTTTGTTTATACCATTCCTTTCGGACATTTTGGTTTCTTTTGTCATTGGTTTGGTATTTGGGAGTTTTTTGCTCCGGGAACCTACAAAATTGAAGGTTTGTTTTGTAATTGTTAGAATTATTGTTGTTAGAACGACTTTGGTCGATTATTTGTGAATTGCGAATAAACTTGGTATCTTATTTGAAGTTTTGGTTCTCTTGCCTACTTGGGTTCGTAATTTGCGAATATCGACGGCCAGTACTTCAATAGTTGGAACGGGCAAAACTCATAATTGGACGTAACATAAAGTTCTTCAATTATTGGTTCTGTGTTCACACTGGATTTGTCTGGACAGTAATTCGGGTCCAAATTCCGGTTCCACTGAACGAAGGTGTACTATGGAAACTCGAAGCAAAAGACAAAAGGAAAACGACGAATTGGACGGTAAAATTTCCAGAGCTGTTTGTGGTATTATGACGTTAACGATGATAAATGTGATGATATTAGTCTTAATAGTATGTCCTCTAGTCAGCTAAGTACTTCTAGATTAAAGTTAGACAAAACATTACTGAGGAAAAAGAATTTAGAAAAGAGACTTGAGTTGGAACGGCAACTTAAGATGTTAGATCTTCAAGAAGAGGTTGGTATGGCCGAATTAGAATGCAACGTCATCAAGGACGATGAACGATTGCCCGTAGATAAATGTGAAATAAATGCTAAAGTGGAAAATTATTTGAATGGTGAAATGGGGGTAATAATCACTCAGGAGAGGTATGTAACATTTCAAAAATCGATTGGGTTGATGAACTGAGGGACACTTTACATACATTGGTCGATAACATGGCTTTACCTAAGATTGATATGATGGACAACCGGGTCAGTATTACCGTTTCATTATTCAATTCAATAGTCTTATAGATAGTAAACTGTCAGATAAGGGCCAGTTGCTGTCGTACTTGTTATATTATTGCAAAGGAAAGGCCAGAACGGCAATTGAATCTTGCATTTCTTTGCCCAGCCATTTAGGCTATGATAGGGCTAAACGAATTTTATATGATTTATTTGGTAAAGATCACTTTGTTGCGCGGGAACTAATTGCCGAGTTATTAAACCATAAATCTGTCGGAAGGTCAGCTGACGTATTAACTGACTTTGCCATTAAGTTACGTAATGTATGTATAACGTTGAAGGAAATGGGATACATGTCTGACGTTAATTCTACGGCTAATTTGGAGATAATAGTTTCATGTCTGCCACTAGAATTGCAAAATAAGTGGGCTGAAGTCGCTGATAAGATCATGATGCATGGGAAAGAGCCGAGCTTCGAAGAATTTGTGGTCTTTGTAGAAGAGAGGGCCAGAATTGCCCGAACCCGTTATGGTAGATTAGTACAGTGTAACTCAAGGTTCGTTAAAGGGAATTCTGAAGGCCAAGCTGATAGATCACGCTTTCATGCAATCAGACGAGACCCGAATGATTCAGTCAAGGTATCAAGTTGTGCAATCTGCTTAGGTGATCATGAGGCGACAGATTGTCCAAGTTTGGCAAAAATGAGTGTAAGAGAAAGGAGGCAGGAGATAGGAAGACGTGGTCTATGTCACTTATGTTTGAGGAAAGGTCACATAGCTATGTCATGCAACTCAGGCTTCAAGTGCGACTGCAAGGTTAGACATAATTCATTATTGCATATTGATGGTACTGATAACTATGTGATGAATCTAGCTAAGGATGGGAACTCCTCAAGGGTTTGTTTGGGCATCGTTCCAGTCAGACTATTCGGTCCCAAAGGATGTTTGGAAACATATGCACTTCTAGATAGTGGTTCAGACACTTCTCTTGTATGTGAAGAATTAATTAATCAATTGGGTATCAAAGGTAAAGAGACTTCGATAAGAGTGGCGACTGTGAACGGAACTACCAATTGTGAATGTTTGGAGGTAGATATAGAGGTATTTTCATTAGATGAACGGGGTTCTATAAGGATCAACAAAGTTTACACGACCAAGAAACTTCCGATTGATCATGCAGCACCTTTAACCGAACCCCAACTGAAAGGGTGGAAACATTTAAAGGACATAACCCTTCCGAGGTTGCAAAGTAATTTTGTAGGGGTATTGATTGGGTGTGATGCTCCAGATGCACATTGGGTCTTGGAACAACGTCTGGGGGACAGGAAGCATCCGTTTGCTGTGCGAACCCATCTCGGTTGGATGATTATGAGTCCCAAGGGGGCATAAAGGTCTCTACATCAAGTTCAGTGGTGCCATTATTCTAATGATATTTTGCGAGATATAGAAAGATTATATAATCATGAGTTCGAGGATACAGATACGTCTCGTAATGGATATTCTGTCGAAGATAAAAGAGCTCTAGAAATAGTTAGTAATTCCTTTAAACTGGAAGGCGGCCATTTTCAAGTTGGTCTACCGTGGAAGTATGATAGGCCAAGTCTGCCGAATAATTTGGAACTGGCTGAACGCAGACTAGAGTGTTTAAGGAAAAGGTTTATGAAAGATATTAGTCTTCTACAGAAATATCAAGCTGTGATGAATAAACATTTAAGTAAGGGCTACATCATTGAAGCTAGCAAGGAGGGATTTGACCGTGATGCTGTTTGTTGGTATATTCCTCATCATCCCGTTATCAACCCTAAAAAGCCTGGAAAACTCAGAATTGTTTTTGATTGTGCAGCTGTCTATCAAGGATTTTCTCTTAATGATCAGCTTTTAAGAGGACCAAATACCGTCAATAGTTTATTTGGTGTGCTTCTACGATTCAGATTAGGTGACATAGCATTAGCCGCTGATATCGAAGAGATGTTTCTTCAAGTAAGGATACCGAGACAAGATAGGGGAGCGTTTCGTCTATTGTGGTGGGAAGATATTGATATGAAACGAACGGCTAAGGAATATTGTTTAACAGTTCATCCGTTTTGAGCCGTGTCCTCCCCCTTTTGCGCTAATTTCGCTCTTAAGAAGACGGTGGATATATTCGGTAAGGAATTTAGTAGAGATATCCAGGAAGTCGTAGATAATAGTTTCTTTGTCGACGACTATTTAGCCTTCATTGATAATGTACAGGATGCAATTGAGCTGGCAAAGGCCCTTGGTTTGCTTCTCAGAAAAGGTGGGTTCAGACTTACGAAGTGGATAAGTAACTGTTTGCAAATTCTCGAATCAATTCATCCAGAAGAGAGAGCAGAAGCCGTAAAAGAGATTGACTTAGAAAGACTTCCTACGGAACGCACGTTGGGATTATTTCGGAATACTATGGTCGATTCGTTTGAATTTAAAGTTCACATACAGGAACGTCCCCTTACTAGGCGAGGTATATTATCGAGTGTAGCCTCACTTTACGACCCCTTGGGATTGTTAGCACCGTTTATACTTCCCATGAAGCAGTTACTTCAACGTGTGGGTAAATTGGGACTAGGATGGGACGAAGAGATTCCAAATGAGGAGAGCAAACGCTGGTTAGAGATTTTAAGTGAATTTCATAGGGTTGAGAACGTTTGTTTTCCACGTT